GCAGTTTATTCTACACTGGAAAACACCAGAAATCAGGATTACAGGATGGAAAGTGGATGTAAATGGGATGATCTCCATATTTGCCAGTTTCTTAGATTTCATAAAGCTACATTTCTAATTTTTTTCCTATCTATGTAGTGGAGTCACGGTAGATTACAGAGTGTTTTTCTTGTAAGGATAGCTCGCTCATATCTTTTCAGAAGTCCCACTAACATTGTAAGAGCATTTCCTGGAAGTGCACACCTCACCAAGCTGGAAACTTGAAATAAAGTTTATAAAATCCCACATATATGCGAAACAGTTGAGAGGCTGGCATGACTGTATTTTTCCTGTGAGCTGGTTGCATTTATCTTGAAACCCCAAAGATATGAGCACATCATTTTGCCATAACAAGTCAGCCTCTGAAGGTGTCTGCCGTGACACAGAGGTGGTTTCATTTTCATTTAACGGTTTGAATTTGTGAACAGATTTAGAGCTACTTTAAAAGAGGTGGGCGTGTATGTGTTGGAGAAATAGTAACCCACAAACATGACTAGTTTGAGTTCGGGATGCAGCATATGCATATTTTTTTGCATATTTGTGCAGGTACTGTAAGAAAAGTTTAAGTAGAGCGCTGAAACAGACACACAAAACAAACAAGAGATCTTTTTTTTTTCACATTTTTATATTTATTTATTTTACTAACAAGCCCACATGCCTTTGTTCAAACGTTTGTTACTGATATTGTTGCGTGTAGAGAACCCATCACAGTTGCTTAAAGCTCCTGTTAGTAATTTCCAGTTAGTGTGAACTTTGGCGCCCCCTGTGGACAAAGCAGTCTTGGCTTATTATGCTCTCTACTTGCTTGAGTAATGTTTTCTGTTTAAAACATCCAATCCTACAGTCAGATGTCTCATTCATTATGTAAAAATTGGCTTATCATAAAAAGGCATTTGTGTGAACTTTTGGTCTATTTATTGTTGATTGTTTATTAGGATCCCCGTTAACTTTTGTCAAGACAAAGCAAGTCTTCCTTGGGTCCTACACAGAAAATACAACATTACATTAACATTCATCCATGACTACATAATCCCTCATCTACATCCATCTGCTCTATTTCATCAGCATTAAAAAAGTCCTCATAGGAGCTTTAAACTTTGAGTCAAACATGAGGATTTTTCTGCTTTGGGAAGATTTTCAGCTCAAACAGCTTGTCCTTCTCTGAGTTAATGAAAAATATTCTCATCGGTGACTCAATTTTTCAATCTCAGCTTGCTGCAACTCATGCAGAGACCTATACTGAGCTAAAATGTGAATATTTGTTAATTAAGTAAATAAAAGCAACTTCAGTTATTCCTCTTATCTGATAAAATTGTATTATTCTAGTGTTAAATGGTAATATAATTTTCCTTTTAAAGGCCCGGTGTATTAGCTGAATATGTATCATGTGTAAATGATATAGATGACACTTTATATAAAGCATTTCTGATCATAAAAAGAGAACCTCCACACGAACCTTCCGGTCAAACATTACCAAAGTGCTCCAGAGAAAAGAGGGGGAAGTTTTCAAGTATTTCTTTCGTCGTTTCATTTTTATCAGTTCTCTGTTTTATGTCAGTGTGTCACAAGTTTGAACCCTGCTGTGACTAACATACGGGCACTTCCTTGGAAAAAAAACACCTGAGGTGAGCGCGATGGTTTCAGATTGCAAAGGGTATAGCCTCAATGATAGTCATGGTTCGTGTGATAGGAGGCAGTGTTCAAACCTTGAAGCGCCTGTTCTGTGGAATCACATGACCGCGGAGAATACCAGGGAATTTCTCCAGAGCGACGCAGCAAGCTTTTAATAGCCCTCTAGTGACTGCTGAACTGGTTTCAGCTGCTTCAAAGACTAACATGAATGAAGGCCTTTGCAAATGAATGATATTTCTTATGAAAGCTATAACTGAGATTAGAGACAGATGCTGCAAAAATTTGATTTTGCAAAACTTTGATTTTGCAAAATAAACACCTTACAAATAATCACACAAGGAAGACCCTGTTTTCTTTTGCTCCCATGTGTCTCTTGACTCCATTCCTCATGTGTTTACAGACTTCCAGAGAACCTAAGTGATATGACAGGGTTTTTTTTTTTACACTCATCAGTTTTGCATGAGTCTGCACTTATTTGGTATTAGCGCGCACAAAGGGTGCATTCATCATCTCCTCCTACACTCAACTCCTTCTACAATAGAAAAGTGATTCAAATTATTTCCCAAGTATTCTAAATGTGGAGTTTTAAACAATTTACGTTTTCTTGCTAATTTCATCCCTCTTTTCTCGAGGGGCCTTTACATTTGCATTTTCAAGGAACCGTGGACTCAGAAGACTTTGTGGAGAACAGGGAAACAAGCATTGTTATGAACCACTCACGGAGCGCAAATCACCTCAGAGACCCTTTATCTCTCTCCAAGCCCCTTTGGCTGAGGGGAAACCGTAAAGTGCTGTTGAAGCAGGTAGAGCTCGTTCCCGTAATAATGTTGGATATGCAGGTTATTGCAGATTCCCGTTCATCCATCATTTTTTAGGAGTTTGCGGTAAACACGCAGCACGCTCTCGGCTGCAGTTTGTCTCCATGTGTCAAAATGAAAGAGCTGTGTGTTTACAGAGGGAGCGAAGAAGAGGATTACTAATTAATAAGTCGCTGTGCAGATAGAATAAATACAGATATTTACACTGTTCAGAGGTTTTCTCACTATAAGGAGGTTTGGGTGGGATTTTATTTTCAGTTTTTTTCCATTTTTTTCCCCAGATAAGAAAATTTAAGATTGTTGTTGAATCATACAACTATATTATACCATCATATAAGAGTTAAATGGAAACAACATCTCATAGACTCACTTTGGACGAATAAAAACAGCTTTATTTTATCATGTTTCACAGCTGCTTAAGCTATCAAAATATCTTATAAACGATAAATGGATCGTCTTAAAAAGAAGAAGTTCTGTGAGAATTTACATAAAAGCTCTCACATGTTTATTTAGAGATCAACTATGCTGTTTCTCTGCAAAGGAAAAGGCTCATAAAGCACAGGAAGCCTTCTGAAAATAATCTTCGCCATAATTCACACTGCTGCTCGCTTCGCGTTGCAGCTGTTTTCAGGGGAATCGGCCCACTTCCTGATTAGAAGCTTTATCTTCTCGTTCTGCGTTATTACACTACGATATGGTTTTGGTTCAGTGGCTTGACGTCAGTTTTGAACCCGGCGTGCAGGTGAACAGACAGCATGCCCTTGTTATTTTGAGAACACGCTGTTCCTGTTAGCTGATTGCCGGCTGCGGTAAAAGGTAACAGTAAACTCAACAGTTGTTTAGATTCCTGCGTACACATGTTGACATATTTCTGTCTGAGAGCGTGTAAAGGGCGGGGGACGGTTTCTGAGAACTTGTGTACTTGACACTCATGTTGTGAGCAGCCTGCCGCATCAGTTTGTGTGTCAGAGCATGTCGGGTCATGCTGACACCTACAGAGAATTAAAATGAGTCACAACAGGACAAAGAAGTCAGGCTTTGATTCTCTAGAAGACAAGATCACTTCTAGTGTATTTTGTCTGAAGCAGCTGTTCTCAGAAGGAGGAACAAAACTTCAGAAGATCAAATTCATAGATGTTTTGAAGCTTGTTCTAAGACTTTAGCTCTACAATCATGTGATGTTGTGGTTTCACACATGTGGGTGAAGCAGAGGGTCAAACTTTGTCGAATCTAAAAGGAAATTAAAAAAAACTTCTACTCGACCTCGAAAGAGAGTCTGTGAAACCAACGATTACGTCAATCGAACTTCACCTGAAGGACTGCTGCATGTACCGTGTTTCACTTTTAGTCATCTGACTCTGAAACAGACACACTCATAATAAAACAAATCAAACACAGAGATCTCATTTCATAGAAAAATAGTGCTCTTTATTATAAATTAATGATTTCTTTTTTCCCTATGAATATAAATAAGTGCAAAGTTGTATCAGTCTGCTTTTCTTGTCAAACTTCTCAAAATATCTTCAAGCATTCACTGCCAGAGGTTTGGCTGGTTAAAAAGATCATCTTTATAAAAGACAGCACAAAACAGACTCCACTTCATCTTCACTCATGTAAACTCATGAAATTAAGACACATTTTCATTCTTTTCCTTGTTTAGAAAAGACAGATACCATACTTAATACATTCATTTGCAAGAAATGGCTATCGTGTCTGTGCCACCACATGTTTTGGTACATATTTCCTTACTAACAGTGGTTCTGTTCTCTCAAGTAAGATCCTGTAGGATTCAGTCATGTTGGTGCGCCAACAAACTGCTGTCTAGTTCAGGCAAGTTTGGCAGAAACCCTTCCCTCAGAATGACACATGAAAAATCACTTTTTTTCCACATATTCTGGTCCTCAGATTCAGGTTTTTTTTTTTTTTTAAAAGCATTTTTCCACCCAGACACCCATGAGTGTCCACTCATCTCGACTCTGAGTTTCCACTGTCTCTGAGTTTCCAGCACACACTTGGTCAGAGATCCCAGGATGCCGGACGGATGTGTCTAAGAAGATCATCACCCAACGTCAGCAACAACAACAAAAAAAAAGAAAAAAAAAAAAGGCAGCCTGATTGTAAAAGCAAGTCCAGCTTTAATGGATCGTGGTTTTCTGAGGCTGATGTGTGCGTGTGTGTGCACACTGGTTAGCAGCGACGGCAGAGGGAACCTGTGTGTCATCAGACTGGAGACAGCTGACTGCGAGACGCACTTCAGTTTTCAGTAACATGTGCGTCATCGGCAGAGGGTTCGCTCTCTCTTTCTCTTGTGGCCTCTATTCTCTCTCTTTTCGAGCCAAACTCCAACATCTTCTCCTTGGACTGATGCCGTCTTATCTTCTCCTTTTCTCATGATTAATTCCAACTCTGTTCACTCCACATCTCCACATCTCATTTCCTCCTTAGCTGCACTTAAAACAACCTCTTCTACTCAAGTCTTTTGCCCTTTTCAAGAGCATCAGTCCGGCTCTTCTAGATAGGAGCATCATACTCCTGGAGGAACTCCTTCAGAGGATGAGGGAGCTGGTCTCTCCTGGAGGAAATGTCCAAATGTCCATTCACTGTTTTCCTGCACAAATGCTGCAAAGTGGATAAAGTACATGAGAGAGGTTTGATGAGCTCCAGAGGGATCTTCTCCCCTCCAGAGTAGATGTAGTAGATACTCCCACTGCGTGTGTTGCTTTTGCTTTGAGACATATAGTAATGCACCAGCTTGAGGACACAGTCAAAGTGGGGGACAGACTGAACGTTCTTAGGGTCTGTCTGCAGGTAAAAAGAGGATGAGTCACATTGGATGCGAAGGTTTTTAGTGCCAGATGCGGTCTTAACACTAAGGGCGAAAAGATGCCGGTTGTCCGAACTGTCCCTGATGAGGAACGTCCCTGTGGCCTCGGTCGCCAGCATGGCGTTGGCCTCCTTTCCGTTGATGGGGCCCCAGTAGAAGCCGCTCTCCTGCAGCTTGTGGAGCGTGCCCAGGACCATCTGGTACTGCGTCTTGGAGGAGAAAGTCTTGTAACGCTGAGGCAGCCGCATGTTGGAGGAGTCCAAGAAGCTGCTGCTCATCGCGGAGTCAAACTTGCTGTGAGTTACCATGGCGCTTTGCCCGCTCTTGAGGAAGCCTGAGGGAGCACGGGGCGCCACACAGACAGGAGGAGATGAGGTGACGGGGTCAAACGGAGGTTCAGTGGGTTGTGGCGGAGGGCATGAGGAGGTTAGAGTGTCTGGAGATAAGAGAAGAGATTCAAGTGAGTTTTAAATACAGTAATAACACATCTGTCTCAGTCACACTGAGCTAATATCCTTAAAAGCGTTCAGCTCTGTTGGAAACTCTTTTTCCAGATGTAGAAGCTTTGTGCATCTGTTCAAAAAACCTCTGGTGATAAAAAGGAAATTACCTGGAAGCTCTACTTTACAACTAATGTCAAAACAATCCTCTAGCTGTTAAATGGAAGGCTAACAGCTCTGTTTGAAATCATTTTTCCAGATGTAAAAGAAGCTCTTTGCATCCTCTGGTGATGATGAGGAAATTTGCCTCTGTGCTCTTTTTTTTAAACATCTAAAGACAAACTAAATACTAATCTGTTTAATTCACCTCCCCTGAATAAAAGATTTCCACATAGTTAAACTTTAATCCTTTATCTAAACTTTCGGTTATTTCAGGGAAACTTTTTGAGTAATCTGCCCTCTGGTCTCGGCAGCCCGGTCAGTTCCAGTAAGGACCTCATAATCCTCCTGATTGCGTAATTTACGCGCCGGGACCGGCTTCACTGAACAAACTACGACACTTTCATTAACACTCTTAACATTTTAGATAAAAACCTTTAAACATTTACAAGAAAACCAAAAAAAAAACGTGGAAAAAAAGTGACATGTCCTCACCTTTTACGCTTCTCCAAATGCACTCTTGTAAAATTAATCCAAGCAGCTGCTTGTTCACAGTTATCCTGCAGTGGTCTGACAGATTTGAAGCTCTTTGGAAACAAACTTGAGACTTTATAAAGTAGTTTTTTTTCTTCTTGCTCGAGAACAGCTTGAACACTGTGGTCTCGCTGAGCTGCGTATTAGTAGGAGTTGGAGGAGGGCTTATAACATGAGAGGATAAGCTCCGCCCCTTGCTTCCAGGAAAGATCTGTTCTCTTGGCACATTGTCAGGAAGCGGAGTTATTTATTTTTTTTGCAGGATTCCTGCTATGAAGCGCCCTCCCCCCTTCTCCCTCCCTCTCCTGTCCCCTAAAACGAAGTTAAGGAGGAGTTCCAAGCAGGGCTGTATTTACATCTAGCAACCAAAAAGGAGTTTTAGCACCTTGAATCCCACATCTTTCAGACTTTTATTGTGAAAACACACAGAGCCGCATCTCTATGGTGAGATTTTGAAACGCAGTTGCGTTTGCTTTCTTTCATTAAGTTCCTCTTTAGCGTAAAGAGTGAGGTAATGATTCAGACTTTCTTGGTAGTCAGTTTCTGAGAAATTCTCTCTGATGGTTGCTCACAAGCCGAGCTGCACTTCCCCATAGAGGGCGCCATGTTTAGGGAACTACCAGAGCACATAATGAGAGCTGATTTCCCAATAGCAGCAGCAGCAGCAGCAGCAGCCGGTAACCAATGGCAGCCACTCTGTATTTACTCGCTGTTGTGAAATTTTATATGTTTTCCCAGCAGTGTTAATGAACGTATTTCATGAAATATGTGGTGCTTTCCTTTGGAGACCCAAACTAAACGAGGTGAGGGCTCCCTCTTAGATATAAGAAATATGTTTTTTCATATTTTACATTGTACTTTTTCCATTATGTCATATCTTATGTTATTTTTGTGTCTTGCACAAGCCAAGATGGGCTTATAAGAAACCGAACATACTGTTGCAACACTGGAAGAAGAGCTTAGGGGGGAAAAACTCCTTACAAAGCACACATGTTTATCTTCAATCTAAGCTCTGTGTTTAAAGTACAGCCTGTGCCTAAAGTTTTTACAGTAAAATGACAACAACACAATCTTTATCACTTCAAATAAAAAAGATATGAACTATTTATGGAGCGCTAACAAAGGACAATCATCATACGGCTTTTGAAATTCAGTAAAATTCAATAAAATGCCAAAAAAAAGTACCAAAAAGTTGACTCTCACCCACTCACTGTTTTAGATTAGTTTAATTCAGAATTTACATGACATTTGGGAAATATTTCGCTGTTCCTCCCACCCACCCTCAACCCGTCTGACTTCACCTTTACTGTAACACTTCTTCTTTATCATCACTGTCTAACAGCTTGTATCTCAGCAAAGGGAAGCATGACTTCAGATCCTCATGTAACGTCGGCCTAATCTTTGGCAACATGCGTGTGACTGATAGAGTGCTCATTCTCAACACATCAGCTCCCTCCCAGCTGACTCAGCTATGACCCCCATCAGCCTCAGGTGTTCATTGTACGTCGGTTTAACTCCAGGATGTGGCGTCATGTCAGACGTTGAACCGAGTCAGTCAAGAATAACTCAAACAGAGGTCGTAAAAGGCTCTGAAACTTTAGAGTAAAGAAATACAGCATCTGGTTTGGTGCGAGTTTTACCAAAGCTCTGCCGGGACTGTACAAAGGGAGGGGCTTGTGGGTAACGAACTGACGCCAATGAGCCTGATGGTCTTTGGTAAAAGCCAGCTGTGTCCACAGAGGTGAGTCAGGTGTTGTCTGAATCAGACCACCAGCACCAGCAGCAGCAGGATGAGGAAGGGGGAAGGGAAACGAGGATAGCCTCGTAACAGTTCGCTTGTTTCCAGAAAATCTATTGTGTCATCATCATGAAGCATCTACTTAGCATCCAAAGTCCCCCACTGGGACCTCTATGGAAGCCAGTGGAGGAGAAACGGAGCAGTCAGCTGGCTCGGTTTTGGGAAAGAGAAACCCCCACTGTAATGTGCTTTGGCTCACCATGGAAACTCTATGCCTTTCATAACGCCGTGCTGACTTTGCTTTTCAAAGTGTGCGCAGTAACCATCCCAAAATCAATCAATTAAAGTTATTCTTTCTTTTTTTTGCATTAAACGGCTGGGACCAGGAGTCGTCTGGTCGAGAACTATATCCTCAGTCTGCTCTACTATGTGAACTAAACCAGTGCCCCACATTAATCAGATTTGGCTCATCCTAAAAATGTTTTATTTTGATTTCCTTTTGATATCTTTTTACCGGATACGATAAAATATGATTCAGTTTGGTACAATATAATATACTACAAATTAATACAGTATGATTCAGCTCTTTATTTAAGGATGTGCAGTTTCACAGTCTAATGCAATAGGATATGAGACTATGCAATGTGATATGAAGCAATAAAGTTTGTTACAGTGCCATGCAATTTGATACGGAACAGTAAAACAGGCTACAATACATCACAGTACAATACAAGATAATATACTAATTAAATTTAATACATTATTATATGTAACAATGTGTTTTCTTACATGAAAAAGGATTAGTGCCACAAGGAGAGAAAATAATGATTAAAGGAGGGAGATTTTTTTTTTTTTTCGGGATAAAAGATGAAATTTCGAGATTTAAGTCAAAATTTAAAATAGTCAAAATTAAAAATATTCAAACTACGTGAATTGAGTCGAAATATGACTATAATCTCAAATTTTTAATTTTTTTTAATGTCAAGATTTCGACATAATTGACTTTTTTTTTTTTAATCTACAAATTTTGACTTTAATCTTTAAATTTCGACTTTAATCTCTTTTCTGTTATTATTTTTTTTCTCTTCATGTGGCCCTAATCATCTTACTGTTTGTGTTTACTTATTTTGAATTGTATTATTATTATTATTATTATTATTATTATTATTATTGTTGTTGTTGTTGTAACGTGTGCTGCTGACCTCTTTGCCAGGTCACCCTTGTAAACAGAGACCTCAATCTCAAGCGGTTTTCTTACCTGGTTAAATAAAGGTTAGATAAAAATAAAACAAAACAATATTATCTGATGTGATATGAAAAAGTGAGATAAAATACAATACAGTAATATAATTTGATATGATGTGATGAAACAAAGATACCATAACTCACAACACAATATGAAACAGTACGATAAGACATGATTTGATACCGTACAATATGATGTTACACAATACATTGTGATAAGACACAATTTGTTGTATTTATAAGCAGAAGTCCAATTTACAACCACAGCAGCAAAAATAGGTAAATTATTAATCATTTGATTGTTTAATCGAGGGATGCCAGTAAATGGACTTAACAGAAAGTAATAATGATAAAGGTATTCCTCCACAGGTTGTACGTTATTAATTCCGAGCATAAAGATCATACATGGGAGATTATGAGAGTAGCCGAGGCCAAGAAGGTCAGTCCACCACAGTGATTTACAGGAACCATCGAAACAGGGAAGAAAACACTTGTTTACGATCACAACAAAGTCAATGACATTTTAACATGAAGAGTGGAAGAGAGGAAGACTTATAAGTACAGCGAGGAGATAGATGTCAAGAATAACAGTGCTTTACAGACGTCAAGACCCGTGAAAAAATGATAAACAAACTCAAGAGCGTTTAGACTTAACCAAAGGTCAACCCTCAGGTGGTTTGGGAGGCGAGGCGGCTGACGAACTAAGTGACCTGGAGCTGAGAGAGCTCTCTGCTCTGTTGTTTTAACACGCTGCGGGTCAGCGGGCAAACATCAGGGGCCTCTGGAAAGTCATGGTGTGAGGCTTGGCAATGAGGGAGTGTGTGTGTATTTCTGTCTGTTATTTCCAGCAGTTTGACGGGATATGAATTTGAAAAACCTTAAAAATATATCGCCTATTTTCCTAATGTGTTTTTATCCCCTTTAACTACCATGTTAATTCTCCAAAAAGTCATTGAGTTTCAATGAGACGGAAAGAAAAATGAATTTATCCTACTCTGAAGTGGATGAGATGAGGTCTTGCATGATAGACTCTCGGTCTAAACCACTGTTTAGTGGAAAAGGCGGCTGTTTAGGTTTTCCCACACTGACTCAGAGATTTACTCTAGCTCATGGTTCCCGTAAACCCGCTGGGCATGAGGGGGAAACAGGCCGACCTCTCGAGTGGAAAAGAGGGGTGAAAAGCAGAAAAATGTTATTCAACAAAATATTTTTTAGCTGCTCGGTTTAGCGGGATTTCACCGCACTGGGAGATCTTTTGAAAAGCGAGGTGTTTTGCCAGTTTTATGTGAATTATTTGTGGTACAAAGGCACCGCTTATTGTTTGCACAGCTGAATACAGTAGGGCGTGAATTCAAGTTGTACCAACATGAAGCAGGCGTGAGTGTTTTACAGAAGAAATGTTAAAAAGTGTTTCCTGAAGTTGATTAAATCCTACAGAAGCTTTTGAACAATGATGCTGGTGAGAGGAAACTCTGTTTGTTCCTGCCACAGACTTCAATCCAGTAAGTCACAGTGGAACTGTCACTGCTGAGGATCTGATATACGCTGGGAGGTTCCTGGTATATCAGTCGATCTAATTCCTGTTAGCTCTCTATCATTATCTTTTAGTTTCACTTCCTGCCTCTACCTGCATGTGTCCTCTTTTTCAACACCGTCAGTCCACCTCCACAGCTTCACAGCGGTGTTACTGTAAAATATCCTCATTGCTTGAGCAAGATCTGATCCATGCGATTACCAATCATCCCCACTAATAATTTCCTGGTAACCCTCTCATCGCTCCCTTTGTGTGCTGCTGTCAATGCCGTTCTTTGTCAGCGCAGACTCATGAGTGACCGCCACAGAAAGAATGAAGCCACAAAAATCTTGAGAGGCAACTCCGTCTTTCACAACTAATTCTCCAGAAAAACAGTCATGAAGCCAAAACTCTGCCCTCATTTTTAATCTTCATGTAATTTGTGTTACTTGGAAACCTTTCAGATGAGCATTCACTGGTATGTAAAGTGACAGGCAGGATGATCTGAAGCACGCTTTGTTCATGAGTGTCATTTTTGATGGCGCAATCACACCGCAGAGCATTACTGTAAACACACAGGGAAGCACCTCTGTTATTCTTTTATTTCTCTTTCGCCCTTTAAAAGGAAGTCGCTATGACACATGAGATCTGTTGGCAGCTGCACAGAATTCAAATCTTTAAAAAGAAATACAAAGGAAACTTGTGATTCACGTTAACGTTGCTTTTGATAATGAGGAAATTACAAGGAGCTGTGCTGCTAATAATGGGGCAAGGAGAAGTCTGAACAAGAATATAAGATAATTTCTGAATAAAGCCATGCAAATAAAAAATCAGCTTCCTGCTCTTTTATGGACACATAAACCCAGATCTGTTTATGCCGGATTGATAAAAAAAGAGTCAGTTGCAGCAGGTGAATTTACAGCATGGAGATAAAGTGGGTCAGTTTAAGTATATTAGGCTTTAAACCAACATGAAACTGACACACATATGCGCGCTCACTGCTTTTTAAAGCTGTGTGTCTAACAGCAGCAACACCTTCGACACATAAGCTGCTTTTATTCTGCCTCTTACTCTTTTAAAATGACTATAAAATAAGATAACGTTTGTGTCATTAATATGGTCTTTTGTGTTGATTAAATGTCTGTAATTAGGCTAAAAAGTCTTTGAATCCATAATGGTCCTGTGTCACTTTTGTGCCAGCTTTGGCGCCCCCTGTGGACAAAGCTGTCTTTGCATTTGTAGTCCTTTACATACTTCAGACGTGACTTCTAATTTTAGAAAATATCATGAACATGTCAAAAATGTGCATGTAGTATTTCTGCCTATCACTCACAGTGCTTTTAAAGGTACAGTACGTAGAAATGAGAATATCTAGCAGTGCCCAGATTCTGGACGAAAAAGCCCCTTTACTCAACCCTCCATTGCTGAAGTGATGGTGGCCTTTTGAGGTCAAGAAGCTAATCAGTACGATTCTTTTCACTATAATAAAAAATGTGTACAAATTCTTCTTCTTTTAACAAGTGCAGTTTGTGCAAAAGCCACAAATTTGTTGCACAAATTTCCACATCTACCAAGTCTGTTCTGCTAAATGCTGACTTCACCTTTACTTTACTGCAAAACAAAACTTTTTTGTCTTTGTGTGTGTGTGAAAAATGTCTGTTTTTTGATTGATTTGTGAGCCCCTGTGAGGAACATATTCCCACAGCATAGGAGAGTGGGGGTTTACCAGTCTAAAAAGTTTGGGAACCCCCTCACCTGGAGCGCCTTTATAATCATGCTTGGTACTTGATGTGCATATTTTGATCTGCAGGATATATAAAGATGGCCTCTACCCTTCTGCAAAAAGGGAAACTTTTTTTTTTTTCGTCTTTATTTGATGAGTTGGTCACTTACGATATCTGCTGTTCCATGTAAGGGCCTAAAAGAAGTGAAAGTTGGCAGTAAATGTAGCCGAACATGCAGGGGACATACCGCGCTTAACTCATGGCACAGAGTCTATTTATAGCCCAGAGTACCGTGACTGTCACACAGCTGGCTTCTGGGAAGAGCTAAAAGCAGAACACACAGCTATTAAGTTGTGCGTTTCACATCCACAAACTACCCACAGTTACAATTGTTCCTCTGATAAGTAAACAACCTTTTTTACTTTATTTATATAACCTAGTTATAACCTAGTTTCGCCAGTAAAAGTGAAAGAGAGAACGTTTTTAGTTTTCAAAGTATCAAAACTAGTCGAGAGAGTTTTTTCAGTTTCAGAATCTGGATCATATTTGTGAAGCATGCATATAAAGAGATGTACTGTTAGACTTGATATTTGGCTGCAGTCTTACCACATATGTAGATATGCTGCACATTGCATAAGTAAGAGTGTGACTTTGATAAGAAATGCACACACACCCATTTCGATCCTGCAAACTTCTGTCTACTTGCGTCAAAAGCAGCTCAGCTTCGAGACGGAGGTGTGAAGGAGTTTCTTCTCCCCCTCTACAATTTTGCCTGTCTTATCCTCTGCATGCTCACTGGAGCTTTAAAACGCAAAGTCAGAGGAGATAATTTAATTCTTAAAGTTGGAGGGTTTTCTTCGTTTCAAGTCTAGTTTTGAAAGCAGAGGTTTGCATTTTTGTGTGCTGATTCGTTAAACTGAAATATTAATAAAAAATGTGATTTTTTAATTTTAATTTATGGTGTGATAAGAGTGTAAATGTGAACACATCCTTGTGTGATGCTGGTGTCATGCTTTCTGTCTCTAACTGCTCGATTCGGAGGATTTGCGAGACAGGAAATCGTCTGATTGTTGATTTTATGCATCGATCACGAAGAGCCGTCACTCATTTGTAACGGACTTTGTGTCTTCTCTGAATTTGCTGCCAGGGTAAGGATGACCAATTTTCTGACTGAAGACTGCTTTAAAACAGGAAGAAGTTTTTATGCAGGATTTACAAAATAGTTCTGTATTTTATTTTAAGTAATTATTGCTGCAAACAGTCAGTGTGGAGCTTATTTGAAGTGGTAAGAGGAGGTAAAATTTGCAATTATGAACTTTTTCCGTGTCCAAATTTATGTGAAATTTGGTAAAATCTTCCTGTCTCATCACTATCATGAAGAAAAAGTACATTTTTATCCAAAATGTTGAAGAATTTGCACAAAAAAATTCTTGAGTACTAAACCTGGAAAAATATTCCAAGTTTCTGTCCAACGTTGGCATTAGTTTTCCTTCCCTGGACTATGTCTTGGTCCATCTCATAACAGCTGTGGACTTCATCAGTTTATCAGTATACTATCACGTTGCCAAGAATCCACTCTGAATTTATTATCGACTCCTGATTTTATGACGCACTTTCTGGCATTGTTGAGCGTTGGCCCTGCCAGCAATATGACCAGCAAACTCTTCAACTCCGGGCATTGTTCCAATATTTACACAGCTCCACACTGTGGCCCATTGACGGGGCCGGTGCCAGCTCTGCTCCTCTCAAGGTTAACAAGAGGAGGAGAAGTGAGATAAACTGTATTCATTTCCAGAAGCTGTTTTCATACACTTCCATTTTCCTGGCAGAAGCTAATGAGACAATAATAGACATGTAGTGTTGCTGTGAAAGGCTGCAACCAGAAGGGCATGTGGGTCACTTAGCAACATTTTAACCATGTGACAGTGAGCTGGGAGCTTCAGGGGCTATAACTGAGAGGGACTGAACCCAGACAGACCTCAACGAGAATTTCAAAACCCTTTCTTTCCAAATAACACGGAGCTGACACAATGACTGTTTTGTCATTTGGTGCCGACTTGTGAAGAAGGAAAGGGGGGAAATGCACGCACATGGGAAATACTGTGTGATTCGGTCAGTTTCAGTGCACAGTCACGGCATTGAGGAAGATACTAAAGAAAGACGCAAATGTCACAAGCGTCACCAGGATGTCCAGGGTGTCATTATTTTCCACCACGGGCGGCGTTACGCTACATGTGGTTGCTAAGCAAACGGCACTTCAACATTTACTGGAAAGTTAAAGATCAAGTGTTGGAGATCAAAGTGTGTAAATCAGCCAGTTTGCCGCGTAACCACACTTCTGCTTTCTCTTGAGAAAGAATTTAAAAGAGCAAGATAAGTGTGAAATCGACTGTTATGGAGATTCTGAGTAAAAACAAAACCTCATGACTTAAAGATAATCCGTTGAATAAATTATGAGCAAAAATTCCAGATAAGGAGTCAGACCCAAGCCAGCAGACTCATCTACTCTCTGACAAATTTATCTTTTGCCTTCAGTTGCACAGAGACGAAATGTGCAAATGAGGGGATTTTTTTTCCCATAATTCATCTCTAAGTGTGACTGAAGCTGTGCAGCTTAAGGTTTCAAAAAGGGTGACCAAATGTCCTCTTTTACCCAAACATGTCCTCCTTTTCGGGGGATGTGAGGATTCAGAATATGGTCACCCTACTTCAGAGCTAAGCTAGGAAGCATAGTGCGTTGTTTTCAACTTCTTTTAAATCATACAATCACACAGGCCCAAGGCATAAGTGAACTAAGGCTATGTTCACACTGCAGGTCAATTCCGATTTTTTAACCGTATGTGACACATATCTGATTTTTTCATGTAAGTGTGAACAGTGCAATTCTCATTTTTTCAAATCTGACCCAGGCCTCCTTTGTATGTGGATATAAATCGGATGTGTATCGTCGTGTTCATCCGACCTATACGTTATCAATATGCGACAAACATCACCATTGTTCGACAACACAAACAGGCGCAGAAAGCAATTTGTGCTTTTTGCGCATGCGGGTCACTTTACGGACGCATTCCGTTCACTTTAGATGCCGCATTTGTTGTTGTAATGTGAACGACGGCACAAATAGATCGGATTTAACAAAAAATCTGAATTGTGCATCAAAACCTGCAGGGTGAACGTAGCTTAAGCGCCTTCTTGGGGCCCGGTGGCCAGTAGGGGGCGCCCATGAGCAATCAAAAAAATAATACATCAAATTTTGCTTGGGGCCCCATTGAGGCTTGGGACGTCTCTGCTGCCAGTCATTTAGCAGCCAAGTGGGTTAACAACTTCCCAACCTGGAAACAAAGACCATCCAAGAGACACATGAGCTAGTCTTGGTAAAGTCACTTATTAACCTGGATGGGTCATAATGAGACTTTTGAATCATCATGTCTCCTTACAGTCTTCTCTTGTCCCTGAGATCCATCACGCCGTAGATTCCTCGAGATCGCTGCTGCAGACATTTGCTGTTCTGGCAGGGTGGCCATACGTCCTCCCCCACCCGGACATGTCCTCCGAGTTTGTCTGGCTTTGTCCGAGGAAGTTTATAAAATCCTTCAAATGTCTGAGGTTTTGCATGTAAGTTTCGATTTTGTGTCACATGGACTCACTGAGTTAGAAACTCGTAAAAGACACTCAATCTGACCTATAAAACTTTGTGTGACTCTGTGACTTCGCCCCCGCGTAGTCATGTCCTTTTTTATGGAGGTCAGAATATGGTCACCCTTCAAGAGACACATGAACTAGTCTTGGTAAAGTCACCTGTTGACTTTGAATCATTATGTCCCCTTTGAGTCTTTTCTGGGAGTCCCTGAGATCCATCATGCCGTATGTTTCTCTTGACTGCTGCTGCAGATTTTTGCTGTTCTGGTAGGGTGACCATACGTCCTCTTCTACCCGGACATGTCCTCTTTTTGGGGGCCTGTCCAGGCTGTTCAGGCTTTGTCCAGGGAAGTTTATAAAATCCTTCAAATGTCCGCAATTTTGTGTCACTTGGACTTAGAAACGCGTAAAAGACACTTGATTCGACCCGAGAAACTCTTAAAATTAACTTTGTGCAACTCCATGACTCTGCCCCCGCGTAGTCATGTCCTCTTTTTGGGGAAGTCAGAATCGGGTCACCCTATTTCAGGACCTTTCTGTGCATCACTCTCACCTCTGCCTGTCTCTTTCTCTGCACCTATCCCCTCTCTAAATGCCGTAGACTGTCTTACATGAGTCTATGATGTGTTTTTTTCCCTAATTTTTCACCATTTTACAGAATATGAGTCATGTTTAAACAAGTGGAAAACTTTAATAACACCCTGGAGGAAAACCCTCATGTGCAGGATCACAGTCTGCACCTCTTTGATGTCTGCACTCTGTGGCTGAAATAAGTATGTGAGGTCATACCTCCACGGCGGTTGCGAGCTGCATCTGGAGACTGCAGATCCGCCACCTTCCCTGAAATGTCCAGATCATGATCAAGTGCTGCCTCCAGCATCCAGATTGCATCATGGCAGATAATATGATTGATCAGACGCCGCCGGCCTATCCGGGCTCAGGCTGCTGCCGCTGCCGCCGCCACCGTTCGTTTATCAGTATCAAATGTTTAGACACAGAGGCAGCCAATGACATAATCGCGATCTTCAAAATGGACTTTGATTCCCACAAACCCCCAGAATAGCTGGCTGATGTCATTGGGCAGCTGGTAATAAATCTGTCTGCACTAATAGCAGGTTGGGTGAGAGATGCTGCGATCTGAGAACACCTTCTGTGAATGTGCCGCCTGCAAAGTGCACATTCATTCAGTCTCTGCACGGAGCAGACACACACACACACACGTGCATGCATTCAGGAAACAAATGCAAAAAGATTAATATGCAGCTTTTTAGGATGTGTCTTCATTCATGAGCACATGCAAACACAGACACATACACTTCCTCGGTAACACACGAGAAGTAACTCGATCCTGAGCTGTGCCAGTAAGCCCGACATTTCCGGATAGATTCAGTGTGTACGTGCGAGGTTCAAACATGGCTTTTGTGGTTACGGTCCTGGTAGGAGTGCAGGTAGCGGTCTAGGATATGTGCCAGACAGAGGACAGGGACGTTTCAGTAGATCAGGGGGATTTACATGGTGAAATTTGTAATGCAGTTTGGCAGAGTAGAGTGCAAGTCCCTTTTGTCCTGTGTATATCGTATTGTCTAAAAGGCCTGAGTCAGCCGCAGATGTTTGAGGAGAGTACCCAGGATGCATCAGTCACTCTGAGGAAAGCTTTGATCTTGGCTTCTCCCTCGCTCTGTAAGTGATTCCACATGTGTTGTCGGACCGGGCCTTAGGTGACCTTGCACGAAAACGTCTCCATGGCACAATGAAGTCATATGAGGAGACTAATAACCTGAAAGGGGCCTATTGTTGCTGCAGCAGGTGTGTCCACGTCGAGATATCTACTACAGTTTGTACAGGAGTCCTCTTTCATCTACCCAGCTGTCATTTTTTGTTTGTTTTGAGATTACTTTCATTCAAACTGCAGCTGCATTATCAGTCAAACATCAACTCGCTTCGTCTTCTTGCTGCTTCCCTGCTGTGATTTAAATACGCCCCCTCCAAGCTATGCATTGTGCAACTCCCACACTTCGTAGGTTCACGAGCCCAACAGAATGCAGTTCAGTGTCCTAAAGAGACCTAACAGAAGGCGCTCCTGTCTCCACAGCCCCTCCTACATGTTCGAGATCTGTATTCTGACTGCATACTCCATCGAATCCTGCACGTTTTCATTATTTCTCTGAGTAACATGAGCATTTATCAGAATAATAAAAAAAATATGAGTGCTGCAGTAAAATCAAGGACCAGAAAGCAGAACTAGGCCTCTTTCTTTGCAAGGCATTTCCTTCAGACCCCTTCTAGCTGGGCACTCCCTGCAGACAGGAAATTCTCCTGGAGGCCCTCCAAAAACCGCAGCCTCCTTTTCCTCCTTTTTTCCCGGTTTTAGCTTAAAGATGTTGGAATCAAGGTTCGCCCCGTCCCCATCTTCGACCTGCATGTAAACAAACAATCAGCCTTCTTGTTCCAGGAATCTCTCGAGGTTACCCCCCGGCTTGTGCAGCGAGTTCTCCTGCAAGATTCCTGCAACATGCCCCCGTGATCATCATCATCATCATCATATTTTGAGATGATATATGAGATTAATCGTAAAAAAGATCCCGCAGACAGAAATGTGCTTGTTTTCACACCACATTCAAAAAACGACCATGCTTTCCCAGAATGAGAGCCACCCACAGTTCTGTGAATGTGCAGAAAACAAATCCCACTGTGCCATTTTCCCCTACTGGGACAAACAACCTTCTGTCTGTTGCACACACTTTTCCCTGAAAGCCCCACATCAGCAAGTTCATGAAAAAAAAAAAAGAAATGTGTACACAAGAAGGAATAAAGTTGACTCGTCTTCCAGTAAATCCAATTGATATGGCACTCAGACAGCGTCTATCTCTCAACTCAATTGTATTCAGTCAAATTCAATTCCTTGACCTGATTACATTCAGGAACAAATACTTAGATTTAAACTTGTAGGGCCTGTATCATTTCTCAGTTTGAATCTCACAATGCCAGGAAGTGTCGTTTCTGTCAAGTCACTTACAATTTTTTACCACCCTCACGAGGACACATATTGTTTATAGACAGCTCATATAAGACGGCGTGCTATATTTAAACAAGAGAGGCTGTAACAATAGATAAGATGTTTGCTATCACACATTTCCTTAACACTTCTCGGATCTAGGTAACTGTGTCACTTCAGGGCAGGTGACTCTAATGACCCCGATTCCAGAACAAGTCAGGCAGCTGTGAAACCGTTGATTACAAAAAGATAATTCGGCGGTTTGAAGATCATTAAACCTCCAAAGTTGACTCACAAGAGTGCAGAGACGACTGATCTGATGGCGAAATTAAAAAATGTGTTAATTAAAGTGAAAGATATCTAACTGTTAAACACGCCTACGCACAACTTAAAAAATTTGAGGACACAAAACCAGTTCTTTAAGGCAATGATCTTCTTACACTCAGGTTGCATCCATATGCTGCGTTCGAGTTACCTCGGAAATCAGAAGTCCGAGCCAAAAATGACGTCACACCAGAGGTACCAGCGTTTAAGTAACCAAGTCAGAAAAAAGCAAAATCTGAAACAAGATGGCTAGATCTACGAAAGTTATTTTTTTGCTTGCCTTGTCTGAATATAAAGCAAGCGTTTAAATAACTTTCGTAGATGACGCCTCTTATTTTGCTTTTTTCTGACTCATTTTCAGCTCCAACATCTGATTCCGAGGTAACTCGAATGCAACAATAGACTGTATATACTTTGGTCAACTTGGTTCCGCCTTCTGCCAGTATACGGATTTGAGGCCGAAAAGCTCTCAGAGTTTTTTCTCCACTTCCTGAAACCAACATTGTGCAGTAGAATTGTACACATTCAGCGGGAGAGTTGCAGAGAGTCGCTGTGATGACGCTTCCCTGGGTTAGCTATGCAAACTTCGTACGCTCATAAACTGTATCAGGTGTCAATCATAGAAAACATGAACCCCCTAATAACTTTTAAAAACAGAGCTGTACAGAAAAAAAGAGGACTCGAGCACAAACCAGTCTTACAGTAACCACATGTCAATATTGCAACACAGTCAATGGTTGCACCGCATGACTCTGTTGTGGCGTTCTCGGCATAGTCTCGAAATCTCGTCAAAAAGCCGTCGTATGTGGACACGGGTTCAAAGTGCACCATGCAAAGAGGAAACTCCAAGTGGACCTCTGTCCTTTGACATCCTTCTTGGAAACAATGGGCGCTGTATCCTTCCTTTTTAACAGAAGAGGAGAGGGACCACCCAGTTTGATAACGGTGCACGGTTCAAGGCAGCACCGGGGTGGTACAGAGATGCTGTAGTCTCAGTCAGTACGTTTACATGACACTCAAGTATTATTGCCTTACTCCGATTAAGACCGGACAACTGAAGTGCATGTAAACACCTTAGTTCGGCTACAATCAGAGTTTGAGAACTCTGATTAAGACACCCAGATAATGCAGGCAAAAACACCAGGGGAGAAGGGGCAGGTACATCATGTACGACAAAAAACAACGCTGTAAGATGCTCCATCTTCTTGCTCGAAAATTCAACAGTTGGAGCCACTTCTCACGTCACGCACGGACCTGCTGTTGTTATTGACAGTTGTATGGGGTTAACCGGAAACATCGCCACTGAAGAGACGTTCACATCAATGATTCGATTTCCGACAAGGAGGGAAGTCCGATTCGGCGAAAAAATATAATTATGGGCTTAGTCCGATTAAGCTGTGCATGTAAACACACTGAGTGGCATGAGAAGTCTGCACATCTGGGAAAGCACCAATGATGTTGAATGATACACAGGATTCAAAGCAATCCAGACTCCACCTTTTTCAGAGGAAACCTTTCATATTTCAGCGAGGCAAATTACGTTTAGCATGTTGCAACAACACGGCTCTGTGAGTGCAGGTCCTAACCTGGCCTGCCTGCAGTCCCAACTTAATACCTGTGAAAACAACATGAAATAAGTCCCAGAATCCCATTTTTATGATCAAAAACATGAATTCTTAACTATCTCAACCCTCACTCTGTGTATCTGTCTCGCGCACAACACTAAGATGCTGTGATAGACTGTAAATCTGATTCTTGCGCGATTATATGAGCATGTGTCAGGCAGACAGCAAAAGAGAGATATAGTGAGCGAGATAGGGGGGAAGGGAAGGGGAAGGAGCGACTTTGTTGTGGTTCCTTTCAAACTCCCTTTCTCAGAAATCCTGCCCCGAGGATGCATTCAGTGTCCCTTGGCAGAGCAGGAGATTCCTCCAGCGATTTAAGCAGGGCTTGTTCTTCCAGTAAAGGGACAGTAGATCTGTAAACACAGCGCACGGAGTCAACATAAACCCTTAAACATACACAATATCAGAATCTGGCTTAACCTGACTCCTGCCTGTCTGTCTGTTAGGGTGTGTGCATAAACACAACAGGAGATCCAAGTGAGTGCTGTTTGTGATCCCCTTTGACAGCTCATCGTCTTGTTATTGCCTTTGTAATTATTTCAGTCTACATGACTGACAGCTTTACAAACTTAAGAGCCCCTCCCTATTTTGCATGAATATGTATGCAAAACTGAAAACTAAGAAAACCTGCCGAAGCAAACTCTCTGCAGCTGTGAGCTGGTCTGCGCCAGGCTGCTCTGCTTTTACATTTGCGTGACTGTTTGTGTAACATTCTTTGCCTGCGTGAACCCATACAAGAAAGAGCCCTCTGCATGCCAGCTGAGGTCAGGTCCGGACACCGTGGGGTGCACCCTTCTCCCACCGCGGTGGGCTGAGGGGCAGGGGGAGGCCTCCAGCGCTTCTGGGAAACAGTCTGGGCCTAATTGAAGCCTGACTGGCCTCACATGTCTCCACTTACTGGAGGAGACAGAGGATCCCACTGCCTGGCCTATGAGAGCCGCTGTGAGCCCTGGCCTTTCCCTCCTCCTCATCAGCATAACCACAGAGAGGAGAATTCACAAAGCAGGCCTGACTTGACAGAATGACTGAGTGCTGTGGTCTGGGGTGTTTCAGGTAGGCCGTGCCGCTTTATTTTGAAAGAAATATTTGTCCTCGATAAACCCTCCTGGTACAGTTTGTTCAAAGGATGTGCTTTCTGCACAGTGTGTGCGCGCCCTCCTCCTCCTATTGTTTCCTCCCTCCTTTGCAGAATATCATGTTCACATTCTCACACACAAACCTCAACCCCACCAGAAAGACGTAGTGAGAGGCTCAGCCAGAAATACGAGAAGTGAAGAGCAGCCCAGACGGTGAAAAACAAAGACTTCCCTGCTGCTGCTGCTGTCACTGTTTCACCTCAACCACACATCACATTCTCAACTTTTCTCTCTGTTTTCGTTCTTTTTTTTTTCTTTTTCTCACCGTGGCAACAGGCCGCCCATTTCCCATCAGTCACGGTCACCTCCTTGGCCCTGCTCTGTAATTCTCAAAAACGACATTATCATCCTGTTTCACAGCAGTGGTGTAAATACCATTTGGCTTCGGTTGAGCAGAAACGACTGTGCGCAATCTCTCATCTGCTTTGCTTTTGTTATTTTCTCAACAAAACTCAAATATCAAAGCGTGTAATGCGAAGCGGGGATTATGTTTTGCTAACATTTCACCATTATGTTATTTCAATGCACATCTGGAGGAAATTTTCATAATTTGCACCCTCATTCCCCCTTTAAATGATGCACATTGTGGCCCAGAAAAATACAATACAGGAAAGCACCTTTTCATTTGTGCATAATGTACTGATTTTAATCTTCCTCAGATTAAAGAGCTTTGGAAATCTTGTTGGTTTTTCTTGCGTTTTGCTGCTCAAATAAACACGTCTCAACATGTATAAATAAAGGTACTCAAAAGCCTTGAAACCCTGAGACAGAACAGCAGATTTAACCAAATTACAGCTGCTAAGGTTACCTGCTTTGACCTTTGAAACTCAACTTTATGTAGCAGGGAAAGAGAGCAACTTCTGTGTTTTAAAGTTGATCCTAAAAATGCTTTTGCAGGTGATATGTGACGCCAAACTGATCTACTTCCTGTCACTCAAAACATATAAGGAGCAGATTAATGTTTTGTTAACTTTCCCTGGTGTTAAAGGCACAATATGAAGAATTTACAGCATTCTTGAGTATGTTGAAGTTAGTGTTTTAATCCCCTGGAAATAAGAATTTGTTTTGCATTTTTGTATCTTGAGTGTGTTTTTTGTGCACACAAAATAGTAGAAGCTTGACAAATAGAGGCTCGTATCTATCATGCATCATGGAAGCTTCTTGTCCTTGCAGGCCACCATCACCTCACTGATGTTTGGGGTGAGCAAGGAGGCGAGAAGTTTCTATTTGATACATACTTTTATGATACTTCTATCAAATTAATATGATCAACAACTTGATGATAAAACACCTGAATACAGTCCGATAAATGATAAAAATGTCCTCTTGTGGTTTATCAGTTTCCAAAAACATCTAATGAATCAAACAACATAAATATTTTTTACATTTAAAGGACATTTTGATGTTTTTGGTTTTCAGTAGTAAAATAAACATTTTAACTCCAAGAAAATTGAATTTTCTGGCCATAATTTGTGGTTTCAGGCACTAAAGAGGTAAATATTCCCCTTTAAATAAAAATACCAAGCTTGATGAAGGATGAAACCGTCATTTCAGACAATGCCGCAACTTTATCCACCCTCGATACTACATTAAAAGAAGCAGCATCTTATTCATATTTATTTACCAGAGAGAAATCTATGCTTAGGTATTTCTGTGCCTTCATGCTGATAACTAAAAACGAGGCCTGCTGCTCCCAGCCGGTCTCTTCCATTGAGAAAAAGGCATTTCTATTGATTCCTGTTCCAGGCATCATTTAATATGATACATATTCACTTGTAAATATCGACCTTTCTCTCCTTTCCCTGCTGCCCTGCGTTTCGTGCCATAAATACTTTAAAAGCAAGCCTGTAAAGCTGTAAATAAAGGTTAGACTTTAACTGAATCGGGGTCCTTCTTGTCTACAGATGGCAAACATAGTTAAATTTTAGTTTGTGCTCCCAGTAAAATCAGAGAGGGAGTGATTCGATTTCAAGGCTGGAAGTAGGATTCAGTATTCATGGACAGAGCGCAGACTGGCCTCACTTAACCCGTGATTTTATTAGGGGTTGATTTGGCAAGACTGTAATTCAGCTGTAACGTTCAAATCCACGTTTAACCTCTTTCTTTGCACCGGCAGCTCTTATCACATACCGCCACCTGCTGGAGCTGCTCTGCCACTTCACTGAAAGATAAAGAGATTCAGAGATTGTGACAAATCCGTCTTTATTTTAGCTTGATTAAATGGCAATGATAGAAACCTCAAATCAAACATCGTTGAACAGGATGACAAAAAGAAAAATGGCACAACTAATAAGAAACAAAATGAGGACAAAATACCCACTATACATTTACGTATGTACAACTTCTGATAAATAAAGCAATACTGTCTAGAATTATGATTGTTTTGCATTTTTGCTTATTTTCTCTAGGAATAGTGCGCAGAGAGAGGAGCAGAGAGGAGGAGAACCAGGAAGAGAAAGGCGGGGAAAGATAAGCAGGCACACAGAGAGTAAAAAAAGACGACTGCAAAAATGTACCTCGACATGATTTTTCGCCTCACGACTGCTTCAGTGTGATCACTCTGCGCTAACCCAGTAGTTCTGTTTCGTTTCACATCACACTTTGGATCCTGAGGAAAGGGGACGACCCGTTCTGCTACAGGCATAGCTTTAATGAACATTATTCTGTGCCGCTTTAAAGCTTCGAAACGACATGACATATATTATGTTTTATACACAAACAAACAACCTGAAACACACGGTACTGTACATGATCGATGAGGTTGACTGGCTGAGAATGAGTTGTGATTTTTGTTTCACCCCCGTACAAAAAAGAATTGATATTAAAAGGCAGGAAAAAAATGTTCAAATCAAAAAGAAGAAAACTGTAATTTACTGTCGCTAACCAGCAGCTTTTCTCATCACATTTAATCTAGAGCGCCAGGCACTGTGCAGCAGTAACGAACAATTCGATCGCTCTTCGTGTGTGATACAGTCACAGAAAATGGTCTTGTGTTTGAGACAAAGTGAAAGCAAGAGAAAAACCGTGAGGGGAAAAAGTGACAAAAAGGAAGTCATGAAGTGTGATATCTTTCCAAATAAGATCACACATCCCTCTCTACAGACCCTAATCTCAGGATGCTTCCATAAATGAGACCCCCTCCTCATCCTCCAGCTCAGTCTGGGACATAAAGAGGCTTTCATGTGGCCAACATCCACATCCACACAGACTCGGAAAGTTTTAGATTTTTGTTACAATCTCCTGAGTGGCAACTTTATTCAAACAGAGACGTTTTTCTTTTGTTTATTTAATTTTGTTTTTCTATAAAATAGCTAACACTTGGCAAAGTAGACCCTCCCTCCCTCCTTGACTGCCCCCACGCCCTTGCAGATTTTCTTTTTTTTTTTTTTTACAAAAGCAAACAGACAAAAAAAAAAAAGACGAGAGGAATTAAAGCTGTAAAAATAGACACGTACTTGCCTAACATACTGAAGCGAGTCAGAAAAAGTCTTTGCTTTTCGTTCTAAAAGCGAGGAATATTTTGGTTGGAGTTCCACACTCGGTCAGACCTGCTGAGTTTTAACGATGTGTGCTACGGGGGGACTCGCATGAGTGTATGCACGTTGTGTTTGTGTGTTTATTTAAAGCCTTCTCGAAGGGGATTTTGCCGAGTTACACGGCAAGATTCCTTTTCAACCTCGTAAAGAGAGAGAGCACACACACACAAAGCTGAGAGAGAAAGAGACACATTCAGACAGGAGGTTAGAGGAGGTTTTGACCCTGACTCTTATCTAGAAACCACAGCATGCTTCCTGTTTTTTTCTGGCCTGTACAGTCCAAAAGCCAGGTCTAATTTGTATCCTAGAGAGATCCCCTGGAGAGGTCGGAGGCAGACCCCGACCGCGGCCTCTGCTCCGGCCCAGACAGGGCAGGCAGAGAGCCGGACCCCCCCCCCTTGCTCTTGTCAAGTGCAACGTCTGGAGTGTTGAGCAGCTTTAGTGCCTCTTCATGGATGACACCCTCTTCTTCCTGGCTGCCAGCATCTCGTAGAAAGGATCCCTGCTGATGGCCGCTCTGTGATCAGACGAAGAGGAAAACATGAGCGGTGCTGGTTTCACTTTGGATTACAGTGGAGAAAGTGAGCATGGACTATGTCCCATATGAGGTTCTCGAGGTTCAACATTATCATACGTCTCTTTGCAGCTCTTCAGTTTCGTGTTCTTGCTTGTTTACAGCTGCTGCTTTGTAGGGTTGTCAACTAATATTCCAAATTCAAATATATATTCGAATATTTAAAAAAACGACATTCGAATGTGAAAATTATGCTGCGTTGGAGTTACCATGGAAGTCAGAAATCAAAATTGGGAATGACGTCACAAGCGAGTTACCAGCCTAAGTCGGAAAAAAGCAAAATCGGAGGCGGAAACAAGATGGCTACATCTACAAAAGTTACTTTGGCCCTTGCCTTGTCCAAATACAAGCAAGGACGAGGCAAGCGCTGATATAACTTTGTTTACGCCTCCGATTTTGCTGTTTTCCAACTTGGTAACTGAAACGCTGGTGACTCAGGTGTAACGTCATTCCCCGCTCGGACATCTGACTCCTGAGTTAACTCGAACACAGCATTAATAATCAAATATTAAATAAAGAGCGTGAAAAATCAGAGTGGTAATAAAATGAAAAACAGCAGCTGCTTTACGGGTGAGCGCATTGGAACGACGGGTCAGGAAAGGTCACAGGAGTTGCACATGCAGAGAGACTCGACAAGAACCATCTATGGCACATGCAGAGAGAGATGGCGGGATTTTCGGAGCCAAACGTGGAGAGAGTGGTCTGGACTCCGACGAACTTTAGAGGCTTCGTTTGGAAATTCTTCGGATTTTGGACAGACATGGTAGACGGAAAAATGCTGAGCGAGATTAAGTTATATGCAAGCTGTGTAAGCTAGATATTAGAGTATGTTTGAACCTTTGTGTTATTTTAAGAACGAATATTCAAACGTCATTTTGGAGCCATTTTTGACATCCCTGCTGCTTTGTACAGATGCACCAGATATGAACTCTTGCGCCCTTACAATCACATTTTTCACAAATTAATTTCTGTTGCTAACCTAAATTTTTGTTGACATTAATTCCACCAGTAACAGTAGAAAAAATGAGAACCTTCATGATGACTTTGCACCAATTCAATCATACTTATTCACTAAACAGCCTTCAATGTCACATTTTTATTTCAGCAATTAAAAAATATAATTGCTTTAAAAGTCTCTGGCTGCTTTAAAATGACAAACAGCAGCACAGGCCAAAATAAAATCCCTCTTTTGGAGACAGATACGATGACAACTGAAGCAGATAACTAATAAGTAAATGTAGAAAACCAAACTGAAATGTCAACTGAAAACAGTCACTATAGCGTCTCATTTCGAGTGCAAACATCAAAGTTCTGGGTGGTTTTAATTTTGGCCATGAATGAGTGGTTCTGTCTTGTAGATCGACGAGGAGTTGGTGCCACTGACACCAACTTTAACTCATGTGACGCACTCTCCGGCCATGCGTTAACTCCACTCTCACATAAGCTTGAAATGGATGATTCACAAGTCATAACAAAGGCACTGTAATGATAATTATGTTACAGAATGTCCCTCTTGAATTACAGGTAAGCAGGGTGTCAATCAGCGTCACCGTCGCCCTGGTTACAGAGACTCGGCGGTCCTTTAGCGCGGACCAGAACACATTCAGACGCTGATGAAAGGATGTAACTGTATGTGACCACCTCTTGATGTGATGCGAGTGCTTGGTTCTCAGTCTTGAGTGCGTTCACAGCTGCAGAGAGGGCCTGCTACTCATGATCAAAGCATCACGTTCACGTCATCGACAGCTGAGGAGCATAATGGTGTAAGAGCGATAATTCAACCACTCGTACACTCTTGTAATGGTACATGTAAGTAGAGCTCTTCTCTCTAGTTATTAATCTAAAGAGTGAAACTGGAGCATTTACATTCGATTTCTTATTTAAAGCTCCACTGAGGAACTTTCCCTTTCAGTTACTCCAACACTTTAAATGCGCAGATACTGATGTTTGATCCATGAGTAATAAAAGTGAAATAAAGAGGCACTCATTTAAATTTTAGTGGTTTTTTATAACTCCTCACAGAAGCTTTAAGAAGACACTGTAATGACATCTAAATCAGGAACATCTATGCGGACATGAAAAAAAAGTTCAATTGAGGGACTTGACTTTGGTGCCCCCTGGAGGCAAAGTGATACATCTTACTGATTTTGCCCTTCACACATGTCAAGCAGTGTTTTCCACTAAATATTCCTCTCACACACTCGCTGTGAATTTTATTCTGCTTCATAACCTACTAAAAGTTACTTACAGGAGCTTTAATGCTCATCAAATCCAGTGATACTTACCTCGACTCAATATGTAGTAAACTCGTAATGATGCCTACTGTATTTCACCAATTACAGGCTTTAAAATGAGCTCTAAGTCGTACCTTAAAAAACAGAGCATGATCGCCCCAAAACCGCGATAATAATACTGGGCTTACTTGGAAAATAAAACACAATACGTTGCGTATTAGGATTTTAGGAAAGTACCTGATGCTGTTCATCCATTCATCTTTTTCCTCAGCAGTCGGTGCTGAGATTCGGTAAAAAGTGTGGTTGCCTTCAACGACGCGTCCGTCAGCCTCCGTCTTACACGCTTTAATCACCTGGTCCTTGTTGTCGGGGATGAAGAGCTCGAAGCAGTTCTGAAGAAGAAACACACACAGAGAGCTTAAAAGTTGAAAATTTCTAAGATGAAGACAAGAAACTCTGAAACTGTAAGTGCAGCCATCTGTAAAAGTGGTTGTGGATATGCATTTCTTTATGTAATGTATTAAAAAAAGTGAGTCCAAAATCCTAGTTAGACAACATGTAGTCCCCGTTTGCACCAGCAGAGGGAGTCGTACTCACAGGTTTCTTATCCTCCACCTCTTTGATGCTCAGGTTCTCCAGTGGGATGATCCCTCTCGGTTCTTTGTCCTGTGGGAAAATAAAGAAACATAAATAACAGGAGCGGAGAGAGAGCGCCTTCTGACCTGTGACCGACTAAACTGAGCAGTACTCACTGTGGTGTACTCAAAGTAGTACAGACAGTTGTCTGTGAGGATGAACCACCTCCTCTTCCAGGTTTTGACTCGTCCCCCTGCGGAGCAAACAGTCAGTGTCAAAAACGCTCGCCGAGAAAAGCCAAGGAGAGAAATGAGAACCGAAGCGTCGGGTCGAGCAGCAGACAGGCAGACAGATGTACGGGCAGACAGACAGATGACGGCTCCAGAGGACTCCTGTTATCCAGATCATGACCATATTCACCCTGATCCACCATCAAACCATGCGCTCACCATCACCGCAGCTGCAAACCCTCGGTGGAGTAAAACCCTAAATTCCTCCTCCACTTATAAGTGTCAATAAAAGGGTTTTTGTTAATTACAGTAAATGTAAAGATGCTGAAGGATAAAGCTGCAAGTCTCATTAAAATGTCTGGAAACTCTCCTTAATCGCTGACTCAGAGTGATAAGTCAGGAAGGCCGGGATCGATATAGACAGGATACAGATCTTTGAATTTAATGAAGTCACTAGAGGGCGGATATAAACGCTGAAACAAAGAGCTCCAATCAGGACAAGAGGGCTTGAGGTGGAGAGGGAAGGGTGGCTGAGGATTAAACTCACTTTCACACCCAGTTGAGACTAACTGGTTAACACTCGCTGATTTGTAGCTGACCTCTCACCTCCTCTGTCATCCATACTTCCTGAGAGAGGAAATCTGATGACAGCAGCAGATGGCAGCCTCACTTTGAGGAGGGGGATAGGATGCCAATAAACAGAGGAGCAGGAAGCCTAAAGCTATGCTCAGCTCCTCTACAGGCATCTCAGACGTGAATTTCCTGTTTCGGCTTTGTTTAGTAACTTCTCGGTCATTTCGGAGGATTGTCCAGGGAGTGAGCTAAGCTGTGTCTAGACCGGCTAACCCACCACCGCCAATGTTAGTAAAAAGCTGCATGTTGAAACCCATCTACCAGGATAGAGGAGGATTCGAGGATACGGACACATAGAGCACACTTTGATTTATCATATAGCAGCATCAGCGCTGTATATGATATCCCATCATTTCACAGACGTCATGATAGGTCAAACACTTCACTCTTTGCTTGTTGTAATCGACAGACGCCATCAAAACCCCCCCATCACTCGACAGGCAGAGACGGAGAGAGACCCTCTCCACATCTCCGCTCGTCGGTGTGCGTTGCGACAAAAAAGCAGACAAACAGAAAAAAACACAGACGCGGTGGCAGAATCACACGGCTGACGGCTGGCCTGACAGCTGATTGGGTTGGTTGGAGATTTAGAGTTTAGTGGCCCGAGTCAGTTCCTGTTTCTCCAAGAGTAGAGAGAGAGAGAGTTGACCTCTTCCTGTGCAAGAATGTCTGGGACGAGGCAGGTTGTCCCAGTGGATTGTTGCAGAGGCGTGTGTGTGTGGGCGGTGCTCGAGCCGGAGTGGAGCTGAGTGGAGGGAGGGACCCATGCAAGACGGGACTGTGGGAGGCTGGGCGAGGAGAGGTTTTTCACGTAAATCGTATCCAGTTATTAAAAGTTTTATAATTTCTTTTCATCTTTTAACTCCTTTTTAAAAATTTTTTTTGCACTCTCCTCTGCCGACGCCTTTCTCCCACAGTTGGGTCCAGTCCGGCTCAGCGCCACACCTGGCCACAACCGCCCTTCAGATCCATTTACAGCGAGATAAAAAGAGCAGAGCCACGTTGTTGAAAAGGTGCATTATTCCTTTTCCATGAAACCAGAGAGCAAACATCCATCAGCCAATGGGTAACTGGGTTTAGGATCAATTTGGAGAGATGAAGCAAAGGTCCTTTTGTTCTGCTCGCCGTATGGAATAAAAGGGATAATGCAGCTTCCAAAATAATCAGAGATCAAAGAGAGTGACCACCACCGCATACGGAGAGAGAAGAGGGTCAAACTGCCCGGCGGAGTGGTCACAAAGCATCAGCTCCCCGAGCCGAGACCACAGGGGTGGCAACTGCTCGACAACCACCCACAGAGATAAAAGAGTGTGGAAAAAAAAAAACCACCATCTCCACGACAGACTGAACAGACAAACATCTGAAGCTCAAATGAGTCGATGGAGAGACAAGAGATAAAAATACAACAACGACAAAAAAATAAAAACCACAGACCAAATAAAACAAAACAAAGAAAAACCCTTTTAAAATATGAAGAGAAGAACGAAAGCATGGCGGACCACCAAAAAAGCACCTGAGAGCTGAGAGATGGACTAGCATTTGGAGAGGAACAGGTGTACATACCTCCTGAGGAAAGACAACAGCCAAAATCATGGGAACAAACAAACAAACGAAGAGGAAAAGAAAACAACAAAAAAAATCAAATTAAATGATAAGGAATCATTTCACCACAGTCCTTCATCTGCTTTCAGGGAGGCTTTGATGCACTGCTTTACAGCTTTGTTCTGGATCACCATAAAGGACTTCGTTTGTGATGAGGATCGGCAGGTTTTACACGCCTGCTGTGTGCGCCTCAGTCCACAAGGGGGAGTCCTAGACAGTGTCACATCGACTGTAAAGTACTGCATTAAAAACCACCTCCACTTCTGGTTCATCGATTAAATTACCTTCCACCCTGATTTTGTTTTTGTTTTTTACTCAAGTTCTCCAATTTGAAGTCATTGGAGACTGAGTAAATCTCACTACCTCAGTGTGTTTCGTTGTAAAGATTCACAGTGATTGGAGGAAAGGCTTTCAGTTACAGTGTTCATGCTTTTTTGGGACGATTTCATTGTGAATCTGTACAACAGAGAAAAGGTCTCAGAGAAAAACAGAGGGTAAAGAGTTCAGGGGTCCAAAGAGAAAATTACTTTTCTTTTTCTCACGTGTGCTTAATGTGGCGCTGTCTGAGCACATGAATTACCAACAGGTCACGATTAAGTGACCCTTAAATGTCACAAAAACATGACGAAGAATAAAAGTCCACTTCTGTGAGCGTTGAGAGAGTGTGTGTAAAATGTTGGTAAAAACAAAGACAAAAGAAATGTTGAAACAATAATTTTTTCCCTTTGAGAGAATATTCTTATTATAATAATAATTATATTTTTGTGCAATAAAATGTCAAGTATGTCCTCAAACCATTACAGATTGTGACAACTATAAAATTTTGATTTTTTTAGACCACAGGGAAGTTTTCCGTCTCGCTTCAGTCCTTCTCAAAACAGACTCAACCTGTGAGGAGAGGACAGATTCCTCATTTTATCCTTCATATCTCACTACACTGTTTAGAGAAAGTGGTTTTTGTATGTGATTTTGAGCCCATACGGTGAGTTCCACTACAGAGCCATGTCTGATTTTAGTGTAGTGCTGCCTGAAGTATCAGTTATCAGCTTTGTCCCATTTTCTCAAGGTCCTCTGAATGTTTTTTTTTTTAATAAAATGAGTCCTGTGGATAATTTAACCTTTTGGCATCTCAAATTCTTCTTTTTTAGCTCTTTTGAAATGTGTTGCTGGCATCCAATTTGAAGTTTTAATTAAATCTATGGTCCGGATGACTTTCAAAACTTAAAAACATGTTTTTACCAACATTTTACACTTTTGTGGAATTCAGGTTATACATCAGGAACACAAAAGCCTTGATTTCTTAAAAAATTCATGTGAGTGCTGCTGGAAATCTTTAAAATGTCAAGAGGTATCGACATCTTCAGTCATATTTGAGAGGTGAGAGAGAAAAATGCCATCCAGGTAAAATTATTCATACTTTCTGTACATGTGAAGTATGTTGGTGCGTGTGTTCATATGTCTGTGTTTGTCCGTGCGAGTGTATGAATATGAACTGACTTTAATAATTCAAAGGCCTCCACATGTGATGGTCTGATCTCTTGGCCTCATTCATAATACATAAAAGCAGACAGAGATGTCTTCAGATATCCCGGGGTCGAGTGTGTACACACACTTCTCCACACCTTTAAGCACTCTCACACACACTCACAGGTTATTGACCCCGGGGGAGACACCCGTTATCACTTCTTGGACGTTGATTTTCAGAGTTCAGACAATCAACACAAAGTTATAGTATGTACAGTACATGTGTCTCCAGATGCACGCACCCAGTTTCAGCAGCCAGCCCTCTCTGTCTGGGTTGAAGAAAGTGTGTGTGAGGTCGTTGCCGTCGTCCTCTGGGATTTTGAACGGCTCGTTCTTGATGCTCTCGTACAGATTCTACACGTGAACACAGAGCAGGTTTAAAAATTAGTAAACTAGAGGTAGGATATAAAGGCGGCGACAAAAAAAAAGCCAAACTAACCCTGAGCAGGTCTTCAGGTAAGTCTCCTCCGTCATTGATTCCTCTGTTCATGGAGATGAACCGCTCCACAGTGGGCTTGTCCTTCACGTTCGGGTTGTGGAGGCTTGTGTTCAGCATGATGATGGCGAATGACAAGATGTAACAAGTGTCTGAAACACACACACACACACAAACACACACACACAAATCAAGAGTGAGACAACAAAAGGTTGCTGTTCGCCGGCGTTTAATGTGGTGTTTAAATATGAATGTAAATGAGCTGAGCTGAAAGGCTTGCACTTAAGGGAACCACGGCCGAGCAGAAAGGAGCAGATAGGCGAAGCTACGTTAGCGGGGAGTGGGTAGGGGAGAAAGGCCGAGCATGGGCAGCTAAGTGTGCGTATGTGTGTGTGTATTTTCTAAAAGACAACTCTTCTCGTACGCGGCTGACGCAGCAGCACTCTATCTGGTCTGTTAGGCTGCGCATGCATAATTCACATCCATCTGCATCCATGTTAACGGTAGTCGTCTGTCTGCTGTGGGCATAATTTCCCAAAAGCCAGACACTAATCTCCTCAGCAGACCTTGTGTCTACTAAATAAAGCAGTTCAGATATTAAATGGATGCTATGAGCCATCAGTGCAACTTTAGAGGGTCGCAAATCAGGAGGCTGACTATAACTACAGTTTGTCCATCTGTTACATGACTAAGTATTAAAGACAAAAATACATATCTTTTATTTTGTTTTACACCTCTGTGAGTTTCTATGATGATTCCCAAAGACAGAGATGTTGGTTCTACCTGTGGATTGGAAAACTCCAGGGTTGCACGTGCAGTACCGCTGAGCGAAGGCCTCCATCATTCTGTCGATTTTCTGAGCTTCTCCTGGTAACCGAAAACTCCACAGGAACTGCCTGTGGTGTTGGTGGTGGTGGGGGGGACACAGCTCAGTAATCAGAAACAGACCGAGACTTTCAATATAAATAAGCAAAGTCAAACTGACAGCTGACTCTTAAACATTTGACTGCGGAGAGGAGATACTTCCTCACCTTAGAGCTTGTACCAGGTTGAGATCTGTAAACTCATGTAGCTCCACGAAGGCATGGAGGACTTGGATGTTGAAATCATCTCTACAGGAAACAGAACATGGGAAAGTTTTACTGGTTAGTAGTCAGAAAACAAAGGCTGAAAAAGACACACAACAACATAAGGGTTATATATCACACTAATCCATTCTCTCAGTTTATCAGCTGATAGTTTAATTTTCCAAACGTCTGCAAATATTTGCTTTTCTTAAAGATAAACTGACCTAATTAAATTTTTAGTTTCAACCAACTCATGGTCTAACAAATGTTGACTTTAAACCTATAAAGGAAATAAAATAAGCAAATATTTGCAATCAGAAGCTGAACCAGGTTATGTTGGTTTGAAAGAGTGATAAACAACTGTTGCATTATGATGAAATAACACTGTCAGACTCATTATAGACATAAGGACAGTTTCAGATACAAGATACATCATTTTTATTCAATGCTTTTTATATTTCTCATAATGCAACACATTTGCAGATTAGTAGTTTGTGGAATATATTCACCAGATATCATAAAGCCTGCTTGGACAGACAACTGTGTATGCACATATTAAGAGCACACAACGTTCAGCTATTACAACAAGCTAACAAACACACACAGCAGCCTCTGCACTGTCGTTGTTGTTTGCTTTAATTACTGAACCTGGTTCCCTCTCACTTGCTTTAAAATGGTTAAGCTCTGAAAAGACGGATGTTGCTCATAAGACGCCAGAAAGTTGCTGCTGACAACTAGCTTGTTTCAACATCCGTTAAATAACAACTGCACACAATATTTACAATATGACAAGCTTCAGACAACCACGGCAGATCAGAGGTGTTGAAAAACCAAACCACACTCAGATCTCAACACTTGCTCTAGTGACATTTATGGCTCAGTTAGAAGTTGTTAGAAAGGACCTGTTTGAGTTGTTTTTATTCACAATATTAACAAAATTATATTTTATTGAAAGGACAGTACTTGTAGAAGACTGATGTAGACAAACACATTTCTGCATTTGCTTTTTTACACTTTTTTAAAGAGAGCAAGATTGTCTTTATCTACAAAATACTCCAAAATATCAAGATCTGACTTTTAGCTAATATCACACAATAATGCAGATGTCTTTCCTCTGAGATTCCTCTGAGTTATACCAGCAGCAGCAGCAGCTCATATATAAATATTCAGCTGTTACGCTCCTTTAACCCAGCCTGTCATCTTGCTGTCATTGTCTTAGGGTTAGGTCCATTGTCGTCCCCCTTCCCCCTTTCACCTATCATCCGATCTTGATCATGACATCATTCCCGACCGTCCTGACCTTCAGAGTGAATGATCTGCCCCATGGGATTATGGGACAGCTCTAAGGAACTCTCATTGACTGAGTCATATCTAGTCACTGTCATTCCCAGTAGACAAACGACCAATCGGATCTCGGAACCCCAGCGCCGCTTCGGCCCCTCCTTTCCGAATCAGAAACACTTGGAGAGATAATAACAATCAAACTGAAAGCATCTATCAACAGCCTGAGCTCCATTTCCTGGTTTGACCTCACAGACCACACCCTGACTGTAACACTGTCTGCCCTTCAGTCCCTCAACAGTGACTACAAGCATGCATCAGGTCCATTAATACTTCCTGTAAGCGGCGGTGACTCTCACACGGATGGTCAAAGTTCTCGATGTTAAATCTCCAAAACATTCCTGAATTGTGAGAATCCCGACGGCGTTAGTCATGAATGAGTAAGATAATCAAAAACAGATGGAAGCTGTTGAGTAACGGACATCGTCTTGAGAGGGCTGGGACCAATAAAGTGTGCTTGGGAAAAGGATGGGTGTGTGCCTGACCGAGAGGAAACCGAGCAATACGGAAAAAATGCACACACACTCTTCTTCGATGCTTTTATCAACCACAAGAATGGGTGCTGGTGGGAGATAATACAAACGTGGTTAGATAGAGGGAAAAACCAATAAGCCGGTCTGTGAACTGACCTCTCTCCGAGGTAATCTCCGATGGCTGTTTTGTTGAGGCCCTCACCCTTGTAGAGGAACTGAGCAATGTCATCACTGGTGTTCTTCAGCAAGTCGTTCATGATCAGGAACTGGATCCCCTGAGAAACAACAACACCCCCGGTTAAAACCCGCCTTAGAGAGTGTGCCGGACAAATCATATTTCTGAGGAATCAAAACTATCAGTTCGTCTTACCTTTTTGGGGTCCATGTTGAATTTCTTTCGGCCCATGGCCACCTGTTTATTCCTCTGCATGTTTTTCCTGGAACACCAAAATGTAGGTCATAGTTGGATATTGATCATGTGACCTGCCTTCCCTTCTTCACCCCCAATTTCCAACACATCCGAACGACTACAAGAAGGCCGTATCCGCCGATCGTAGCTGATTGTAACTATTCAAGTTAATGTGTCAATTTTAATCGTCTACTTCCCTTCTGCTGGGGATCGGAAGAAGTCCATTTCTGCCGGAGCATAATGGATAAATTTAGCACAGATTATTCTGTACTGGAAAAGAAGTCCGGCACATACACAAAATAAAACATCTGTCTTTCTTTCAAAATAAAACTCTCCATGTTTCAGGCGATTCGTATTTCACACCATGCAAACGGCGGGGATGAACAACTGAAGCATTTCACCCCGATGACACCATAGATGAGGAGATTCTGATTCTAGAAGTCTAGAAGTAGATTTCCTCCTCTGGAAGGACACAATCTACTGTGTGGACACAATCCTATGTGGCTAAAGACAACTTGCTATCACGCGATTCCACGTGAATCTCGGGATTCCTGCTGTCCGTACTTAGCCACTAAATTTGCCTCACAAACAGATCTGGTAGGAACTGGCGTATGGCTGAAATCGCCTCTGTCCTGAATGCGGTGGAAATCCCGGATCAGGCTATTATGCTGTATTTGAGTTAGCTCGAAAGTCAGAAGTCCGAGCTGGGAATGACGTCACACCCGAGTTACCAGCGTTTCAGTTACCAATTCAGAGGAAATCTACGAAAGTTATTTTAGCGCTCGCCTTGTCCAAATATGAGCAAGGACAAGGATGTAGATGTAGCCATCTTGTTTCCGCCTGCGATTTTGCTTTTTTTTGACATGATATCTGAAACGCTGGTAACCCGGGTGCGACGTCATTCCCAGCTCAGACTTCTGACTTCCAAGCATTTTAACAAATGTATTCACTTCATTTTCTGAATGTAACTTTTCAATTAACATTTCCAATTTTTGGCCGAGGCTGGCCTTCCTCCTCCTCCTCCTCCTCCTCCTCCTCCTCTACAACCATGACAAATTGTGATTAAGAGTTCAACATCATGCAGATGGGAACACTTCATTTCTCAGGCCTTGAGTTATTCAGGGGCCAAAGTGCAATCCAAGTGTCCGCCATCGCCATGGTTACATCTCCATCCCCAGCCGGTGAGAGGTCGCCGCTTCTTCCCACTGGTTTTACTCACACCAGCATTCCTTCAGCTTTTGTCTGCCAGAGTCCAACACTCAACTCTCCAAGGGGCCGACAACACACGCTATCAACTACTCCCCTCCATGATCACGAGAAGGTGCCCCGACCCCCTAATGGGTTTGAGATCCAGGAGGAAGTGCTTCAGGATTATTTGGTAGCTGATGGGATCCCTATCCACTTGAGTAGACCAAACCCAAGCACTCGTCCTCTGGGACCATCCATTGTCTGCTTCTGAACGTACACCCACTGCATTATTCAATGAGGCCTCCCATCATGGGGGGTGGGCCTGATGAAACATTTAAACCGCCTTAAAAGCAGACCCAATTTGGGGAGCATTTTTTCGGTGATGGGCTGGTCTGAATCAGCCGTCGCACATGAATAATTGACGGCTTCATTTGCTAAGTTAATAGAAGGCAAACAGCAGGCAAATTTAGGGAAAGTAGGAGGCTGATTTGGTGTCTCTTACCTCTCCTCAGTGGAACCCAGGTTCTCGATCTCACTCGTCACTTCTGCTATCTCATCCTTCAGCCGCTGCGGAAAAGACAGAAACAGTGGGGTTTAAACGTCACGGGCGTGATGGGAGAATGAGTTCGTCATAGGCCGACGAATTTCCCTGACACCCAGAGAGGTGCAGAAGGGTGTGACCTACCCAAACAAGTTGCAAATTACCTCTATGAAAAAAAAACCCACAGTGGCTTCATTAAACAGAGCTGAGGGAGAGGCTGTCGTCTCTGAATCTCCTCTGTTTGCCTGTGAGCCAGATGGCCTTTTGTCACGTACGGCAAACACTCACATCAGAGCCGTCATCAACCCCACAAAAAGAGCAGAGACACTTTCATAACTGCTGATGAGATGAAACTTCCCACATCACCATCACCGCGACGCACCCAGCTCTCAGATCTCTTATCTTAAAAACTGATCAATATAACCATCTGCATCTCACATCCGCGAATGTTGTTTGCATGTGTGCGCTCTCCTCTACAATCCACTCACGCTGAATTTGATTAGGAGGAGGACATTCAGGGATAACCTCAATACCAATGGAATAAGAAAGCGTAAAAGTGGATTATATTTTGAGTGGCTTTATAGTGATTAATGGCCTTAGAGGCAGATTTAGATGATCGAGCCGGGCGCGCTGGTGCCAGACTGGCGCAGTTGGGGCACTGCCGAGAGCGGAGGATGGAGTGGGTGATGTCAGCTCGATGAAAGTGTGGAAGAATTGACTCTTGAGTAAGTGACGGGTTGTACGCAGACAGAAGGTCTTCACGATGAGGGACTGCGATGGTTAAAAGTGAAGGTAACAATCACAGATACCCTTCATTCACATCCAGCTGCAGCGTCAGGGTGTCATTTCACATGGATAATACCAACTCACGACGGGCCAAAGCCACAAAGGGAACATCTGTGTTTTCAAGGCCTGCGCAATCACAACACATTCCTCGGATGCTTGCCCCCGCAAACAAAGCCTGCGCTCATACAGGAAAGCGGGTGGTTGCGGTGAGGGGGCCCGCGACACGCAGGACCGGCAGAGGAGGGTGTGGGAGTTGAGAAGAAGAAGAAGAAGAAGGGTCAGGAGACTACAGAGGAGGAGAAGAGAGAGGGAGAGAGAGAGGTGGGGGAGGGGCCGTGATGGTGGCCCAGGCTCATAAAAGCAAAGGTGTCAGATCACGCCTCCGATATTTGTCCTGAGGCCAGCTTTCTCGCAAGCACACAGCAGTCCTTCACTCCTGTGTGTCATTTGCTTACAGGGCTGGTTATACAGTGACAAAGCTGACCTGTGCAGCAAGAGCTTAATAACCTCAACTGGATGGCACCAGCTATGTCTGGCCTAAAACATAGCCTGGTTTTAACAAAACTCCTGATTTAGGATGTAGGAAGTTCCTACTTAAGTATGAATTACAACTTTAGTCTTACTTTCTGCCTGTTTAGAGGCACCTGACCTGAGATATGTCCTGCACAGAGTTTAAAGAGTTAAAGTGAAAAAACGTTCATGGGCTGTGGACAGGATTCAAACAAACCACTTCAGGGAAATACGGCCAAGCTGATTTGATTCCTGGCTCTCGCTGGAAAGCAGAGAGTACATATGGGATATTTCTCATAAGCTTCATGAGCACATTCCTAGCACATTAAGAGCATAATCCCACTAAATCGGTATGCTCGTCGTATTTCTGAACTCATGGCCTATTTAAACATTTATTTTACCCATGAATAAAGTTCGGATCCACACCACAGCTAAACAGTAAACTCAAGTTGTTTGTTGAGGAAGTGAGTATTTAGCTGGAATGCCTGAAATTCCACTCAGGGTCACATCGTTTAGAGGACTTCTTGGACGAGGGAAACTGGAAAGAAGAAGGTGAATGTTTAATCTAAAAGCAGAGAGCTGCAGTTTCAACTCAGGGAGGAAAAACTGAGACACATGTCTGTGAAAACATCCAGAAACTTTAGCTTCATATGTACGGTGACCATAGGTCCTCTTTTACCCGGACATGTCCTCTTTTCTTGGGGCTGTCCGGCTTTGTCTGAGGGAGTTTATAAAATCTTTCAAATGTCCGGGATTATGTTTAGAAGTTTTGAGTTTGTGTCACGTGGACTTACTGAGTTAGAAGCACATAAAAAATACTCGATCTGACCCGAAAAACTCATAATGAACTATGCGCGACTCCGTGGCTCCACCCCCGCATGGTTGTGTCCTCTTTTGGTCACCCTATTCAGATGCTTCTTCACCCAAACCCTTACCAGTTTTTAAATTTTATTTCAAGTGGATTAGTGTTTTGTTGTCTCTCTTTTTAACACGACAGAGTTGGAACTGCAGACCTGTTTTAGTAATTAACACAACAGCAGCTCTTTAATCTATTTCTGTATTACCTGAATGTCCTCAAGCAGCTCCTGCTTGCGCAGGCGGATATTCTCCAGCTCCTGCTGCTCCTCTGGGGTGAGGTCGTCCGGCACTGCAGAGAGATGAGAGAGAAGATGAAGGGTCAGGACGTTCATACGTGTCCCTGAAGGCATCTCTGTGTCCAGAAATAAAGTTTTCTTTCATATCAGAGAGGGTCACTGAATACACAAAGCAAACGAAGGGGTGTACGCTCCACAGGCCACTCGCTGGCAGAGTGGACAAACTCTGAGGAAACATCCACACACACCAGCGAGGTGCACTCTGAAGAGGTTCTAATTTAAAGGGAAATCTGTTGGTCCTAAATGAGACGGTTCAGGTCAAGCCAAGCAGCACTGAACACGGAAAGAAGCCGAAACGTGACAGGTCTCAGAGCGCTGCTGTCACTCAGTCCTCCTATCACTCACTAAAAGGCTGTTATAATTAGCTTTGTCTGTGTGCAGGACTGATTGACGGACGAGTTGTGTGTGTGTGTGTGTGTGCAGCCTCTACCTGCGCGCCAAGCAGAATAAACGGGACACATTTGGTATCAGCACTCTAATCCTAACAGCAGTCCAAGCACAATCCCTGTTTCATCCTCGTAAGCTTTACCCTGAGAGGACCTTTAATTTCTCCTCATGGCAGAATCAGCCTATCACTGAGGTTTAACTTGTTTTAAAAGAGGACAATAAACATAAGCTTCAATTAAATCTAGATACAGATGAATCAGGAGGGTGTTCCAGTATTTGATGTCTAATAGAAATGTGCATCTGCATTTGAACCAAGTATCAATTACAGGATAGTGACAGTGTGATAAGCCGATAAGCTGCAGAAGTCACAGTTGCTCCCATCCTGTGCGACCGTCTATTCCCTGAGTGGCCCTCCCTCCCTACCTCATTACCTCAGCGGCAGGGTTCAAAGGTTAAAGAGGTCGAGGCTGGGCAGATGTTTGCGAATGGTTAACAGGGTAATAGTTAGGGAGCAGGGTAAGCCGAGGACAGAGGAATCTTCAGCATGAGGTTGTTAATTACCCGCTCCACGTCGCTCCTTCTAAACAGTAATGACTTGTGACTTCTGTCCACAGTCTTGCTAAAATCACTGCTTCTCCTTTAGTCCTGCATGATCCCGGGATAAGCTAAGTTCAAAGTGAAAGGATTTAGGTTAGCCATTCCAGACATTGTCCAGAGTTGCCTTTTTGCCCATGTTGCAAAGAACAGATGCATCAGAGGAGGTCTGAACTCCAAGAAATGCACAGTCTTGGTAATTTAGCATAGCATGTAGGGCTGGGCGATACGGCCTCAAATCAATATCACAATATATTGAGCGGTTCACCTCGAAATCAATAAATGAACGATAACTACTCCACAAGCTGCTCACCCCCTCCTACATTAACTTTGTCTATTTCAGCCGCTACAACTTTTGAACCGTCCTCCATCTTCTCACCTGTCTTTCCCTCTTTGGTCAGACTGGATGGGGTGGAGTCAAGTCTCTGATGTAGGACAGCGTCTTAAAGGGACATGAGACCGTAGCCCACCTCTACACATCCAAATATATTGACATGGGCAAAATGATGTTGGTTATTGTTGTATTGGTAAATTTTTGGTTTATCGCTCAGCCCTAATATCATGTGTCTTAATATCTGTGATGTAAAAAGAGTTTGAGGCGCCCAGCATTTAAAACCCACACATCATCAACACCTACTCCCTCTCTGTAGAGACTCGGGTAAATTATTTGTTAAAAAAACGCACATTACAAAGTCTATAACATTTCAAAATATGCGTCCTCACGTGTTTCCAAAAGAATCCCGAAGGGCAGTGCGTGTTTAAAAGGTGACAATCTGTGAAGTAGCTGCAGTAAAAGGTCAGAGGAATGAAGGTTCAAAAATGCTCGACAAGAATCTGGAACAGCGATCAATAAAACAAGGACGAGGCCAACCGTGCGGAGAACTATGAGTTTATTTTGCCTCCAGAAGCACAAACAAAAAACATGAAGCAAATTTTCCAGCTTAGGAAGAAATAATAAAAATGTCAAATCCCTAATAAATGACATCCTAGAGAGAGAGACAGAGGAAGAGAGAATACATGCTCCACCTCTCTTAATAACAGAGGCTATGTTGGTATAACCGTCTTGAGGCAATACCCATGACATTGACTGGAATGTCTGCTAATGTACAACAGAGACAATAGGAGCCTAAAACAAGAGGGATACAGAAACAAAGCCCTGCTGTGCTCCTGTCGTGTTTTCTAACAGCTAAGGGGGGAGCAAGGGCAGTCCACTCCAGGTTGACCTTTCGCACATCATGTCACAGCCTACAGCATTTCAGGGTATCCATGGAAACCAGGGTCAGCCAGTTAGTATTTTTTAAGTCAGTTATTATCACAGTGAGGCAAATCTATGAAAGAGGATTAGGGCCACATGAAGAGAAATGAAAGAATACTTAAAGGAAGGGGATTAAAGTTTAGATTTCGAGATTAAAAAGATCAAAATTATGTCAATAAAGTCAAAATTTCGAGATTAAAATTAGAAATTTCGACATTAACATTGAAATTTCGGGATTACAAATTGTCACGAAAAATATAGAAATTCCTAGATTAATATAATAAAATCTTGTAATTAAGGTCGAAATTTTGAGATTAAAGTCAACATGAATGAAGTCCAAATTTCAAGATTCAAGTCAATGTGAATAAAGTTGAAATTGCGAGATGAAGAAAAAAATCGAAATTATGTCAATAAAGTTGAAATTTCGAGATTCAAAATTAAAATTTTGACGTTAAAGATGAAGTTTCAGGATTACAAATTGTCATGAATAATGTCAAAATTTCAAGATTAAAAAATTAAAATCTTGAAATTAAAGGTTAAAATTCTAGATTAAAGTCAACGTGGATAGTAAAACTTTCGACTTTTTTTTTAATTTCGACTTTAATCTCGAAATGGAAATTAAAAAATTCTCCTTCTTGTAGCTACTTTTTTTCTATCCTTGTGGCCCTAATCCTCCTTCCTACTTCCGATTCCTGATCACCAGGTAAACTTCTTGATTGGCTCAAATTTGACGGTTGAGATAGGGATGAGGGCGTCTCTAGGTAAGACAGTTTCCATCAAGGATAAAAGTATGTTATTGATTCAGACTGAGATGCATAAGAGGATGCAGCTAAAAGCTGACGGGCAGGAGAAGTGATGTTCCTCTTGTATTTATGACTGACCCCCAAAGGATGAGTAAATGTCCCTCAGAGAAATCACAGAGCAGGTTTCAGTCAACAGCAAAACAGGGCAACAAGGAGGACAAGTTTATTATACTCTCTCTTGAAATAGGATATCAGCTCGGACAGCAGGAGGACGCCAGAAACAGCCACGCCACAAAAACAAGAACTGCAAGGGCCCGACACAAAAAACCCACAGCATTCCTGGCTGAGAAAGTGAGAGACTGACAAGACAAGAGAGAGGGAGAGAGGTGAAGAAGTGAAATTTCACTCTGAAAAGGACACAGAGAGTCTTATTGGAAATCAGCATCTCAACTCATCAGCATGATGAAAACCAGATCCTGCAATTTAAAGAGGCCACTTCAACTGACGTCACTCAGCTCAGGTATACACACCACTGCTACCCCGGCTCCACCCGAGGCGACCGAACCACGTCGGCGAAGGGAAAGACCCCACCCATATATGTACCAGAGATAGGCACCGAGTGGGTGTCATTTCCCAGAACACAGAAGCTGATGGGGGAAAACCATCCACTTAAGTAAACGCTGAGAGCTGCTCGTCTCCTTACAGTCTGGCAGCGCTGCTTGGCTGTCATTCAACAAAACCCCTGTGTTTGGCCGGAGAAAAGAGGCTGTCATCAGAAAGAGGAAAATATGAGAGACAGACAGAGCAAATAAGGTAAAGAAAGAGTGATGGAAAGTGTCTACCCCTTATTAAGTAGAGGATAATCATCTTAAAAAAGACTAATTCAGTTTTCGATGGAGTAGTAGACCCTTACAAAGAGGTAAAGGTGGATCTTTCTTTAGATATCCGAAACTATATTCGACATCAGGGGGTCTCTCAGGAGCAGCGGGCCCCTCAACCTGACCGGGACGATCTTATCGTGGATTCCAAAAGCTAAAAGAGAAACAGGGGGGCCGCCCACATCTTCATTCCTTCTGGGAGTCACGCTTCTTAGATATCGAGATATTTAAGGGAATCATGCACGTGGACATGGAAGCGTGCGGATGAGGGTGCAGTCAGATACACTCGCATGCACATGAAGAAACACCCACACAGCATGTCCCCCTGCTGTGCTCTGAACAATTTGCTTTTGTTTCAACACGTGCTGATTCACACTGAATCTATTACATCACTGCAAGAAACGTTATCAGCAAGAAGCTTAGTTTACCGAGTTTCTGCAAAGGCTCAGCTGCACGGCATATTAACCTACTGCAGTTTTGATGTGCCCGTGTGTGACAGTCCCATAGCTATGCAATGTGATGTGATCTGCTGAGCACGTCCTGAGACATTAACATGATGCAGCAGGGGTTGCAGTTTGCAAGTAAACAGCTGGGGAGGTGAAGAGGCAGAGGGGGTGTGACAGTCACGGCAGCAGCAGAGAGACTGCAAGATGAGCTGAAGGGCCGAGTTAGCAGACAAGTGCATGATGTGTCACTGCAGATGCAACACAACAAACATGGCGACCAAGACAGAAGTCTCAGTAGCACAGATAAGTTCATGACACAGCTGATTGTGTTCATGAACACGAGGTTAAACAGCAAAATGTGGAGTGAAAAATGAGGAGGCAAGTAGAAATTCTTCGCCGACTAAAACCTAGAAGTTTGCGACCAAAAATCGGCTAATTGTGAGGGGATTTTTCCGACTCTGAGGGCAAACCATTCTGCGGCGGGGGACTACATGGCTTAGCGGGGTGAAAATATACTGATATCAGTACAAGAAGGCAATTAAACACAAATATTATATCCAGCAAACCACCAGAAGTTGATAAACGTCAATCTACCGGTCTTTAGCCGGCGATATTTTTTTTCTTGGGATGGTAGGGGAAGGTCCTGCCTTCCTTCGCCGCTGATTGGCTAGAAGTGCTGGGCTCAGATTGGTTATTCCTTGTGGCTGTGAAACGTCATCTTCTGTCAGGTTAGGGTTAGGGTTCGGGTTAGGGTTAGGAGATAATGTTCTGTTCGATGTACATTTAGCCTGTGATGATGTTTCCAACTTTTCTAGCCAATCAGAGGCAAAGGAGGCGGGATTTTCCAATTCTGAATCTCCTTACCCTAACATGACAGACAATGACGTTTCACAGCCATAAGGAATAACCAATCAGAGCCCAGCACTTGTAGCCAATCAGAGGCGAAGGAGACAGGACCTTCCCCCCGCCATACCACGAAAAAAATTATCGCTTCCAGCTGGTCTTCAGTGGGTTGGGCGAATCCAAAATGATGAAAACAAGGGGGGGATTCTGAGACAGGCTGTTACCTGTGAAACGGGGGTGCTCTGAAAACACCCACATTAGCACTTGGTACATTCCTCCTCATGAAATTAAGCGTCGACTGTAAACTGACGTGGAAAAAAATCAAATCGACCAATCAGAATTTTGGTTGACTCTGCATGTATCAACAAATAAGTCGACTTGGACTTTACAGCCCGAGGGTCAAGCTGGTTGAGAGCAGATTATAATAATATTCTTGTTAAAGCAGACTCTGCACCCTTCTGCCAAAATAGGACGGTATAATCTAAGCTGTGCCCTGCCCTCATTACGAGAGAGTGCTTTTATAATCAAAATTTATGACTCAAAACGCTCAATTCATTCTCCTTAACTACAGCCGGGGCGTGTACTCTTGAACTGATGCATCACTGTCCTCTTCAGGAAACTCTGACGGAGATCCTGTTATGTTTTTAAACTCATCAAAACGCTTCATTTTATCCCACTGAACTTCACCGTAACCATGGCTGTTGTCATCTTTCGCTTCTTTAAGCATCTAGTTTCTAGTTTTTAGAGAGAGCCGGGTCATCGGAGAGCACCGGGGAGGTTACATCAAGGGAGACACCAATTATAGCTCCCTCTCCCGCAGCGGTGAAGCCCACTAATACACAACCTGATTGCCATCCTGGCTGAGGAGGCAGACGTCTCATTTCCACCCAGATCACTGACGAAGTCTCCTTGGAAAAAAAAAGGAAATTAGTGCCCCCCCCTTCTCCTCCTCCCTGCAGATGTGACCCAATTTAGTTAGGTCTTCCCAGCGCACGAGGACTCAAAATATCATATCAACTAAATAAGTTTCCTACAGGCTACCCTGAGTGAGGGAAGAGCTGGACAGGTTCAGGAGATTCTCACAAAGATAGACTTCAAAAGACGGATCTGGATTGAGGGATTTATCCACTCCAGGGTATATCCTGATGTTTTTCAAGTATAAGCTCTATGTTGGCTTTTCTATAAAAGGTGGAGTCTTGGTCCTTGTCAGGGGAGGATGAAGACATCAATGAATATAATTACACTGTGAAGCTGCCTACAATCTGCTGACTGCGGGAATATGCAAACAGATACACATCCATTCCTGCAGCCATGTGCCGCTGCGTGATTACATTTTGATGAAGTGCGCACGCTGATCAAGGCAAATGAATGACAGTAGTTGCAGAAATTGCTCCCTCCATGAGGTCTTTCATCTGCTCTGTGTCCACGTCTTCTCCTTCTTCATCATCCGTTTGGTCATCACACACTCTCCATTACCCTTGATTGCCCTTCATCATCCTCCAGGATCATATTTTCTTTGAAACCCCCCGATGTTTCCTGATTTGAGCCAATCTAATCTTCAAAATGCAGCCATCAGTCTTGTCCTCCTCCTCGTCCCCTCCCCCTGCTCCTCAAGTCTGTTGTTTCTGCTGTACGGCCTTTTGTCCCGTCCCTTTAAACTTGCTCGAACGCAACCTCCAGGTCCCTGCAGGGCCACAATCAATCGACCCGTAGCCTAAACCAATAAGAGCAGCAGCAGTAACAAGAAGCAGTCTACTTCATAATGAGGTTTAATAGATGCGGCGCACAACACATGCACGTAAACAATCGATTTTTGGGGGGAAAGCTGGGATGGGCAAAAACACACGCAGAAGTACATCAAGGTCTATTAAAGTGGCGCTAAGCTGTCTGATCTTTCCTGCTGTTTGATGCTTGAACAACAAAAGGTGATTTAAAACGGGGACGTCTCATCCACTAATCTCTGATCTGAGACTGAATCTCATTACTACGGTAAATCCCCAGGGGACTCTCCATCATATATATTTGAAACACACACACACACACACACACACACATGTACGTCCTGAACCAGACAGCGTGTAACAAAAGCAGAGCAGGGGCTGCGAAGGAATGCCAGTCTTCACCTTCCGAGAGAACTTCTGACCTCCTGATCCGGGACCACCAGTCATTTATAAAACAAGTCCAACAAAGCATCCAGACTGGACCTGGTCTGAGGGTAGGAGGAGGTGAAGGGAGACTGAAGGAGCCCTGTGTTTGGCCGGGGAGGCGTGGGACGGTGAATGGCAGGGGAACACAGAGACAGTAGGAAGAGCAGTGGGACGATCACAGCTCTCCCTTTGTGTCTGCATGTGGCCTCCACTCAGGACATTCCTCAACAAGGCCCAGGCAGGGGGACTGATGGCTTAAGCATCCTTGGCTGTGCTCCGGTATCCAGGCTTGACGTTTATTCATCCCAGCTTCCTGAAACCTTCATTTCAGCCACAGGGCATAAAGAACTCAGACGTAAAGCCTTTGCCTCTGGATGCACTTTAATTGCTTAGATATACGATGTTGACACACCTGACAGCGCTGCACACCCCGGTCTCTGGTCTGCTGCATCAGTACTCAACCGGAGAGCTCCAGTAGATTAAATCAAAGCAGAGTATACGGTTTTCATCCCTGATTTATGTTTAACTTCACTGATTTAACCTTTGACACTGATGACAGTACGAACAAACAAACTTCTTAACATCACAATCGATTCAGAAACTACAAATTTAAGTAACAATTGAAGCACCGACCTGTTTGAGAAATCCTCTGAACTTTTTAGTTTCCTCCCGTTTCTTCTCCACCTTATCACTTCTTCTTGAAATTAAAAAAAAAAAAAGTCCTAGTTTCTCCTCTTCATCACTTCTTACGTCTCAACACAGCTGAGCCGGACGTCCACATGCTCCACGCGCTCCTCCGACCGAGGGAGAGAGACACCGCCGGGTTTCCTCAGCTGTACAGTACAGCAATCAGCTGCCAGCATGCTCAAAGCACACTGACACAGTCCATTTAGGAAAAGGAGCCTTACTCGATACCTCACCCTCCCTTTCGCTCTCCTCTCTCTCTCCCTCTCTATTTTTCTGTCACAACCATTAACATGAAGGCTCCACCCAGTGGTCACTGCTGCTCATGCCTCCTTCACTCAAAATAAAGACAGACCCACACTTAACCTTTTATTCTCACTCCTAACAAACGACGAGCTGTAAGTACTGTAATTTTTACATATGACTCCCAATATAATCTGAGAAATCCAAATAGTGTACTTTTTTCTATTGTAATGTAATTGTAATGAGGAAGGCAGAATAAATACAAATATGAAAAAAATATATTTCAGTTAGTTTCCTACTTAGTAAATTAGATTTTTACTCTTAAAAATATTAGAAATCAGCAGGACTGTTAGCTGTTGTTCCTTAAAATCAAAACACAACATGCTTAAGTGTCTTTTTTTGTTCACAATCATTAAAATTTAACTTATTTACATAAAAGAGGGAAAATTTGGGGCTGTTTTTCTACAAATGATCACTCAATAACCCAAAAAAATTGTTATTGCAGATTTAATGTTAAGGCTACTTTATCCACGAAGAATAAGAATAAGACCTTATCCCTGAAGGGAAATTCAACTTTATTATTATTTATTAATATTATTATCATTATTTGTTCTTTATTTTTTGATTAATCTATTATTATTCTATTGCAACTTTAAGGATTCACTAGGGCTGGGTGATATGGCCTCAAATAAATATCACGATATATTGCGCAGTTCACCTCAATAACAAGAAATGGACGATCACTCCAGCCGCTACAACTTTTGAACCGTCCTCCATCTCTTCACCTGTTTTTCCCTCTTTGTTACGGACATGATGGGGTGGGACAGCGACTTAAAGGGACATGAGACCATCGCCTACCTACACACATCCAAAACCAACTTTTATTAATCATTTTTTTGACACTGAATATACCGATATGGGCAAAATGATGTCGGTTATTGTTGTAAATTTTGGTATCTGTAAATTTTGGGTTTATCGCCCAGCCCTAGAATTCACCTCATATATACACTGATGCTATGATCCCCCTAACCCTGTGTTTCCCATCTCTCTTCAACTGTCCAATCCAATAAATAACTATTATTTAATGGACCTTAAGTCAAGAGCACTCGGTTAAACTTGCATTAAACAGCGACACAAAGGTCAGGAGTATTATTAAATCTTCCTGTAACACTGGAGATAATGTATCAAGGACAGAGGCACACAGCAGGACTCAATAGTGAGCTGATAACACGTATACACAGTGAGGAAGTCATCAGCTCTCGTCTGAGCTGTTGTTGTGAGTCAGCACTTTCAGACAGGTCTCCTCTCTCCGCATCAGTCATGCGACCAGTCATGCTTCCATTATCGCCACCAACCTCCACCCCAGCAACTGATTTTTTTTGTGTGTGAGCGTTTCGAATAGTCCACCTGAATGATGCATGCCAAAGGATTGCATAAGCTTCCCAGCATTCCTCTCAGCGGCTTCGAGCAGAATGTTTCTACAGTATGAGTATAAACTTGCCCCGGGTTTGTCTGCAGCAGAGACTCGACACACAAGCGCTTGCCTCATGTCTGTGCGTCTTTGATGAGTCAACCTAAAGCCCTCTGCTGTGCTGTCTGCCCTCTGCAGTCCCACATTATGCATCTTCCTCTGACGACAGTCAATGTGGGATCCACGTGTTTGGCAGGCACGTCGCCATTTCAGTGATATCTTTTACTACAGAAGATTTAAAGACGGAAACGCAACCGTCTGTGTAAAAAAATAAGAAAAGAGTAACCTCAAAATCATAAGTAACTATTCTAGAAATCATTGAGGCAGAGTCACCGATTTCTAGACAGGCAGATGATTTCTCTGATTTTTTTAGGAGAAAAATTGAAAGCTGTCCAGATTTATGAAGCCAGAGCCACATCACAGCAGACTTTAACAGCATTTTATCACAACCATTTTCTATCTTATTCACATAAAGGGCATCTAACAGTCTGATGTCCAGAAACGTCCCAAACACAACAAAATAATAGAAAACAAGTTCATAACTTTTGGCGACTGCTGTGATGTCAGTATGCCAGCAGTAAATTAAAATCCATCCATCTATCTAAGTCGTGCTACTTTCTCTCCTTGTTTGTGTTCAGGAAACCATGACAACCGCATTCAAGTGGGTTATGCTTGAATTGGAGTTGATATGTGTCGATTAAATAACACTTTAAGAGAGGTTGACGGAATCTTAAAATTTTAGGGATAAGACAACACCAGGGTAACCAGGGTTGTAGGGGCTGGGGCAAATCAGGGGTCATCCTGGAGCCTTGAAGGGCAAAATCATTAACCAACAACCAAAGACTCTCGCATTCACACCTTAAGGCAATTTGGAGTCAAAAATTAACCGAACAAGTATGTCTGTGGACTTTGCTACAGGCAAATCGAAGTCTCAATCTCAGGTATTGTGACTGCACAGTGAGCAGACATAACAGGACGCATTTATGAGATAAAGTTAAGTTGTCAGCAGAACAGCCAAGGAGTAATTTTTATTAGAGTTATTAGAGGGTTTGAGAGAGCTGTCAGGTATTCATCAGAAAGAGCAACGAATTCAAAACTGACAGAGATTAATCTTCTTGATCATCTTTTGACCCTGCAGATTAATCTTCCTAACAAGAGGCAACCCAATCCATGATGCTGCCTTGGTCTGGGGCCGGATATAAAGGATAAAGTTGCCCCCCTATGAGAATATCAGCATCCCCAGTCTGCTCCCCGTGAAGGAATGCTGGGACCGGAGGATGTGGCTGGGTGGGAACTGGAGCCGGAGAATGTATAGTGAGGCCTTTCACCATAAACACAGCTTTGGTGTAAAGCAAACATACAGTAAACCCCACTACAGCATAAACATCCTGCAGCTGCACATATAAAACCCATCATTACGAACACAAAGATCAGCTTTCTCTAATAATCTCCGTTCCTTTTTCACGGCATTTATCCGCAGTATTTGTTTTCATAGGCCAGCGCGGAGGCTTCTCCATGTTTCTCTAAAAAGCGGAAGAGCTATTTAAACCCGCAATGCATGTCTTTGTGCTCTGATCCTGTTAGCCTCGATTCTTATCGGGTATGTCCTACTATCAACATCCTCCTTTGCCAGCCAAACACACACATACTACGCCGATCAAGAGGAAACATGCCAGGAAAGCTGCAAGAGGAACCAGCATGTTTTTTTTTTTGTTTTTTTTCACTGCACGCTTTTGTCTTTTTTTTTTCAGGAGGAAATTTCTGCCCACACGCAAACTTTTAAATGTCACTTTCCGTCGAGCACATTGTCAAATACTCGGCTTCCTGTTTGTGAGCCGCTCTCGGAGTTCAGGGGTGGAGTGAAAAGCTGTGTGGCTGCATCCACCCATCCTGTGGGAACGGTACCAAAATAGTCCTCCTTCATTTTTCAAGACTTTAATCAAGTCTATCACGACACCGATGGCATGCACTGTGATCTGGACTAAGCATATCATGAATCATGTGATGCAGCTCTACTCTCTAATAATACACAAATAAAGCTGAGAAAACTAAACAAGCTCCATTAGACTGTAGCCAAATTCTGACCTACATCTAGAACCCAAATAAGCACACTCCTCCTCTAAGGAGAACCTGCAAGGTGCCATCTTGAATTTCCTAGCTCTGTCAACAGACCAGATCATCGCTCTGTCCTGCATTGTATGAAAATCTCCAGGCGTGTCCGTACCTGCTGCTGACAAACCCGGAACTCACTCATATCAGTTCTTAGAGAGAGAGAGAGAGCGGGGAGAAAACTAAAGAGAAGGAATGGAAAAGCAAAACTAAAAGTAAAGAAATCCTGTTGTTCTATCAAATGCTTGAAAAAAACAACAATAAGTGAGACTTTGCAAATTTCTGATTTAGAGACTGTGAGGTATTTTATCACCATATCAAAACCTGAGTTTCTGGAAAACTTTTGCAACACTCGTGCGTCAAAGTTTAAGACAGGTTAAGATGTATCTGAGGAGTACAAATGAAAAGTTTGTTAAAGCAAATACTGCTCCCATGCAAATCAAACTGCAACCGTCAACTATGTCAACATCAGACCCAGCCTGGTGAATCATGGCTGAAAACACACATGATTCATAACAACAGCTGCAGCAATGACTATTTCATTATTCAATAAATCAAACAGGTGTTTCACCTTTCCTGTAAAGTAGTTATAAAACTCAAAATCAAGCTTGTACGGCAAAATGTGACATAGAGAACTCTCAACGCAGCTAAATAATAAAAGTTAAACCTGATATGAGTGTACTTAAAGGTACAGATTATTTGGTGATATCTGCTGGTCAAATTCAAGATTAAAATGCTCTCTTGGACATCCTTTCAGATGGAGAAATGATAGAGGCATACAAGGACAAGAAGATCCTGTGATGATGATGGATACGATTGAACAAATAGCTCCATTATCTGAGAATAAAAAGACAAAAAAGTTCTATATGATCAACTTTAAGACATTTTATCCACTAAGACACTTCAAGACATTGTCTGACCTGTGATTCCTCCCTAAAAAATGTCAGCTATGCAGCCTGAGTGTTGCTGAGCTACCAAACATGAGACCTATCGTCTCTGCAGAGTAAATACACCTATTGAATCATGCCAGCAACTGTGCAGAATGAACTCCAACCTGAGTGGAGTGAAGAGCTGCAGAAAGAAAGCTTCAACTTGATTATGTGGAGATGATGATGATGGTTATCTAACAGTGGGCATCATAATGCCAGGCAGAGCCCATTAGAGCTCTCAGCGCCTCTCATTAGAGAACCATTAGTGACAACTACTTTAACTTCCCAGACCACCCACCTCTAAGTGGCAGAGACAAATGGACTCAGAGAGGATCGACTCTTCCCATCTCCCGGCTCTCATCCCTGGTAAAAACAATGCAGCAGTATGCCAGGCAGACCGAGCCGGGGCCACAAAGAGTGTTGAAGTTCTCCTCTCTCCATCAGCAGAACAAAAGAGCAGCAGCATATAACAGGATCAGGCAGTCAGACGCTCACTGTTCTCTAACACGATTAATGGTGACGCAAGTCTGGGGTGCTGATTAATGCTGCCAGGCTAACCAAGCCGGGGAGATTGATGGTGTCTGTCAACAAAGGCTTTCTTTCACTTCAGAGCCCCCACACTTGTTTAATACTGTGGCAATAAAGGCTGTGGTGACTACAAAAGTACCGCCACCAACAGAAAGAATGAAAACCATCCTTTACTATGGTTTTATGCGATATAAAAGCAGATTCAGACTCAGACAGAGTGTCTGTACAATGATTTCTACTTGGTAATATGGAAAATGTGTTAAATAAATAATAGTTTGTTCCTTTCTCGCTGACACTGGAGGAGCAGCAACTATGTCCTTTTTCACACTTGTTGCTGCTGATGTTTGCAGTAAAAGTCAGAGGATGATCTTTATTCTGCAAAAGCAAGCAAATTGTCAACTATAGTAAGAGATGTGAGAAAAACCTGCTATTTTAATATCAAAAAATACTCACAGTAGTCAATCTGCACATTAGGAACATCAGTTTTCATTAAAGCAATCTGACATTTTTGTGTTATAATTTCATATAAGTAATATAATATAAGATATGTGTTCACGCATGTGGGATACCTCTAATAGCAAACTGATACCATACATGTCTTTTATTGCATTATATTCTTAACTTTTTGTATGTATTTCTTCCCCAGGATGAGTTTATAAAGAGTATTCAAACTGTTTTGTTTAGAAATGCACAAAGTTGTCTCAGTAAATACAGCAATGATGGCACAAACGGCAGAGTCAACACTGTAAACAAGGCCACACGGTGGAGCGTTCACCACTCACGAGTTAAACTTCGCCGACATTCACTCACGAAAATTGCCGAAAAGCTCCAAAAGAATAGAGAAACTTCTACTGGATATGTTTTTAACACAACACGGCTGTGTGTTTCTATTTTACAAGCATTGGAGACGGAGAAAAGTGTCTCCCCTGAATTGTTTCACTCACCTACTCCGTCTTCCGATTTTAACACCATGCTGACTGTTGAGGCAGGTCCGAGGAGTAAAAAGTTGAGATTTGTTTCAGACGGTTAAAACTCCCACAAATGACCAGAAGTGGTAAATAAAGAGAGACTTTTCTCTCGGTTTGAAGTTGTCGAAGTCGAGTTAACAAACACTCCTGGGAATGGTTTGTTCTGTGAGTGAGGGGTGGCTCTGGGCAGTATCGACAGCTCAAGGGAGTGGTTTGAACAGAAGGAGGACTTTAACCAACCAACGTTTCCTGCGTGAGCTACTGTCAAGACAAGACGAACAATGGTGCAGCATTTCCGGTCCGGACTTTCAAAACAAAAGCCCAAAGGGGAGTGAATTTTTGTTTTTTTTGTAATAAACTGTTAAAACTGTATCTTATTTTATTATTTTTATTTATTTTTTGTATGATTATCTTTCAGTTTTTAAGATGTTTAAGAGAGCATAGATAAACCCCTGAAAATTCTGAATTAAGTAAATGAATAAAAATTATCAGGAGCAGGTTAATTTTATTTAATTTTTTTAAATTAAAGGATTATATTTTATATGTGCACTAACCCTCATTAAATTTAGGACTCTATCATTAGAATAAAAAATATATATATATATAAATAAAAATTAAAGGATTATATTCTGTTTGTTCACTAACCCCCATTAAATTTGGGACTCTATCATTAGAATACAAAAATAAAAATAAAATAAAAATTAAAGGATTATATTCTGTTAGTGCACTAACCCTCATTGAATTTAGGACTCTATCATTAGAATTAAAAAAAAATAAATAAAAATAAAAATAAAAGAATGAAATCCAGTTTAAAAAGACAAATTAGTGGGCATTAAATACTTTTTTTGTTATTGAGAACAGAACATCTTGTACAGACGAATATTAAAAATACACTGCAGTAAAAAAGAGATAAGAAATGAAGGTGAAATTTAGCAACACTTAATATATGTAGATTTTTTCAATTACTTTTACTCTTTTCCCTAAATCTGATGATGATGAAGTGGAATTTTCTCCACATCCTGTCAGATTCACTCAATTCCGCTAACTTGACGTGACTTGGGCCGTAGGTGCAACAAACGGGCCCGATGACGCGCCTCCAGCCTGCGTTCCCACCCTGTTGCCCTGGGCACTGTGCGCTCTCTGTGTGTGTGTGTTTCTCACGTTCACACAATCACGCGTACCCACACACAGACACAGTCAACTGCTGTTGGGAGGGAGTCGAGTGGGGGCAGGGAGACCTGTGTGATTGACACGCACAGATACAGCAGTTCACTTTTGCTGATTACGCGCTTACCGCTGCGCTCTCGTTCCAACTCGTTCACCACATCCGCCGAGAGCAGACGTGGGCGAGTGAAGTCAAGCAAAAACAAATGTAAACCGTTCCTCAGAAAATAGCATCAACACCTGTCTGTGGCAAAGGCATATCTAACCCTAATGAACAGCTTCAAACACCTGCTGGATTGTCACACACAGGAAATCACAGTATGAGTCTGATTTAGTAGATAATTTTGTCTTGAACAGGTCTGATTTTTAAAACCTTAACACGTCTTTCATTCAGATATTAAAGAGATGAACCTTTGCTTGTTTATGAGTGCAGAAGGTATAAAAAAGCAATGCTGCAACACAACTAATTCAACTTTTTCCATTTAAACTGCAAAAAAATGTGCAAAATGCATTCATATCTCTCCCTTTGCTAAGGCCCAAAACGTAAAATCATCTTGACACAAACCTACCCTAACCCCTGACAGGACCTATAGTGCGCACAGCCACTTCATTTAAGAGCCTCGTCCTCAAGCTGTCCTCTGTGAATGCATCTGTTGTGCTGCCCAAACTGACAATGTACTCAGTGTAGAGTGAACCCTGCTCACACAAAGTTTCAATTCATTGTTGCCTCTTCATTCCCCCCCGAGAAGTGCAGTTAATCTGCGATAAAAACCCAGAACAAGTGAAACCAGACACGGTTTGACCTTTGAATAAAAAAGACCAACAGTCCGTGTTAACACACTGTTGTCTGCAACTTCCTGTTCTGAACAATAAGGCATGTAGAATTGATCCTCCGGTGAGAGATGACGTTCATTGAGTGTTTTGCAAACAAGGAGACAGCGTCAGAGAGGATTCTGGAGCATGAGGAAGGATTTGTTCTGGAGCGTACAAGATGCAGCTCATTATTTCAACAATGGCATGAAGGAATTCCTTAAAAAGGGTCAAGATTTACGTTCATTTTCCCCCCATATTCAGTGTTTTGTGAAAAATTAAAACTCAGAGGCACAAAACAAAACATTCGCACACATTGACGACTGCTAGGTTCTAGGTCAAACCCTCAGGATCAGGAAAGATCTCGGTTCTCGTGTGAAAAGTGGCTCCGAACGGGCAAAGTCAAACAATAGTCCTCTTCTTCGGTCTAAGGGCTGATCAAACAATCAGACCAACTGACTAAAGAGCAAATCAGCATGAAAGAGTGCGTGCTATATTTATCCTCTGCCTGCAAGACAACAATATAACCTCCTTTTTGCATTTACAGAAACTTCCGCTTTGGCTTTTACTCAGACGAAAACGACCAAACAATAACATCAGGAAGGCCTTGAAAAGCTCCAATAAGCTTCCAACACCTTTGGTCCCAGATTTTTATCAGCAGGGTTATTCTCAGCAATCTACGCAACCCGAGTAAAGGTTGAGGAGAATAAATAAAGTCAAATATGGGGAGTTTTTATGTGTCAAATCCAAGAATGAAAAAAATTAACTCTATATTGGTCTGATCCTTTAACCTCAGTGTTTTCTGTGATTCTGCACTCAGCTACTTTTCACATAGCACTACGAGCTTTCCATCAACTGCATGACAGCCGGCTGATTGGATGATATACTCTGCAGCCTCACCGGGTGAATTTGTCCCATTTCTTGCCAAGTTCTCCCATTACTTATTTTCAGCTGCACTGACCTGACAGATCCAAATATTTCACGATATTACAAGTCAAAATGGTCTTGATAAGTTCCTTAACATAAGTCTTTAATTTCTTCTTTCTTTGCAAATGAGCCTGAATGAACAACTGTAGTCAGCGCAAAATTTGCTGATCAATCAATCGGTCTTTATTTATATAGCACAAAGTGTTTTACACAGAAAAAGGAATAAAAGAAACAAAGAATACCCAAATCTACCCCAGCCCAACCCCTCATTCCCGCCCCACGATCTAAATGCAACAGAAACAGAATGAAAATGCATAAACTTAAAAAGGGTTTGATTTTGTGCGCACTGAGGAAATGTCTTTTTAAAACTCAAGATGAGGGTTAGGTTAAAATCAAAAAACAAAGTAACATAGAATGAAATTTAAGAAATAAGAAATAAAATGAAATAAAAACAGTAAAAGATACTAAAATAAGAGCACCAAAATAGCTCAATAAAACACATTCCTGTCATTAAAACCAGAAAGGGATAAATGCTAAAACGCTTAAAGTTAATGATGTAAAATTTAGTTAAAAACAAGACTAGAAAGGTATGTTTTGAGTTTGGTTTTAAAATCATTAAGATTAGGTGCGGTCCTCAGGTCTTCAGGTAAGCTGTTCGTTAGACGGGGGTCATAGTTATAAAAAAGACGCCTCACCGTACGTCTACCTGATACCTGGATAATCTGGATTAAATTTGTGGGTGATCATTACAGTGTTTCCACCTCTGGATGGCCAAGATATTACAATCTGTATATGAAGTCTGTTCATATTACTTTGATATTGATATTTTCTGGATAATCAGGGGTTAAATCACTCTAGAGCTCGACTCTCACACAAACATCCTGTACCGAGATTGTTGTGGTTGTTTTAAAAATCTGAGCAAACTGCTTTTTGCTTGCCCTCTCCAGGAAGTGAGCTGTGGAATTTTTGCAGCAATTGTGATGAACCGCCTCCACAATAAAAGGATAAGGACTTCCCCTCTGTACTAAGCACTTTACATATGTGGATATAATAGAGACAGAGCAGACAGCGGGTGAAAAGATATGCAATTCTGAATGGTTTTTAAAAGCTGCAATTCATCCCTGGTGAATTTCCGTCTCAGAAATCTACAATAAGTACTTCACACTTTTACTTAAGTTCATTATCAGACTTGCAGTTTTACATCTACTATGATAAAGTCTCATTAAGGGGACTGTGCTTTAACTTCAGTTGACTATTTTATTTATTTATATTAAGTTTTTTTTAAATGTGAGGCCTATTTGAAGTGCTTCAGCTACAAAATCTCAAATCTTATCAAAGGTTTTTGTCTAAATTTAACAAAAGAAATGTCTTACTCATCTCAAACTAAGCTGCATTCACCTGATACGTCCAGAAAATATCTTATATCTTGAGATATTACACACCAATATCTGCCTATGGAGTAAGGAAAATATACTCATCCATTTCTTGAGATTATAATTTTTTTATTTCCAGTAATCTAACTCTTATTTTGACAGATTTAAAATCAGTTTATTCTTATTTCAAAGGAGATTTTTGTAACTCATTATAAGCAATGCAGTCCTTATTTTTGTCTTTTGGGGACTTTTACGGTAAATGTAGTTTATATAAAGCCAGATAAGGGACTTTTTACAGGAAACAAGACAAAACTATTTGTAAGATTTGAGGGTTTTTTTTTTTTACAGTGTGACTACTTTGTGCTTTGTCAGCATGAGTTGACAGTGACCAACACCTTCACAATAAAAACTTAAATGACCACGCTGACTTATTAATACTCAACTATGAAAATTCAGGAACATTTTCAAGTGTAAAATAAAACCTATTGTTTCAAACTTCCAAAATAAGAGAGAAAATTAACCTATATGAGGAAATAAGGCTAAAAGAAGAGAAGACAAGAGCGACCCCTGCTGCTGGTTTATGGTAACTACAGTTCTTTTTACAGAAAGGCTTTGACACATGCTCATACACACACAGGATCATTATAGACAGACAAAACAACATAATTATGAGCATTCCTGTCATGTTTGAACATTAATTGAATAGCTGGCTGCACCCTGTTTCTCATTTCCCAGAATGACTTGCTGTTCTGTCCGCTCCCATGACTTATAATTGAGACTCAAAGAAAACAAAGTTATTAAGAAATACAAGGAAACACCTCACAATATATTACTTCACTCGTGTCTGACATTCTTGAGCGCAATCTGAGGCTGAAGTTTTGTTGCTCCATACCTGCTTTGACTGATTGCACAAGCTGATTTGGAGCAGTGAAACGTTTGGATCGAGGCAGCGTGTAATTTAGGGGTAAAGAGGGGGGAGACGGACCCGTGTGATTAATTACTGACATCCATCATGAGAAATAGGAGGATATTTCTAGCTCTGGTGTCACTTTTCAGAAGTGAATGTGAAAGGAGAAAAGCACAAGGGAGTCTGATACGTTGCAGTTTTCAAAAATAGACTCTAATTTAATAAATAAGCCTACTTTATATTCAGAGCACCGTGTCTTTGCTTTCTAATCTTCTGTTTTTGTAGCTTAGATTGAATACACATGCAAAGATACTGCTGTCTTCTTAAATTTTAGCAAGACTGTGTGAAATGCAGAAGCTAGACTTGCGGCACTCTGCCCTACATGTTCAACCACCACACTTGCACCATGGCTGCCTGAGTGGCCTCCAGGCTGACAAAGCATTTGTTCATTTGTAATTAATAATTCACAAGCCTGACTAATAAACAGTCTTATGGAATGACTAAATAACCCTCCTGCTGCTCAGGGAGCGATCGTGTCTGCAGGCGTGAAAGCCCGATGAGGCCGGCATGTCGACACATTTAAGGAGCAACAATACGCTCAACAGTGTGTTGTGAACGACCGCTGTAGAGCAGAATTCAATCAGAAACATGATTTCCCTGTTCACCTCCATGTCTGTTCATTTTATCGAGATAAAAACAAACCATGCCAACAGAATGATCTTATTTGGCTCACAGAGCTGTGTGGATTACATCCCCCCACACACTCCTCCTTGAAGCAGCTCTCTGTCTGTCTCATTCAGCATCCAAGACACGTCAAACTGTGTATCAGCCCTTAAAAAGTGTTTGTCTCACCTCAGATGACCTGCATCGTCTTTCATACAAGCGCAGAATCTATTAGGACTTGTAATCACGATCACAAGTCAAGAGTCTGCATCCTGTTATCAAGCAGCTCCGTACTTGACATTTGGGAGGCATGTTTCTGTTTGCAGATTTTCTTAAGATACAGAAATATTAGACATTTGAAAAAACTCTGGAGGGCAAATAACATACTGTATTGTTCTGAAAGGACCCTCAGTGAACACAGATTTCTCTGCTGGCAGAAACTTGTAAAAGTTCAACTCAGTTTCTATAGCAACCCCCGCCGGGACAATACCGAGTGACTTTGTGTCATGTTTGTAACTAAGTCAAAGACATCTCTATTTACGCCTCAAGTGTCCTTGTTTGAGCAGCAGTGAGAGGTGGTTTATTATCACTGATTCAGCAAGGATTTTTTACATTTTGATCAGCTTACTAAAGACTCAAGACAACTTTATTGATCCCATCAGGGACAATTGATTTGAGCACACTATAGAAACACAAGTGCACAGAAAGATGAGATAAATACTGCAAAATAAAGAAGTTTGAGATTAAGGGTTATTGTATCATGATTGCATGATAGATGCACAAATGTACCTTATGCAAAAATTGCAGCTGCAGGCTTGTTAGCTCTTTGTTTATCTATACCTGACACAAACTTGTCAAGATGTGTTCTGGTATTTAGTTTTCCCTTGGTTTTGGTTATCGGAGTTTATCTTATGCCACGTTTCAGGGTGAAACAAAAAGGGGAAGGACCAAAGTGCAGAACCAAAAATGATTTATTTATAATTAAAGAAATAAAAATCAACAAAAACTTACTTTGAGAAATGTCCAACTAAAAATCCACATGGGCGAAAACCAACAGAAGGCAGTGGAGACACTGGCATTCACACATTCATAATGAACCAACAAAGAAACAAGGGAAGACAAGGAGGATGTATACACACAGGGAAACAAGCAACGAGAGGCAGGTGAGACACTGAGACGCAGGTGCAGACAATCACAGAGGAGGGAAAACTGAGGAAGTAAAACAAGACTAGAAACAGAGGGAATAAACTACTACAAAATAAAACAGGAAACGCTGAAAACTGATAGAGAATAAAACAGAGAACATGAGGAAATGGGGTCGGACACAAACTGGAAACTCACAAGACAAGACAGGACTACAGGGGAACAGAAACAATGGAGAAAAGAAGAAACACAGAGAAAATAAACTCAGATTACCAAAAACCAGATCATACGATGACAAAACTTTCAACAACAAATTCAATCTTGATCAATTTTTGATTCTTGATTGTTTACCTTCATCATTATTAACAGTCCTGGGTGTCACCTAGCTCAGCCCCTCTTCTCCCTACATCATCTTATTGGTTGTGATAACTGGTGGGGAACCATTATGTCCTCTGTCATGTCTGTCACTCAAATCTCTGGTCACTCAGTCTAACAGACGAAACAATCATATAGTCTGATTTCAGTGTTAGAGGATTATGAAGTTGCATTATCTTTATCATCCACAGTCACTTTTGCACCGTACCCTCTTTTACAACAATCAGCTGATAAGGCAAATTTTCCACCAACACTCTCTGCTCCTCTGTGTTTGTACTTTACCACAGAGATCACAGTGTCCTCGGCTGCCCCAGTGGTCCAGACAAATCGTTTTCATGTCTGAAAACCAAGGCGAGAAGCAAACGCACCTGCCTCGCCGCACAGAAACGTTGCTTTCATGAGCTGAACTACTACCAGCTCCAGTCTGTGAGGATTAATTCAACATGTTGAGTCAGACTCACAGTGACATTTAAAGCCAGATAGAGGCACTGACATAACACTCTGCACGTGCAAAGTTTTGTAAATGAGAGTGACTGGAAAGATGTGTACATGGAGACGTCACCGCATGAGGTCAGCCCACCAGGAAAAACAATCTATCACTTGTGGTTCCATTTCAGCATTGGGCGATATTCGACCAGTGATTTCACAGCTAATAAAACGTGCTGGCCAAGCGCTCCTCAGATGAGTCACATATGAATCACTTTTATGATTCAGGATTAAAAAACAGAGAAACAAACACACACAGAAGCCAGAGAGGGGAGTGGGGGACGCCAACCATCTCACTGGTAGAGGCCGACCAGCTAAATTAAAAGGTGCTGCCTTGGAGGGGGTACAAATCCACAAAGGGATACCACAAGCATGAGGTCTGGGCCCACTACTTTTTACATTAAAGGCATGGTTGACGATTGGAGAGATTTGTAATTATTATGAACCTCATTTATTTGGCGATCAAGGTCCTATAGTGCGATCTCCTCAAAGTAAGGAGAGAAAAGAATGGAATGGTTCACCCGAGCATGTGCAACGCTGCAAAATCATTGACCAATGGGAGCCATCCGTCCCGGACAGCTCCTATTGGTCAATCTCCTGCTCAGCCACTCCATCCAATCACCTCGCTGTATTCGACACACACCCCTCCTATAGTTCCGACTTGACTCCTCCCACTCCTCGGAGCTCTGAGCGGCTAAAAGTAGCGTAGCAGTTCAGCTACAGGAGCTGTGATGGAAAAAGACGCAAATAAAACACTTCTGCTTGCCCCACCACCAAAAGTGGGAGGAAAACACAAGCCGACAGAAGAAAGGGCAGAGAAAAGAAGAAATGTGACCAAGCGAGGAATCTAACTATAATAAACATTGGGTCATCCTTCGAGCGGTGGAGAAAGCTCTGCCAGAATTTAGGCCTGAAAAAATGTTTGCCTTTTATCGTGGCGCATGTTACATAAATAACTCTTATTAGTGTCCACAATGTCAACATGGTTGCTGTTCAGGCAACTGCAGACGATGTGAGGGGTGGGATGCTTTTTTCAAATCTGCCTCAATGGCTCAGTTTTATTTTAACTGCTTCTCAGATCGTCAACCAGGACTTGAATTGCCTTGAACAGAATGTCCCGAATGCTGCTATTTATGTCTAAGCTGATGACATTGTTATTTATTGCTCAAGATTCCTTAAATCTTCAGCATGTCTTTGACTTTGTACAAAACCAAAACTAAACTCGTGTTTTGTAAATCTTCAAGAGTGGTGAAAAAATTCTCCGAGATGGGAACAAATGGGAAAATAGTTGTGAGATCGAGTTGGTGTCTACTTTTAAATACTGAGGGTTTTCACTGATAGCAGTTTGTCTTTTAAGGAGCATATTCTGTATATGACTAAAAAACTGAAGGTTTTACTACATCGTGTAGACTGTTCCCAAAGTCTGAACTAACTCAGAGAGAAAGCTTAAAGGCTTTCTGCACTTTTGCTTGCAATAAACTACAGACTAATTCAAACTTGTCAGCCTGAATATTAAGAGTCCGGGAGCCAGACTCCCTGTATGCACTTGTTTTAGCTGACTGCTATTATGGACTTTCATTAGTATACCTCGACTGTGTATTTGTGTTTCTGCCATTCTTGGCCAGCTCTCTGGGATCTCTATTCTCAGTGGGACTGAGCTGGCTAAATAAAGGTCAAATGAAATAAATAAATACACTCGCATGCTCAACTAACTCCTCTGTCACCTTGCGTTTGATACCAGAACGAAAGTGATCACTTCCCTTTTACAGAACTTCAAAAGTCCCCTCTTTTGAGGCATGTTTGTCGTGCTGATTCAGGTGTTTTGAAACCACTGAGACAGCACAGCTTCCCCCCTCGTTTGGCACCCCGTCAGCTGATTCACCACAACCAAGAGAGGCTGCCTGCGTCATGTCAAAACAGTCTGTCAAAAGAGCATTAAAACGCCACCCATGCTACACCAAACAACCAACCAGACAACATGCCAAACAAACACCCCGATTCCGATCATGTTACTACAGTGTGAGAGCACAAATCTGGGAACACGACGACAGATGGTGGGAAAGTCTTAGCCAGCTCGTCCTCTGCCTGCTCCTCCATCTGTAATCAGAGCTGGGAAGCAGTGAGAGTTGTTTATCCAGGTTTAGGAGGTGATCTCTGATAAACACAGCACTGCCTTCCCTGTTTATCTGAGGACATACAAGCTGCTAACAAGCACAAGGAAACAAATTTGTCATGCACAGCCAAGCAGGAGCAGGAACATGAGCTGTGTGTGAATGCTGCCGTGTTTACACCTGGAGCTTCAGCGCATGTCGTGGATGTACGGGTGAGGATGTGAAGCCCTTGTGAGCAGAGGCGGCTCGAATTAGTTTGTGCACTAAGAGATTAGATCTGCTCACTAAGTAATGAGCTCACTCCCTCCCTGTCTCTCTCTGTCTCTCCTTCATGTGTGTGCACGGGGGTTTAAGTTGCGCTTAATGAGGGAGCGTCTTTAGCCACAGGAATCCCCCTCTATTTCTGTCCGACTGTTATCATCTGTAAGTGGAGCCATTTGAGGGACACGCAAATGAAGCAAATCAAGAAGTTTTCACCGACACTTTCAACGGTTATTACTTCGCCTTGGTTTCTAATGTTACAGCACCAAATTAAAGCAAATCTGTCGCATCTTAGTTTGCATTTTTGGGCACCAAGTTGTGAGAGAAAAACAATAAAAAGAAGTAAAACTACACAAGGAGACAGTTTGCAGAATGAAACAGTGAAATGAAACAGGTTTGGGGTAGTGAAGTAGAGATTCATAAAAAAGGAGAGGTGAGGAAAGGAGAAGAAATGACATGTTTGAGACACATTTCCACCAAAAGCAACAGGAACTTCTCTTCGAAGATGGTTCCTGCTGCCCGATGTTGTCCACGTTTTCTTATGATCCAGAGAGATAATCCAAATCAGGCAAACGAAATAGATGAAAGCAATAAATGACACAACATTGCAAATCCAGTATGTGATGGTAGGAAGAAAATGAAGGCCTTACGATGAAGATGGAGCCATATGAGGCTGCAACAAGCAGGTACCAAAGTGGATTCAAATACTGGAAAGGCTTGGATTAAAGCGAGAAGTCCTAAAGCTTAATAAAAAAGAAAACAATGAGGTTGCATCTGAGGTTTGTCAAATATGACATGTACCTGACCAACCGGGAACATCCATCATTGCAGGCTCCACCCCCTAAACTTACTACCGTGTGAAATCAGCTTCCTCAGAGCTACATTTAGATCCTGGTTCCTGCTATTGACACACAAAGAGCCCTTGAAAAGTTCCTGCTGTCACCTTTTGTCCAGTGTAGGTCAGCAGGTTCGGATGTCTTCACTTTCAATAAAGCAACAAGACAGTAAAGCTAAAACACGTTCACAGTCACGCCATCGAATCATAAGTTTGCACAGTAGAGCCCAGGACCAGAACTTTGACTTTACCTGGGTCTTGTTGAAGTGTCTTCACAGCTGGACACATGAACGTCTGAAGACTGGATACACAGAGTTCACTCACGGTCCCCATAGCTCCGCTGTGTTATATCCTCGTCTGTATGCGAAGAAGGTACGTCTCTGTTAGTGTCTGAGTGATCTTCTCCCTCCTTGTGGTTGTGATTGAGACGGAGGAAAAAGGAAGTAACGGAGGCCCCGGCTCCCCTGCTGCTGGGAGTCCGCTCTGAGCTCCTGACCGCTCCGTCCACGAAGCGAGACTCAGAGTCTTGCTCTGTGTCACTCTGCCGCTCCGCCTAATCCCTAAGGTTGTTGGATAAAATCTCCTCCCTGCTTCCCCCGGCCAATCTTTCTCACACACTCACCTACTTTCTCTTCCTCCCCTGTTGATTTTTTTTGAATGCGCAACTTGCCAGGATGCTGATATCACTTCTGCTTTTTCTCCCTGTTCCCCTTTTTTGCTCATGTCTCCATCCTCCATCCTCCTCTGCTCGTTCTCTCTCCCTCACTCTCTCTCTCTCTCTCTCTGTCTTATTTTCTCTCCCACTTGCTACTTGCCATACTAATTCAAGCAGATATTCTTGGAGCTGACACGCTGCATGCGAAATGGAAAAAGTCAGTGAATGCAAAGGTCACAAGTTCTCCTGATCGATTCACAATTAAGAAGAAAGTTGAAGTTCAGTATAAGAGTTTCACGCCGCACTTGAGCAGCTCATTGTTTTCTCTCTGTTGCTTTTTCGCATCACTCCTCATTTTTGGCTTCAAAAAAGCCTCACATAAAATCAAGATTTCATTGTTGCTTGGCAACCAGGGAGAAGAAATGATTTGCTCCTGGCCAAAACACTAGAAGCCATTTGTTTTGATTAGATTATTTTCACACCCATTGAGCTTACTCGCCATGACTAAAATCATATTTCGGGGTGTGGAGCTGCAGAGTTGATATGGAGGTTTTGCACACACACACACAAAACTGGTTTGTATCTACCACAGATGTGCAGATAATGAGCGACAATCAATTTGGAATTTTTACTTCCTCATGCCGAGCAGAGCAGAAATGTTTACCTCCACTCCTAAACTGATTCTTCTCCAGCTGACGCTCTGAGTTATCCGCCCGTCAATCATGAAAAGTGTCCTTAACCACAGCTCTCTAATTCAGGGTCATGAATTCAACTCAGCCTGCACAGTCAGAGACTACAGTTCCGCACAAACTATTACGGTTCGCACGGCTGTGGCATCAGCTCCAATAAAAAAACATCACTGCTCAGTTTATCGCCAGAGGGCCGAGTCACTCAGAGTGACACCTGCATGAACTGCAAAGTCAGTCCTGACCACTTGAAAATGCTGCAGCTGCACATCAGCCGGAGGAGCAGCCCCGTCACAGGAGGAACAGCAGCACGGCTTGGCACACAGTGAACTCAGCACTTGTGTTTCTCTTCTCCCTTTTTTATAAATGTTTGCATATTCGCCTGCTTCACTTGACTTTGAGTTACCTCTCTGAACAAGAGCGTGACGTCAGCACATGTAGAATAAACAAGTCAACAAGTGGGCACAAGATACTCATACTTGGTCTCTGCAAGAACTGTTACACTGGAGCCTCATCCAAACTTCAAACTTTAAACTTCATCTGTCCTTTCCTTTTTTGATTGACACACGTTTGCACCACAAAAAAAAAATATGTACACGCTTGTGATCAAATGCTCACGTGCAACATGACCAACCCGTCTTAATTTAGCAGGAAGAGAAGCTGATGACATGTGATGTTCTCTGTAGACTGCCAGGCATGCAATCCTTGCAGTGGAGCCAAATGAAGACTGTAAAGGAGCATGCCACCAGGTGGACACAGCTCAGAACTACACCTTTAATCCAAGAGAGCTTCAGTCACACCACATGTGATTAAAGGTGGGGTAGGCAGGAATTCGTTAAAGAAGCATCTTTTTTTGTGGTGTTTATACAAAAAAGCTTTAAATATCAGTCAATTGCTTTCAGTTATTGATGACAGTTGGTAAGATAATGATATTGCTGTGTTTTGTTAACATTTTAAATGTTTTGAGCGGCCCGCTCTTTCTGACTGTAAACAAAAGCCATTCCCAGCCTCCCCCAACCTGATTGGTTGTGAGGCAGACGCTGCTTCCCCCGTGTCGTTCACGAGCCCAAACAAAGTTAGCATGCTACAACACCCAACAGTAGAAACCAACCAGAAAGTACAGGAAATTGTCTGAATCCTCCTTTGGCCACGACTGCCGACACAAGCAAGAAAACAAAGGAAATACCGGAGACTCCAACGGAATAACGGACGCTTAATCAGGAGGTAGACCGGACAAGAGCTAAAAAGCCGAGTCAACATCAGTGAACGCTTCGGGATCTTGGTGACCCTGTAACCTTTCTGCTGGACAGATAAACTGCTTTAACGAAGTAAGCCAAGTGTCTGTAACAGAAGTGTTTCTTCTGCTGCGTGTTGTAGCGCCACTTAACTGTTGACCTCGGGTCCTGGAGTATGTCACCTTATGCTAGTTGTAGAAGTCCTGCAAATGTTCTGTTGGCATCTACAGTAGCACCAATGCTTTTTCTTTCACGTTGACTGGGCCTCATTTGTAATTATCTGAAGTATTTATCTGCATTATATCTGAATTTAATTGGAATGATATGAGCGAGCAGGGGTGTCTTGTTTGTGGGCGGGGCTTGCTGGAGAGGAGGAGCTGAGGGGAAAACTGGTTGGGAGGTGTAGAGTTTACAATCAAGATTTCTCCCAAAAACTGTCACTTCCTCAGATCCTGCCTACCTTTAAGCTACAGTAAGGTATAAGATGAACACTAGTTTTAAGAGCGTTTTGGAAACATCACGGTCAATTACACAGTAGACATCCTGCTGAGAGATTCAGACGAGAATCAGTCACTTTTGTTTGTTTTCAGCACCATGCAGAGGCAGACAAGTCTTCCGAGTGGGGAGAGAGTTTCCTTCCCTGGATGTAAAATCATGCGGCGAGCTCCCTGATCTGTGTTGGTGGAACTCCTACAGAGCGGCCTAATGTTAGCTTCACCTGCAGTGACTAACACCAGTGACTGGGTGGGAGCGGATCAGCAGCTCCTCTAGCAGCAACTCTAACTGAATGCTGAATAGAAGAGTGAGAATAAAGCTAAAAACGGCTAAATATAGATTCAAAGCACTAAGAAGTAAGTTTTCCTAATAGTAAGTTGCATCATCCTGGCCTACTTTTCCATCCAGCAGCATCAAAGCTTGAATATCCTCCCTCTGTGTGCTTCCTTCACATGATGGGAAACAGAGATAATGTTTTTTTAATCCAACTCCAACATCCAGTTTTAATTCAATTATACAGCAATTATAGAGTTTATTTCTAGACCGGCATCATGCATGCTTTATTAGAAGAACAACTGCAGCTGACAACTTCGAGGTGACGGATGTCAACTTCACTTTCATATCCCTCTACCGTGCGTCTGCACAAGTCCGCTGAGATTTGGCTGCAAACGCTTTGACAGTTTCTCTCTGGGTTTGCTTTGAACCGGAGAGGAGTGAAACTGTGCCGCATGGTTGGATAGTGACAGAGTATAGTGAGAAATCATATCACAAGCAAGAATTAGGAACTAGGTCTCTACTGATCGCTCAGTTTAGAGAGTAAGGTTGAAACTAGGAGGACACACGACACCCATAACCACAGCAACAACCACATGAACCTGCCATCATAGAGCACCACACCTATAAAACCGGCACAGAGCTTCCTTTGTGTGCACAAGTTTTATTATGCAAAGGGAAACTGAGCTGCACTGACAGGTGCAGGTAGATGGCAAAAGAGCAGAAGATAAAACAAAGACGTTTTGACAACCTGCAGCTAAGAGCCTTTGAAGTGAGTGTTGAAACAGAGCAGCACCCAAAGGATCCGAGGATAGCTGGTTTTAGGGCAGCAGCAAGCAACATCAAGTAAAAACACAGTATGGTAATCTCATCATAAATTTTAGAACGAGGTCTATAAAGTGTGTGGAAGCGGAGCTATAAAATATACAGATCATCCTCAGACAGACTTCAAGTCCACAGGAGTTAAACTGTTTTTGTTGCGGGTGTCTACTCTGCATTAATAATAAATTAAGGAGGAAAAACTGCAGAAAAAGCTCTTACAAAATAAAACAGAATCTTGAAAATCCCTTTCCTTTCTGTCTCAGATATGATAAACAGCCGTGGAGCTCTTGGACAGGATGGATAATATCACTTATACTTACATATTCAGAGCTACACAAACGGCTAATTTGACTAAGTAGGTGTCAGGGAATGTGTGAATGTGTTTAAGTGTGAATATGCTCACGCTTATGCAGATAGCAACACGACTGTGAAATTATTATTTCACCGAAAGACACAAAGGAAGTAGAATCTGTATGATTATAGTTCTTTGATTGCAATAAACAGTCTAGATCCTGTTTTACTGCTTTCTCTCAGTCGTAAACTTTTTGTTTCTCCTCTGAGTGAGTCACAGAATGAATATTTCTGCGTTCCTTCAGCCCTCCCTCCTCTCAGCAGAGCATCACTTCAAATCTCGCAACGAGGCCACGGCTGCTGCTTCTATTTTGAGATGCATTAAGCTCACAGAAAAACTAAACTGCTAAATAATTGAGATGAAGGCTCTATCATTGCTCGAGCCGAGCCGTCGGTTAGCTCATCCTGGCCTGACATCATCAGGGACGGGGGTCATCATGATGAGGAGCGTGGTGTCAGGACATTAAGGATCGTTTCTTGGCAATGAGGAGGAATGATGGAAGATGCCAGCATGGTATAAATAAATAAATAAATCAGCTTGTATCTTCCCACAAGAGCAGGAACTTTTCTATTTCTATTCATCGTGTAAATATGAGGATAGTGTCCACCATGCTGCCATAGCTGCAGTGTAATGCTCAATAATTCATCAAAAAGATCATCATGGTTGTGAATACTCCAAAGTCAACCTGTTTTAAAAGCTTTTTGGTGAAAACCCAAACTGAGAACTTGGTTTTAATTCAATTTGAAAGGGTGAACTGGTCCTCTGAGATTCACAGTATAGTCAGTCATCCTGTCATGATCTAAGCAGTCCCACTCTGTCAGACTGTGAACATCTATGCCCACTAGACTGTCTGTCATTTCTGTACTCTTGGCACGACTGAGCCTGAGCACTGCAGACACCAGTGTTAATGTAAGAAAAGCACATTCACAGAGCAGCTACAGAGGCTAAACTATGAGGTCTATACCAGAGTGTAGGATGGACACTAACCGTAATTCTCCCCCTCCATCCCGGTGGTCCTGATGCTGCTGCTGCTGCAGGCGTCACTGCCCGGGGATCCGGGGATGTCTGTCCGCCCAGCGCCCGCAGCACTCCGGGTACCTTCCTCTCTCCTTCTCGGTCTCTTCTCCGCTCTGCAGTGGCTCTCCTCCCAGGGTGCGGGTCTATTGAAGGTAACCTGTCTGTGAGATGGTACTTTTTAAGCTTGTTTTTATTTTGTTTGTCTCAAGTTGTCGGGTAGAAATATGTTTGTGTGCGCGGATGTTCCCTGACTGCTTATAGAGATCCAGAGAAGTCGGTGCACATGCTGGCCCCGCCCATCCCAGATGTGATGTCACGCTCTAACTTCTTCAACCCAACTTTGCCAAACACTGACCTCATACACATAACTCCAAGGTAAACTGATTATATCTCTCTCAGTAATTTTTTAAATATATTCAATCACTATATTTAAAGAGTCTATCATTACAGAAAAGCAAAGTCATGATAGTCATTTCACAGCAGGGGCGTAAACAGAAAAATGGCAACCCTAGCCTCCCCCCCGGAATCTGCTTGGCCACCCTAAAATCCTACATTATAATGAGCCCTTTCTACGATGGCAATATATTAGTGGTATTGCCAGATGTGATTTTTTTTTTGCAGATTTTAATATAAACCAAAGAGATGATGTATTAATTATATAAACACAATCACATCTGACATAAGCTGGCTGTATGGAAGTATTTTAAAGTGCTGGAAATAGACAGCTGACTCATTTCTGGATGTCTTGGACTGAAAGAGAATACGCTGACCATGTATAGTAGAATCAAATGTTTAGTTTTATAACACTGTCTCAAAAAGATACAGTTTAGTTTTATTACATGATTTACAAAGAGGAAAAGCTGTATATAGACATCAATATTGCACAAGGGTATATCACAGCTGTATGAAACTTTCATGCCTAAAGTGAAGTTTAATGTTAAAACAACTAAGTATTTAAAATTGAGATAAGGCAAGAAAAGGGTGGAGCTGACATGATATATAAATATGTTTATGAATATCAAAAGTCCATAAAATTTAAAAATAAATAATTAACTTGTTATCATCTATTTGTAATTATATTCAAATTTATGATTTATCCATATCATTGCAACAATTTTTGGCATGCTTTTATTTTATTATTTTCCCCTGCATTTTAAAATTGTGCTTTTATTTTGAAGATTAAGCTACTTTCTGTAAGTGACTGACTCAGAGACAAGCTCCAAAAACATGACACATCAGTTTTTGAAAGTGCCGAGTCATCTTTCAGAGAGCTGCTTCAGGCCAGTCGGCTGACTGATATATGTGTGTGTCAAAGACCACCTATAAGAACTCACAGTTTTACCATTTGCTAGTTTTTAGCACGATATCAGTATTTATTAACTGTCAATAGCAGTATCTTATGACAGGCTGGCCCCCTGTCTATGTCAGGGCCACCCTGGTTGAAATTCTGGACACACCCCTGCTCATAGGGTATTTTTAGACATAGTGTACCATTGTCTTAATGAAGTTTTCGAAGGAAAATGCTTAATTATTTGTTAGTTGATAATACTAGCATAGAAAGCTCAAAGTCGTGTTTTATTTTTGTCGAAGCTGGCTGTAGAAACGGCTTCCTATACCTTTAAAATGAATTTACATCTGCATTAACTTTGAATTTGTACCCTTAAAATGTCATATTCTTTCCATTACAACATATTTAATCTCTACGACAGAAAGTCGTTCAAAGCAGGAGACAAAAAAACCCACACAATCAGCTCACAAAAGTCACAACTTTATTGCACCTTTATAGTTATCTATAGTGTGGTAAGAGCCGCTTTCATTATGAAAGGTCTCTCCCCTGGTCAGAAAAGGTGGTGCCAAATATAGAACCATCAATGCAAACATGTGAGTCGTTCATTCACTCACTGGTAAATGTTCCTCTGTGCCTGTTTTGAGAGTCACACACTACTTCGATTTCACAGCCGACGAGCACATCCTATGGACATCCGACTGTGGTAGCTTCTCTTGTACTGTACACACGACAGTGACAGAGGGAAGATCTCGCATGAAAACAGACAACTCTCTTAAACACAAATGAACTAACACATTTGCAGATTATTCTCAGGTTAATATCCACCAACTGATCCAAGTATTAGTAGCACATTAAAGATCTGTCTTTTCTTCTTTAAATTATATATTTATAACATTAAATCCTATACTTTTTTTTTATAGCCAATTCAAGGCAACATCTCTAGAATGAAAAGAAATGCATGGGCAAATCTTTACAGCGTCGGAGGGAAACAGGGAGCACAAGATGGACTGTACAGTCTTCTACAGTGGCGAAGCGTTTTGTTTTAATGTTGTTTACTCTACACATCTGTGCCTGGGTTGGTTGCGAGATGATCCCATGGTTTCCACACCTGAAAGAGTTCGTATAAAACAGTTTCTACAGGATGTACAGGATGCAAAATGTTCGTTCAGGGGGGGAGAGGGAGTACTCTGATGTGACCCCGGGGGGGAGTCTGATCAGAGATGAGGATGGGATGTAGGACGTCTGGGTTCCTGAGTCTTAGCCCAGTTTTGGAGGAGACCAGCATGACTGTCAGAAAATTGCATAGAGATATAACGAACGAGGGGAAAAGAAAGTGTCAGCATGTGGCAGTCCGGCTCTCGCACAGTGCCTAAAGTTTAAAGTGTAACCCTTTTATTTCAGTACAGTTCATGGAGATGGAACAGTTAAATCTTCAGATCTTCTGACACCTGGACTAAGATGAGCTACGGCGTTGAATAGCTGCACAGTAGATTAAAAACATCCCGTCTGAATTCTCCGACAACCCCAGCTTCTCCCTATCGAAATTCATCCTGCACTGTTACTCTCAAAACACATAAAAGTCCCGATAATCATCCAGATATGATGAGCCGCGTGTCATTGGTGGTGGTTTAAAACATTTAGTTTAATCTGAAATAAACTGAATTGGCTCAGGAGGAAAAGGGTGCACGTGAGCAAGGTGAAAGTAAAAATAAAAGAGCAAAGTTCATCGTTCTTGAACCTGCTTATTTTTAAAAAGACGGTGGCCATTTTAAACCCTCATTTTACCAACAGTACGGAGGCAAAATTTGGTCCCTAAAAAGAGGCCACACGGCACAGACACCGCAGCAAAGTAAAATAATGGCAAATAATGATAAAAAATATAAAATAATAACGTTTTGAAAGAACAGGTCAGGATCGAGTCAATCTCACTTCTTCTGTCTTGCTTACTCAGCCCTTTGTTTAAAATAACATCAGATTTTATAGCGCTTTTTCATTCTTAGCCTCAAATATGTAGTATTCCTCTTAACTCAGAAAATTTCGATCCCCCTCAGTCTTGTTGGTTATTAATTATCAAATTTTACTGGCCGTTGTTCGTGAAACCTGTTTGGCTGTCGGTGTAAACTGTGCTGCTTCCGGCTCGTGTAGAATCAGGAGTTTGGGTGTAAACTTAACACACAAAAAAAAAGAGATTTTCAAACTAAGATGGAGAGAAGAAACAGAAGTTTGGTATACAATATTGTCGTGTCATTTTCAACTTCAACAGCGATTTCGACTCTCAGCGCCGGACTCCGAAAACTCTCTTCCCTCCGGGTGTTACGGACCACTTGTTCCTCCTGTCCTGAATCTTCTGGAAGATGCTGCCGCCGCCTCTCCATTTCTCTCTCTTATAGTTTTTGATTTTCTTCACCTGTGCATTCGCCACACGAGAGATAAAGAAAGGAAGAGTGTAAACAATATGCCATGGGATTTAATGAGACATGCATCTTGGTTAATTTTATTTTTACTGCAAATTTCCTGCGAACGCCGACTCACCTTTCCCCTGTCAAAGTCTTCATCCCACTCGTCGATCACAGTGTCACTCTGGGCGATGCGGACATCTTCAGCAGCGTCTTTACTGATGGCAGAGACATCTCCATCCCAGCTGAGGACTAGATAAGATAAATCAAGAGTTTATATTCAATGTTCTTGCAGGGAATGACTGAACTGATTGATTCACAAATATCTATCTCTCTACCGTTGGCTCCATAGGCTTTATCCGTGGCGTTCCTGAGCAGCTCCTCCACCACCCCGCCGGTCTTTTTTCCATCCCAGCCTGCAGGAGCAGAACGGGCCGGTTTGTCCTCATCGGCGGTCGGAGGTTTGCTGCGTTTATAGCCGTCTCTCACTTGGCTGTCCCACATCACAACTGCGGCTGGATTTGAATTGAAGTATATATCAGTAAGAAACATTCGGATGTGTAGGAACAATCAAACAGCCGCTCAGGTTCAACATACCTGCGCTTTGTCGACTCAGACTGCCGTTCTCTGTGCTGGTCTTTTTGGAGGGGGGCTCTTCTTCTTCTGCTGCTGCTGCTTCAGACTCCTGGTCCTTCACGTCTGTGCTTTGCTCCACCTCCTCTTTTAGCCTCTTCTTCTTTTTCTTCTTTAGTTTCTTTTTCAACACAGCCGGATCTTCTGTATGATTCTCTATTACCGCTGTCTTCATCTCTGAAGCGCTGCTGGAGGAAAGTGAAGAGATTAAAAGATGTTTTCATAGTAACGTAGAAGAGAAGGAATCTATGGAGGTATAATTTACAACTTATAAATAATAAAAGGTTCATTTTCAACAACTATGGCGATTGTCAGGAACAAAAACACTCACTTCTCCGGTGCAGAGCGTGCTGCGGTTGTATCCTGCTCCAAAACTTGCATTTTCTTCTTCTTCTTCTTCTTTTTTAACTTCACAGACTCGCTCTCCTGCTCGCTCTGCTTTGGCTCACGCTGCACCGAAGGAGCTGCTGCATCTACTCGAGGCTTTTCCTGAGTCTGCTCTGTCCCTGGATTGGATGTGAGACTCCAGATGCCGCCCTGACACCAATCCTCGTCCTGGTTTGACGCGTCCAGATGAGACGGCACACACTCCCTCTTCTTCGCTTCGCCTCCGTCTTCGCTCTCCCTCTTTCGCTTCTTCTTTTTCTTCTTCCTCTTTTTCTCGCTCGCAGATTCCTCGAGGCTGCTTTGGTTCGCTTTGGCGTCCGGGGACGGGACTGGCTCGGCTTCGTTCTCCACCTCTGAGTGTCGTCGCTTCTTTTTCTTCTTCTTCTTCTTTTGGTTGGACTTGTTGAGGTCTGCTTCTTTCACCGGGGAGCTGAGGTTGTTGGAAGACTTGGGGCTCTTTGGGCTGATACTGTGAAGCCCGTTTGTTTGGGGAGAAAAGCTGGGGTTGGTTTTTTGCGGCGTGGAGAGGAGGGGCTGTTTCTGTTTGGGGGCGAAAAGCTGCGATGATGACTGGACTTTAGGGGGATGGAATGGACCAGCTCTGGAGGGAAAAGACGACAAAACATCTGAATGTTTTGCTCAATTTCCTTTCAAAATGTCGTGTGATTATAGGCGGTTAAATCGTTCATACCTGTGAGCGTGAGACGGCGAGGCAAAGATGAGGGGGTTGATTGTTTTTGATGCGTGGGGTCACTGGACAGCTGGCGTGGCGAAGGGGGCAGAGCATCAATGCTGCTCGGGTTCTGGCTGCGAGCCTGCAGTTATCGACATAAATAAAAACTTGGTGGTCTAAAAAAAATAGCCATGATGTGACAAAAATAAGGAAGAGGAAGGTTAAAAAAAGGATGGCAGGAAAAGATGAAGGGGGAGAAACAAGGAGGAAAGGGTATGGCAGAGAAGAATTAGAAATGGTTAGAAAAAAAAGGACAAAATAAAGGAAAAAGAAGACAAACTCTAAACCATGTGGTTGATTAGACGTGCACGCTGGAGGAATAACTCGTTATATCAAGAGAAATCAACTGGAAAAGAAGAGATTACTCGCCTTAGTTTAGCTACTTCTTGAAACGAACGGTATAATAGCAGTTTTGAGTGAAATAACAGGAAGCTGAAAACAATCGTTCACTCAGACAGGAGGCCGCGCTCCTGCTGTGGATGGGAATGAGCTTCACCTTCTTGGCTGACAGCGCCAGCTTCTTGGCGGGCGGAGGTGACATGGTGCTGGTGGCTTCAGATGAGTTGATGTTGTTGAGGGCGGGGGGTTTGATTTTCGCGCTCTTCTGCTCCTCTGTGCTCTGAGAGCGCTCCACGCTCTTGGCTGGGGACGCCACGCCGTTCGACCCTTTCCGTGGGGTGGAGGGAGTCTCTCCTACCGGCGCGCTTTTGGGACCCACAGAGTCCTAGTGGACACAGAGGGAATCACAGGCTGCGGTTAAGAGTATGTAGAGTGTGTGTGTTCTGAGTAAAGATGGAGGGACATATTGGCTCAGTGTCAGAGTCGACTTCAGCTATACCAACAGATTTTATGTTGTATAAATATCACATTGCTATGTCGACAAAATGCTAATCAGCAGTGCGACTTCCTTGCTTATCATATCACCGGTTTCAGGTCGTGCTATGTTCCCTATTTGTTTGTGTACAGGAAACCATGGCAACTGAGTCAGATCGCGTGATGTTTAAGTTAGAGCCGTTGAACGTGAGTGACAGTTCATCATCCTGCAACGACTGCAAAGGAGCAAAACTTAGACGGATCTATCTGCCATCGAGAGGACCAATCACAGAGCTTGAAGTCTGAAATGTTTAAATGCATTATTGAAAAAGGAGCATGTTGGACTTCTGCATCAGTAGATCTACAGCAAATGCTACTGTGCAAACTCAACCCTTTAATGCCTTTTGTATCATATATGATAGATACTTTTATCGAATCAATACGAATCAGTGCTATCAACAAATTGCTAAAAAAACACCTGAATAAAGTCAGATAAATGATAAAAATGTCCTCTTGTCGTTTATCAGTTTTTAAAAACATCTAAAGGACATTTTGATTTTTTTGGTTTTCTGTATTAAGTGAAATAACATTTTAGCTAAAAGAAAAATGTGAGTTTTCTGGCCATAATTTTTGGTGTCAGACATTTAAGAGTTACGACTTTTGCTTTAAGAATTTTTTTTTTTTAAATAAAAAAAAAAGCTGCATGACGGCGCTATTTCTCACTTTTCATCTTTTTTGTTTTATTAGTTTTCAAACTTTTTATGTGTTTGATTTCATTGTAACTTACCAGTACTGTTTTTTATATCAGTATGAATACTGGACTGTTAAAAAGCCTCTTCAGCCTACTTTAATGAGTGTAATTTGGATTTTTCACTCTGACAGAAAAATGAATAACCAAAAAGAGCAAATGTGCGACAAGAATTCTGGTAAATTATTTCAATATCGACTTAGAATTTCCTCCAACAAATTTCCACAATCCTCCCAGGTACTAACGAGAGAAGACTTTTACATTTAAGATGGCTTCACGCCTTAAAGTAAAACACACTAAAATTCATCTGTTAGTACATCAATACAGCGATGTTTAACTAAAGTAACAGCCTTTGTGCCTTTAGATTATTTTCTTTAGACCTGAATATTGATTAAAATTCTCTGGTTTATTTTGAACTCCTTCTCGAGTTGCACCAGTTGTGCTTAAATCCAAAGAAACTCTTTTTAAAACGTAATTTCTATCACAACTTAGACCTTAAATCTTGCGATCAAGCTCAGAGTAGACACCACTCAGTAGAAATGCGCAATAACATCTACTTGTTTGTTGTGGTCGACAGTTTCACCACTCGATGTCACTGTTGTTGTTTTCACTGGCTGCAGATTCAGGATTCAGGAATCTCGTTGTTAAAATGCTTTTTCATATTTTAGTAAGTTTGGACGATACATCTCCACAGTCAACATGTGGTTTAGAGCGGACTTTGCACCCTGACTTTCGTTAGTCAGAGCTGTTGTAACACATCACTGATCAAATCTGATTCAGCGTTTTTGTTTTTGTGCTTCTTCGGAGTAAATATTACCTTGGAGTCGACGGTGTCGGCAGAGGACGAGTCAGATAAAGACTTGAATGAGGTAGACGCTGCCATGCCTCTGCCCTCGCCGCCTTGCTTTTTGTCTCCCTCCGTCCTGCTGACCCCGTTGTTGGAAGGGGTTGGAGTGCTGCTGCGGGACTGCGCTTGGCTCTGGGGAGCGGGCTTCTTCAGCTTCTTGAAAGGTTCTTCGATAACCGTGGGCCCGCCTGGCAGCTTGGGCGGGCCGTTTGTGGACGACGTCCAGTTGGAAACCCGGGGCTGCGGTTGAGAGCTCACTCCGTTCCTTGAAACGGGCAAGCCTAAACCGCCGTCCATAGACTGGATTTTGCGCAGTTGTGCAGGTTCAAGTTTCTGGAGAGAGGTAGATGATGTTTACAGCTCGAAAAAAAACAAACAGTGAGCAAAGATTTAGTCCAGCTGTCCAAGAGTCTACAGGCTAACACCTGTCTCGTACCTTTGTCACCTGTGGGGACGACAGAGGCCCGTTCAGGTTGGCTCTCTTGATCTGTTCAGACGACGCGCTATTCTTCCCAGAATGCAGCACGCCCTGCTTGGTCGTCTGCCCGTCTGCGTTCTTCTTTGTTTCGGGGATCCTTTCACACACAAATCAAGACGCCAGTTTATTTCACTCCACATCCAGGAGGAACAGACAACACTCTGGCAGCACATCACAGCGTCTCACCTCAGGTAGAAAAGCACATAAGCCTGCTGGTTCAACACCACTTTGATGTTGCTGGAGTGCACCATTGAATCATTCATTTGGTACCACTGTCCGTTGCTCGCCTGAGGAGAAACACGGAGCAGAGACACTTTTTCACTGCAGTTCTCAAAGTAGAAAACTGTGATTTATCCTTTATTTAAAGCTAATTAACACAGAGTCTGTCAAATTCAGATCTTTAACAAAGTCATTAAACACTAATTTGAATATTTTCTTCTATTCCGATAACTCCACAGTCAATGTTTGGATTTTGATGGTTGTATGAAGCTATTGAGGATATACAGGATTGGCAGATATGCTTTAAAAAGCGTATTTTGCCATAGAGTGCAGTACACCTGGACTCCCACAGGTATATAATGTTTTAGATTAGCAACAAATAAATACAATTTTGAATTAATAAACTGTTCATTTACATCGTATTGCACAGTTTTATCCATCGGCACAGCCCGGCTATTTTCATTTTAAAAGTTTTGATGTTAGTCTTAATGTTGAAGCTGTTACATATCTTTACTTTTTCCTGTTATTGCATTAATTTCTTTATTTGAATCAAATATAATCATAATGAAGATAACATGACTGATGTTATCTTTATGTATATAAACAGTTATAAAAAATTTCATGTATATATACTATATATATTTTTAAAGGAAGGTTAAAGACCTACCTTTTAAATCAGGCTTTTAACTAGTATCTTCAATTCTTCTTACTAGTTCCATCTTATTTTATGTTGTTGCTTCTATCTTGTTTTATAAGTTTATATTATTCTTAAATGACTTTATTTGTTTTACCAATTATTGGTACTATTTTATTTATTATCTTACGTATTTTTATCCTTTTAAACTCTTTTTACTTATTTTTTTCAGGGTTTTTTTTTTTTCCTGGACAACCTTATGCTTTTAGTGTTAGTTTTAATTCCAGTCTTTCCCTAAGGGGGGTCCTCTGTTGCCCCCCGATGGCACAGCCTGTGACTCATCCAAGTGTGGATGGCCCCAAAGATGGTGCTTCCTCAATTCTCAGTGTCATGCCCAGTCTCCCTATTGTCAGTAGTAAGAGTGTGATAGTGTGTCTGTGTGTGTACGCACGTGTGTGTGTGTTCATTGTATGGAGGGGAGGGGGAGGGGCTTAATTTGTAATTGTTTGTCAACATTTTTTTTTTTTTTTATGTGTGAAAAGCACTTTGTGTTGTGTGTCCATACATGAGCAGTGCTCTATAAATGAAGTTTGGTTTGATTTGATTTGCGCACAATTCTGATGCCGAACAGAAGGTGGAGCCCTGAGCTCTTGCAGAGGGGTGTAAACTACAGCCAAACTGTTTTCTGTTGCCTGATGCTAAATAAAGGATTTTTCAAGTCTGAACTGTTTTCTACTTTATTCTGTTTTATATCTTAATTTTGTTCTGTAATCAATGTGTAATGCGAAAAACGTGGAGAACACATTCTCGACCTCAAAAGAAAACGAGGCGGCTTCTTACCTTGACATAACAGTAGTAGTGGCCGGCGTGACAGCTGTAGCCAGAGTGCACCAGGACGGCATAAAGGCCGTACATAACAGGATCTCCTGAGCTCTGAGACATGTACGGGCGGATGTTCAAGAATTCCGGATATCCGACATCCTATAAAAAGGAAAAAGCTGAAATATGAGACCGCTGGAACATGAGACAGCTCTCTCGTTCAGCCGACGGTGTGAGAAATCTCTGCTCACCTTTGTTATCTTTCCCCCGCTGAAGTTGGCAAACCTCTTCAGTGAAAGGGTCAGTACATTAGACGTTCGATGGACTGTGAAACGCTTCGTCGCCGGCACTTTCTTTTTGCACCTGGAGAGGAGAAAGAAAAAAAAAGGAAAGAGTCATGATCCGTCAGCCAAAAGCAGCGTCGGATTTAAGTAAATGCAGCCGTGAAGGGAAGATGTATTGCAACGCCCCGCAGATTGGCTTAAAGATGAAGTGCTTTGTGGGTCTGGATGAATGGGACTCACTTGGCACACATGTAGGCATTCTCTCCACTCAGAACATCAGGCTTTACAAACAGTTCCAGGGCTCGGACGATGTTTGCTGCTTGCTGAAAAAGGAGAGGACAAATGTTGCTTTTTCTGTGTTTCCAGTGTAAACATTGAAAAAGAGATTATATATATATGAGGATTATTTGTTACATACCCGAATCTCCACAGCGATGTCCAGGTAAGGGTCGTACGTGTCGGACACACTTTTACAAATAGAGCATTTCACTGGAAGACAGAATCAAAGATGATCAGAAACAGTGGAGAGCAAAACTATTACATATTACAAAATTATTACATATTTAAGGACTGAAAATCATTGATTTCTTCATTTCATTTAAGATTTGATTAACTTAAACGTCTACAAAGGGAATTTTGGTGATTTTTTTAAGCTTTTATATATCTAATTTATAGGGCTTGGCGATAAACCAAAAATTAACTAATACTGAAATTTACGACAATAACCAACGCCAATTTGCCTGTGTCAATATATTCTGTGTAAAAAAATAGATAAATAAGTTTGTTTTGGATGTGTGTAGCTAGGCTATGGTCTCATGTCCCTTTAAGACACTGTCCTACATCAGAGACGTGACTCCACCCCATCCAGTCCGTAACAAAGAGGGAAAGACAGGTGAGGAGATGGAGGACGGTTCAACAGTTGTAGCGGCTGAAGTAGACGAAGTTAATGTGGGAGGGGGTGAGCAGCTTGTGGAGTAGTTATCGTCCATTTATCGTTATCAAGGTGAACTGCTTAGTATATCGTGATATCGATTTGAGGCCATATCGCCCAGCCCAACAAATTTATATCAAGATTATTAGAGACATCTTTTGCTCTCTATCTGCTTTGCTGCAGCCGTTTTTCTGCATCCTTAGACAACAGTTGCCATAAATCATATTCCTGGATGCCTAAAATTCTAAACAGGATTAAATCTGGATTTGAATTTTGCGGCTTTAACCTCAAACATCAAATATGTGGTTAAAGAAGGAGAAAATGCATGCTCAATAACATCTTGTAGTTGTTTTAAAGAAAGCCGATCAGTTACTTGAAGCTTATTTGAAAACCCTAAACGATAGAGATGTACCATACATGCAAACAGACTATGAGTACTGAACAATGTGAAGCTGGTCTAGCAGAACACTGCCTGTATTTTGTTGATATTGTCTGCACTCTACTCTGCTGGATAATGGATCAATACTGCATTACCAGCAGCTTGAAGTGCACAGCTTTAGAAGAAATCTTCTCCACATTTATGTCGGAGAAAAAGAAAAGTCAATACCTCTTGACCTGAGGTAACCTCCGAAGATCTGATGAACCAGCGTCGTGGCCTGGGTCTGCCTGTCCAGCCTACAGGCGGTGAGGGGGAAGAGAAAATCACTGTTATCTTCATATTAAACCAAAAGGAGTGTATTTAAGAGTCAAGTGTGATCAAACCTTACTTAGGGTAGCCGTTTAGACAGGCTTTCTGCATGGCATCGATGGTGTACCGCAAGAATTCGTGTGCGTCCTCCTGGCTGCCGAAGCGAAAGTGTCGGGCGATTTCTGCAGGAGGCAAAAACAGACGGTTATTCACATCTTTTGTTCCGCCAACGTGTTTATTCTCAATAGACCAAACCCAGGAAAAGGATAGTGCCTGAAAACCTCTGCCTGAAGCGCTCTGATTGGCTGCTTTCCCAGTGACATAACATTAAACACAACTTGTGGGTGTTACTTCTCACACAGCTTGGTCGTCACAAATCACCCTGGAGTTAAACCTGCAAGTCGAGCTGGTAGCAGCCACTTCATTTAGCCTCATTAGCATGCTAGCCTATGCTGTTATAATGTAATTCACAGCTTGTTGTTTTATGCACTTTAGAGAAAGTCAGAACAGCCTCAAAGTGACATTTGGGACGCAAAAATCCAGCTCATACTGCCTGTTGTTGTAGGGAGTAGGGCTGGGCGATAAACCAAAAATTTGACTGAAACTCCTACAGACAGAATTTTAGTGATTTTTAAAACTTTTTAATCTAATTTATAGGGCTGGGCAATAAACCGAAAATTTATGACAATAACCAACGTAATTTTGCCCATGTCAATATATTCAAAAAAATAAATGAATAAAAATTGGTTACGGGTGTGTGAAGATGGGCTAAGTTAATGTGGGAGGGGGTGAGCAGCTTGTGGAGAAGTTTTCATCCATTTATTGTTATCAAGGTGAACTGCTCAATACATCATAATATTGATTTGAGGCCATATTGCCCAGCCCTAATAGGGAGCACACAGATATCTAAATTTCTGACCCAGAGTGATAAAAATATCAAACTGTTTTCTGTTGCCTCTGTCTTTGGAAAGAGAAATTAGCTGTGATTTTTCCTCGCAACAAAAAGAAAAACTCATGAATGACTTTGAGACGTAATGAATCGTTTAAGAGCAAAAACGAGTGAGGAAGCAGACTTGACGGCTTTAGGGATGGGCGATAAATTATCGTTCACGATTGATCATCAGGAAAATCCTCCACGATAAAAATTTGCCATCTTACACTAAACACAATTAATGCAAGTTGATGACGAAGTGCAGGCGACAGACTTGCAGCCGTAGCCCACGCAGATCAAAACAAACAAACATGGCGGAAGGTGGTGAAGAAGACGTTTCTGAGCAGGTTGTTGCTAAACGAGGCTCTACATGAGGGATTTACCCTTAAGATTGGGGTTTAGATGACTGCAATCAGGTATGTCTGACATCGGACAGTAGATCTGCTCACTCTAAATGTTGAAAGTGTTTACACATTTCACTAGTTTTCTCTATAACCTACCACCTAAACTTGTAGTTAAGTATCTTATTTGACCATGCCAACTGGTGTCCTCAAGACGGAAGTCAAGACAAATTAAAAAACATGGACTGGAATTATCATATTTTTTATCGGGACTTTAATCGTGATCGGCAGAATGGCAAAACTTATCGTGATAAATTTTTTAGCCTATATCGCCCATCCCTAGTACAACCTGATGTCAGGTATTAGCCACATCTCAGCGTGGACATCTGCAACATCATATCAAAGTATGACTCTGAATCAAAGGCTCAGAGTCGCTCGGTAATTTCAACAGGAAATCGTCCATCATCTCATCTTCATCACCGCTCTAAACCCTCTGTGCGCCTCTGGTGTAATCTTCCTAATGGAAGAAGTTGAAGTATGAGCTGGTTAATTACATTGTGGTCATCATCGTCACCACGTTCCCGGCATAGCGTCCCTGTGCAGCCATGAGTCACCGCTATGTGGGGGGAAAAAAAAAACGGAATAAGACACCACGCTCCAACGACCTGTTTAGAGCATTTCCACTCAGAGATGAGGGCGGGAACATCCTGAAGAAGAAGTGACGTTTGACCGAGTTGATGAGGTTTAATTTAGGCTGAGAAAAAGATGCAGATGTTTGTTTGTTTTTTATCGAATGTGTCTCAGTGTTGTTGCTGTGATCCGTATTTCTTCCTGCTTAAAAAAAAAAACAGCACTTCTCGATGTGTCGGTGAGAAAACAGGAAAAAAAAAAAAAAAAGGACTGTATTTTTTTGTGCTAAAGCTGCTCCTCTCAGCCCGCAGTCACAAGGAGACTGAGAGGGCATCGGGAGAGGAGGGGAGGAGGGAGAGAGAGGCAGAAAAAGAGGTGCAGGAGTGCAGCAGCACAGAAGGAAGCAGCAGGCAGGCAGGTAGGGAAGGAAGGGGAGAGGCGGGGAGGGGCTTGGGAAGGAGGAGAGTGGGGGCTACAGCATGTCAAGGTGCAGCCCACACCTCATCTCCACTCCCTCTCATGGTTTTCATTCACACCCTGCAGTCTGTCCGCTCCACTTTCACACTGCAGTAACTGGCTCTTGTCACATGGGGCTCATGTGGCCGGTGTTACGTCACAGTGCCCGAGGCAGCGCTCACCCAAACATCAGGTGTCTGCAGCTCCTGACATAACCCACAGTGAAGCCAGCCGGCACTAACTGCTCAGACAGAATAACACAGGCTTAAAAAGAAGATGGATGGAGAGGGGGGACTCACTTTTCAGGTCTCGGATGAAGGAGACGGGCTTGATGGCGTTGCCCGTGTTGGCAAAGGCTTGGATGATGTGATTCTGCATTACGCAGATCATACAGAAGCCTGACTGGTGACCTGAAACAGACCCAACGACAGGGACGGAGGAAGAGCAGAGAAAAGCAGCGTTACTTCAACAAATGAGATTTGATGTCAGTTAACACAGACCAAACACAGTGATGAGTTAAAGGTAATAAAGTCAAGAATTATGAGAGGTTTTTGTCAAGATGGAATCAAGCTCAGGAAACCCTCACTTAGATTGAAAATGCGTTCTAGCCAAGATTATGAAACAAAGGTCTAAGAGTGAATTTTCTTATCAGCAGGTGTTTTATTTTTTTAACCTTTCTCTCTGTTTAAATTTAGACTTTCCAGGTAATTAAAGCATTTTGTGATCTGTGCCGGCAGCAAAGTCTGATGACTTCATGTTAACTCCGCTGAACAGTGTCTTATGGAAGCAGAAAAATATAAACATAGACGGGACCAGGATTAAAAATTGGGTTTTTCAACAGGGGATGTGTTACGGTGATGTTTGGGATTTTTTTTCAATTTGCATTTTATAAAATATAACAATTTAATATAAAAGCCATTAATCTATGCATATCATGATCTCATATATGTGGTTATTTTAGCCTGAAACATGTTTAAGATGAATTTTGAGTTGATTCATTAAATAGAAAAAATATGCTGAGCTGTGACATTGAGATCTGAACATGATGTACTGTATTTATAGCTCCATTATTCGACAAAATATAACAGCATATATATTAAACATTTGACAGTAGCTGTTAGTAGGCCTGGACGATATAGAAAAAAAGCATATCGATAAAAAATAAATCATATTGATCGATATCGATAATTATCGATATAATTATTATAATTATTTAACATATATTTTAATTGCAGCCCTGGATGTTTTATGCTATTGCTTAATGACCTACTTTTAATAAAGAACACACAAGCACTGAATTCAAATTCAAACCTTTATTCAACCACCTTTTTTTTTTTCCACAACTGAAAGTTTTTTTAAAAAAGAACTTAAAAAAAAAAGAAATCAACTTAAGTGACCTGAGTGACGTCAGTAAAAACTGACAAACATAAAGACTAAAGTGACCAGAAAATCTGATAAATAAATATTTTAAAAGTCTTTTGATGAAGATAAACAAAACAAACAAATATATAAATAAACAGAATAGCTTTAGGTGGGAATAGCATACTACCAGTTTTAACTGTGTGGGAAACTGCCCACAACCTGGTGTCTGAACACTGAAATATTTCTCCCGGGGTCGGGAGATTTATTTATTTTTAATTATCATGTGACTGACTTAATACGCAAACTGAGCACGAGAAGCAGGACTTATCCACGCCGGTGTTGTGTCGTAGAATGCACCCCTGCCGAATGCACCCCCTGCTAGTAGCCATGATCCACATACTCGCGTCTTTGTAAAATATGAGCTCATTTTCTTCCACTTTAAGAAGCTAATGAGTGGACGGGATGCAGGGGTGCATTCTACGGTACAACACCGGAACGTATTTCCTCCGCACCCTTCTCACCTTCTCAACCCCTGACCCATTTTCATGCCTGAAGCGCTGTGTTTGAGAAATACTTGCGGCCGACTTCATATCGCGGGTCAAGAGTGGCTAGAAGCTGTTTGAAGCCAGGCTTTTCAACGGTAGTTATTGGCAGTGTGTCCCTCGCTATGGAGCATGTTACTGCATGGGTGAAGTCCTTATGCCGCTTGGACGCTTTGTCGTATTTTGGCAACAAACGAAGTCCAGTTTGGTCTGCTTTACATGCTTTGTGCTGGTGCTGGCAGCGGTTCCAGAGGATTCCTCCTCCGACGACGACGACGTGGAGCCGCGGAGCGGCCGACACAGCTCGTACTCCTGCCGGTGCTACCGGTTCAGATGGTAAAACAAGCTGGTTGTGTTACCAGACTTGGTTTTTACTAATTCTCTGCAAATTTTGCAAACGACCGCTGTTCGCTTTTTGTCAGACTTCTAAAAACCAAAACATTGCCATGCTGGTGAACTACTGAAACCTTTTTTCGGGACAATGTCCTCCGCTTCTCCTTGCTGTAACATTATTTCTAATACACGTGCTGTCTGTTGTGGTTTGAGAGGGGCTGGGCTTGGTGCCGTAGCGTACCTGGGTCTGCGTTTGTGATTGGTTGGGAGGAAGTAATGACTGTAGTAAAAGCTACATGATAGGCTATGATGAAAAAGAAAGGGAAACTGTGTTTTTCTATCGAACTTTTTATCGACCCGTTTTTTTTCTATCGCATCACAAGTCTATCGATCGATATATATTGTTATCGAATTATCGTCCAGCACTAGCTGTTAGATTTGATTTTCTGCCATTCAGTGTGTCAAATCATCATATAATCAATGTCTTATCTATGAGGAAGCTTGTAGTGTCTGCAGACATAATTTGCTCATGATTTAATTCAGTCCCAGATATTAGACAGTGCCGATTATTTCAAAATGCCATTAATCAGCCTGACTTATTCATTGATTTATCTTTATCAAATTTACAGAATGCTATCAGCTCCCTTCAAAAACTTTCAGTGCTAGATGACACATTCAGAAAGAAAGAAGTTCAGGGTAATATTTCAAAAGAACGAGCAACAAAACTCAACAGGATATGTCTTAAACACAGTAGGCAGTGTTGATGGCATAATCAGCTGTCACTCCTATAAACAATCTCACTACACTCGAGACGCATCAAGATGCAACTACCGATTACCAACCAAAGCCAGGCCAAAGTTAACACAAAGAAAATCACCACAGTGGTCGAGGAAGAGAGAGTATTATTATTATTATAAATACAAGAGAAGATTATAGAAGCAGAATGAAGACACACTGGTGGAACAACTGAGGTCAACTGGAGTAAGATGAGACTGAAACTTTTGTCTTTTACCAAGTCGGTCAGTAGTGATGGGCACGGCAGTTCCTTTAGATGTACTGAATCACTAGAATCAGTTCACTAAAAAGATTTGTTCAAAGGATTCGTTCACCGAATCACAGAATAATTTAGCGGGAGAAGCCTGCGACTCCGACCTCCGGTAACAGGACGAGTGAGGTGAGTGAGGAAGCTTTCTTCAGTATTGCAGGAGTGACTTATTACTCTCTCTTGATGGAGGAAGAACTTGAGACCATTTTCTTCATTTCAAGAGTCGAGTCTTGAGTAGGTCTAACAGCGTGGACAGTGATCTCAATCATTTTGGCTCGATTTTAACCTCTGAGAAAACATCTTCATTTGCGGTAATGATGGATTTCTTTTAACATTAAACTGTCAGATTTAAACGGAATAAAATGTGATCACGTGTGTATGTAAACAAAGCACCTATGAGTATTTCAACACCACAATAATTTAAATAACTCACAGACTAACAGACTGATGGCAGATCTCTCATTTTAAGACACTCCTTCAAGACATTACACCCTGCAGCTGCATCTCTCTTGTCTGTCTGACAGCTGTTAAATGTCTCTGCTGCATTTACGACCAGAAGCCTTCATGGCTCTGTCTGAGCTTCTGGTCAACCTGTCCCACTTTTCTGCACCTTTGTTCATCGCGTCACTCCGCCCGTCATACTCCTGAAACCATCGCGGTGAGTCACAGCTGGCCTCAGACACGAGGGGCTCACAGATAAGTAGAGCCAATATGTAATTATCAAACCTCAAATACAGGACTGGGTCACTGTTACTGGATGTATTTATCTATTAGGGTCAATACGGTAATAAAGGACTGATAGACAGTCCGAGTATGAGTGTGAGCACAAAGGTCCTCCAGTAACTTTATCGAGTTTTAATGATGTGTGAGGTGAAATAAATAGTTGAAGAGCAGGGTTCGAGTACTCACAGGCACGGCTGTGCTCCTTTGAGAGTAAGTAGTTGGCGAGTGGCGGGGTGTAGGTGAGACACTGCACCGTGGAGTTGAGGAAGCAGGTGTTCCCGAGGTTGTGGAGGCCGGCTCCCACCCTGTACACTCGCTCCCATTTAAGAGTGAGCTTGTTACCTTGAAAGAGCATCTTCTGAGGGGCCGGGATCCCATCGCTCTGGCCCCCGACCACATTTTCTGATACTGCGAGAGGAGAGTTTGTGTCATTATCAGAGCGCTAAGCTTTTAAGAAATCTGCTCATTTTTCACAGTTCCAATTTCAGCGCTTACCTTGCCTCTTTATTTGAGCGGGCTCTGCGGCCTTCTGGCCTGCAGCGCCCTCGTTCCTGGGGTTGAGGATCACATACTTGTTCTTTAGGCTGTCCAGCTGATAAGAGAAACCCTTGCTGGCGGGCTCGAACTCTATCTTCTGCAAAAGGACCTTTTTGGCAGAAGAAGCCAAGAGTTTGTTGAGGTCACCTTCATCACCCGTCTCCTTTCGGCCCGGTTTCAAAGCCTCCTTGAGTTTATCCACTATCGGCATTGTTGGAACATCACTGTGGAGAAAGACAAAATGGAGTTGTTTTGTTTAGTCGCAACAAACCCAAAAACTTAAAATTTCAGCTACATTACATGAACCGCAAAGTTACAGACGTACAAACGCACAACAAAAACAAAACACACGTCGACATTTCCGGCAGAGAGTCATCGTTCAGAGCATCTACATTCCGATGCATCTTCCCCCCCAGTCTTTAATCTGCTTTTAAACACACTCAGAGAGACCGGCTCCCGCAGGACCGGATTCTCTTGCAGGAGATTCCAAGCTGCAGGGGCTGCACACCTAAACCTTCTTTTACCCATTTCAAGAGAAAAACAGACCCAGAGGGGACAGGAAGCAAAAATAAGCAACGATTAATGGAAGATGGTGTGCAAGGAAGTCTTCTGCCTTTAACAGGACGGTTTATAAAGTACTGGTGTCGCTCTAATTTGAAGGCTCCATTAAGTTTTACAAAAATATTGCAATGAGGCTCTTTATCATGTAGTCAAAGGAGTATTCCAGTGTAAAATTAATTTAGGGCCAAATACGCCGTAACATTAAGTTAGACAACCCCCCGAGAGATAATTGTTGCTTCTCTAGTTAAACCAACTTTAGTAACAACCGCACGATAGCAATACACAGAGCCACACACAAACCTCAACTAAAACGCCACTCTAATGCTCAGAACAGCACCTAACTTCATCAACAGTACAAATAGCGTCCCAGCCATAGTACTAGCCACCAAACATCTTTTTAACTTTGCCTGATTTCTTTAGCAAAAAGACTAAACACAACTTACCTACTCTCTTCCAGCAGACATTTGTTAGTGGTGAGACCACAGGCCAATCCATTATGGACTACAGCGGGGTTACGCAGCTCAAGGAAGAACATTTATGATCATTTCTTTAGTATGTCCTTTAAGTAATAATCATCATATTAATAATAAATGTTCTTCCTTGAGCTGTGTCACCCCACCAACCAATATCTTCTTTTTTCAGCGGCCTATACCGATAAATAATGCCGATATCACTTTAATATTAGTTTAGTTTTAATTGTATTTGATAAAAAAGAATTTATAATGATTACACTGATTACTTCATGCACATAACAATCTGTCAATCATCTTGATCAGTCTGTAGCTGCTGAACACCGAACCTACTCTGGGGAAGGTTATCAGCTTACTTGATCCTGAAGCACCGGAGGAGGAAAATCAGAGACTGTTGTACTTTCCCTGCATCATATTTCAACACAGACTGAACAAACGAACATCATCCTTTCAAGTTATTGTAATTACTGGATATAAAATATGCAAGATTATGGCTCTGAATCACGCTGTTCACATTCATTTTTATCATCTCCATAATTCTGTTTGCGAGCTTTTGGGCTGCGGCTGAAATATTACGTCTAGAACCGTCATACAAGCTGCGGGAATAAATCAGAGTGACAAATCAGTTCCAGGGAATAAATGAGAGTTATTATAGTCTAATCTTTCACAGGCTAATGATGAGAAAGTGATACAATAGGTCTTTATTTGCACATTCAGTCTGTGTTTTTTTATTATCTCCTCAAATGCTGTGTTGATTGCCGTTTGAATTTTAACTTTAACTTCAAATTGTTTGGTTATGAGTTTGTTGAATATGACAATCTGCTGACGGCAGACGGTTCGCGCCCGTTTCTGCTCATGTGTCGCTCACACACCGGCCTGTTCGTGTGAACGCGCTCAAAGTAACTCTACGCTGACTTATCAGGTTGATATCCAGCTTTGTGCGACAGCCAAGCGCGGTCCTCACTGCCAGGGTTAGTGGAGCCGCATGACTAAGAGATACCCAAGAGAGCGTGATGGACTCGCTTTGTAATTTAAGCTTCTGCGCAGGACCAAACACAAACATCGTATTAATCATACTAATGTGTTATTTATCCATAAGATAATCCCTAAAGTGCCTCTGTGTCTGCCTCTGTCTCAGTCGGCACATCTCCAGGCCACATACATAGAAGTACTGAGTGCATCTCAGGAGCCAGCTGGGTCTTGGCAGCTGTCCTCACAGTTATGCAAGACATTAGACGCTGGTAACAGGGTGGGGGTGGATAGTGGGTGGCGGGGGTGTAGGAGACAGGAAAAGATGAGCATGTAGAGCACGAGAGGTAACTGCTGTTGTCAACTGCCAGCATCGATGTTTTTAGAGTTTTCTGCCACCAAATGACGTGTGTCTTTGGTGAAGCTGTGCACGATCACCTCCATCCGATCAGTCATTTTTATAAGGAGAGGAACAAAGAAAAAGAAAGACAACATTTGCACATGCAGTCTGCTTTCCCTTTAAATACAGTGTTGCTGAGTACACTAGAAGGACCGTTTTAGCAGATAACAGTGCATGCATATCCACAGACTCTCTGCCAGAGTAAGCAGGGTGGATGATTTTCTGAGCTTTTCTCCCCACAAAAAAAGCCTCAAACGCTGACTTAGAAGTGACTAAACCCATCATTCCTTCTCTAGTAGGCATTATTTACTCTGGATGTAGCAAACACAACAAACCCTGAGTCAAAGTGAGGGCATTACAACACGCAGATGTTACGGCAGCACTCCACTCAAAACACCAAAGGCATGTAGTGCCATGAGAGTGGTGCTCATCAGAGTGGGCAGTGACGTCATGAGGAGGGAAGGAGGGCTGAACATGCATTGTATGCACAAGGGCACGCTGACCTTCACATGCTGCTGATACTGATACAAGTAAGAGCGACAGAGCAGCCTGCAGGGACACAACCAACTGCAGTGATGCAACCAGGAGTGGAGCGGAGTGGTGTTGATACACTGACCACAACACATGGATGTGAGCGGATTATTAAGTCCAGACACTCTGCTGTGACAGAGTGGTTTTATTATTTTTCCAGGAAGTGTCATAACAGCTAAACTGACAGCAAAATTAGTCGTTAAAGGAATAGTTCCACCTGTTTTTTTAAAGAGTGGTGAAAGCTACACACAGATATAATCTGAGTCACAAATACAGAGCATGATCTTAGAGTGTGATAAATTTGCAGAGCTGTCAACCTCAGGTTAGATAAGGATGCTCGAGGCCTTTATACGTTCAAATGTGCAGAAATATCCTGAGACGCGGGTGGTGAAAACTCTGAAATGCATTTTTCATGTTGGACACGCAAATCAAAAGTACATTAACGTATTAGTACTAGTTGTAGTCTAATGAGTAATCGTAGTAGTATTTATAGTTTAATGATCAAAACACATGCAGAAGTTGTATAAAAATTACAGATAATTTCAGTCGCAGATTACTGCAGTTTTTGAGAAATCTATCATATATGCCTTTTGGTTTAATGTATTCTGTTAGACAACCCTTCAACCGTCAAATGTGTCAAGTCTGTTTGGTTTCAAAATTATTATTTATCTACATGATGTTCTTTAATAAGTTAAACAAGCAATTAAAATATATATCTATGATTTGCTGCGAGCCGTATACTTTGAAAATGATCCACTGATATTTCTGCATTTATAAAAGTTTTATTAATGTTGTTCAATAATTCATCTGACAGTCCAATCACAGATAAAACAACAGCCAAAAACAAAATGAACTTTTTCCATATCACTGAATAATAAAATCAAGATGATATTTGAGGCTGTAATGGCTTTTTATTAGAGAATATGAGAAACAATACATTTTGATGGATTGGACATGGTAGAATGTACTTAAGGTGCATCGTATGCTGTCTAAAAGTGCAGAACTACCACACAAATTTGCTTAAACAAAGCAGCATGCAAGTATGACGCTGTGTTGTCAGATTTCTGTATGTTGAATGTCACATACAGCCGTTTTCTAAAGCATCTCAAACTACTTCTCTTCAGAAAGTTAATAATCAAAGTTGGGATATAATCAATTTCATCATTACTGTCTTTTTAAAGTATCAAAAATAGGCTTGATACAGTTTTGTTGTGATTCGTTATATTAAATCAATTCAAATTTTTTACTCACTTTGGATTTTGCACTGCTTTTAAAGCATTTGTCATAATAGTGAGGGCATTACCAAATGTGGTGCTCACAGACTGTATATACTATGGACAACTTGGTTCTGCCTTCTGCCAGTATATGGATTTGAAGCCAAAAAGCTCTCGGTAATTCTGCGTTTTTCCTCCATTTCCTGAAACCAGCATTGCGCAGTAGCATCGTGCGCATTCGGCATCCCCGAGAGTCATTGTGATGACGCTCAGTTCAAACAGCGAATCGCCTGTGTAAGCTATGCAGTCTTCGTACGCCCACAGGCTGTATCAAGTGTCAATCATAGAAAACATGAACCCCTGAATAACTTTTAAAATTGGAGCTGCACAGAAAAAAGAGGACTTGAGCACAAACCAGTCTGACAATAACTACATGTCAACATCGCAACCAGGGGGGAGAAAAACTTATATTCTGTGTAATAAATTTCTAAAGTTTGTCCACAGCTCCATAGGGATTGCTGGAGGAGGCGGGATTTATGACCTATACTGCAGCCCATCAACAGAGGGTGCTGTTCTCGGAGGAGGCAGACACTGTCTATTCTATATACAGTCTATGGTGGTGCTATTTATTTGCTTTTTCTGAAATTAAAAAAAAAATAAACTAAAAAACATTTAGGGTTGGTGAGTAATTTCAGTATACATTTAAATGATCACGTCTTCAGCTTGAAGTAAAACAAAATGACACGTTTCCCCAACATGTCAGAGTGAAGAATTTTGATTACCTCTAAATCTTTTTTAAAATATTGTTCATAATATCAGGAGAAGTGAATTTGAGTCAGCATTTTATATTTTCAGGTCACCTTTTACAGCTTTAGTCGAACATTTACGTTCACCTCTAAACACACGTACCTCCTCACGGGCAAGAAAACGGGAACGATTGATTTTTTTCGGAAGCACCTGAATGCACCACGGCTGCTGCTTCACTTCTTAAATCCTTCTGTCCTCCGAGCTAGATTATACAGCTATTAGACTGGGTAAAATAACAAGCCTTATTTGTGATTATAGATTACAAATCTGGACGCCTCTGTACGAGCAAGAGTCAACTCTTGAGGGCCAGTCATCGTGGCTTAAATGCTAAGGTTGCTAACGTACACCACAGCGACGTGAATGACGACCTGCACGTTCACGTTTGTTGACAAACCGTCGAGAAACACCTTTATTTGCCATTTTTTGATTACGAGCCTCCCTGTGTTGTCTTCTACTTCATTTCCTGTCTCTGTAAGCGTCAAACTAGCAGTGGAAAATTAGCCAGCGAGCTAGCTGAACGTGGCGAAAGCCTCCAGCCTTCCCCAATGCTGCAATGTGGGTTAGCATCTCAGCGTCCAGGTGGCTAACAATCCCCAACCGCCACATTTAAGTCCGTTTGTTGTACGGAATAACGCGGATTATACGTGCTTGCAAATATTGTACCGTATAAAACAACCTTCATTCACTCACCTTTCGTTCAAACGTCCAAAATCGTTGACAGTAAAAGATCTGCTTCCTCAGCTGTAGCTTTCGACTCTGGTATTTTCGCCCATGCTGCATTATCAGAGGGCGGCGCCAAAAATGACTGACACACATAAAGGACCAATGGGAGAGCAGGTCACACCGTAGCTGCGAGGTTCAGCCAATCGGGGCTCGAAGTGACGTAGCGCTGTCGGGAGAGAGCCACACGTGACTTCCAGCCAGCGCTGTTTACCATTGATGCAATCGTTGGCGAGGAGGTAGATGTCCACAATCTCCAATAAAACAATGAGAGGAGACCGAAATGGGTTTGATGTCGACTCAGGCTCTGTTTCAACTTCCAATATGGCGCTGTTACTAAGCACCCTCTTGTTCACATAACAACCGTTCCAGTTACCTTATCCATCCCTTTTGTTGGTTTCATTGTAAGTGCAGTTTTCCGTATATTGCCCTTGTGTTAATCCATATTTGCACACCATCACAGGAGTTATGTCATTCAGGGCTCGAAGCGCAGAGTGAATAGAACATGTCCAAAGTGAGGGTTGCTTTTCATCTTTATAGTCATGTTTCTCAGTATTACTGTGATTTTTGTTGTTTTATATCTTCATAACAAACATTTGCAATATTATTAGGTGTTACATTTTGGTCTCGCTTATAAATAAGATCATGCTCCAAGGTTGGCTTGCAGATCTAATCAATATTATATAACTTCATTATTTTATATCGAGGAAACCTAGGAGTTTCATGCTGGTAGTATCATAACTGTTCACATGGATAGGCTCGTGAGGGACTATCTTTCTATGTCATAATTCGCTCTCACCGCTAGGCGGCAGCAGATTGCTGCTACAGTGTCGCAGATCAGGTACCGCTGCACATACTTTCACACAATTTTTTAAATAGTGAAATAAAACAACACATAATTTTTAGACGTATGATTCTGGGTTTTTAATAATAATAATAATAATAATAATAATAATAATAATAATAATAATAATTATTATTATTATTATTATTATTTTCATCATCATAATCACTAATAATAGTAATAATATTAATAATTATTATTATTATTATTATTCATATAATCATCATCAATAATAATAATAATAATAATAATAAGCGCCTGCTTAGGGCCCCACAACCCCCAAGAGCAATGTATGTTTAATATTTTTTTTATTTTTTGCATGCATGAGTGATGCTTTCTTTGTGATAAAATATATACTATTGTAAACATAAAATAAAATAAATTAAAAACATCTTAGTGCTGCTGCTGATGTAGGCCTATGATTCTTACCGCCGATATGTCAAAGCTCCGCTAACGTTATGTGCCTCCTGCTGTGCAATGTGCACTGAGCATCCAAAGTGCAGGTAGTTGTGGGGCGAAACAATGTTGAAAAAAAGGACATATTCTTCAGGAGCAGAGAAAAGGAAGAGGAAGAAGAGAAAAAACGCCAAGATAAAAGTATGTTTGCATGTCATGGAATGTTAATCAAAGAGATTTATGAAGGTGTGTAATCAGTATTATTGGCAGAAATAGAGGGCCTCAAAATCAAACTTTACAAGTACAAGTAAAATCTCCCTTGGATCCATCTAAGCCTTAACTTTGGAGCAACAGAGGATCTAAACCCCCCGTCTGAGGACCTATGGCTACGAGACAGCACATGTGGTGTCAAGATTTCTTTAATGTAACTAAGGTCAAGGTCCATATGAGCTCATAAAGTGATCAGTAAAATCTTAAACAGGGAGCCAGTGAAAAGAAGTAAGTCAAGGTATGATGTGATGTTAAACCTTTTAAAAGCCATTGTGCAGCGGTCTGGACCAGCTGCAGATAAGAGAGTGATTTATATGTGACCCTGGAGAGGAGTAATCTAACAGAGGAGTGCATGAGTAACTTTTCCCCGGTTTGTTTGTGACATTATTGATTTCATTTGGAGGGTTTTGTCGATGTGGTGGTCAGGGTTATGTTTGAATCAAAAATGACTCCTACTTTCTTGCAGTTGGTGTCGTGTTTGCAAAGAGTAGTATCCAGAGGGATAAAAAAAAAAAGTCAATACAAGGAGTTTAAACAGGTTTTGACATTTAATATTATAGTCAAAAAATGTACAGTATTGTTTCAAATGGATATGCATGCAAAAATCACTTCAAACGTCTCATGTGAAACCAGCACAAGACAGCATATTTGGCTACAGTTTCAAATGACGAATCATTTTACAGTCTTATAAAAGTTATTAAAGTTAAAAACAAAAACAAATGCTCAATACTTTTACGGTCACATCAAAGGATCTGCACTACAAGCTGATTGGTTACTCCTTTAAATAACATGGCCGACAGTTAGGTAGGCCTTTAATGCACATTTAATGTGTTTTGTTATGTTATGAAAATGTGTGCCCTTTTCTTTATGTGATAAAAATGGTGGGGTTTTTTGTCACAGTTTGTATTAAAAATGGCTTTTCTGAATAAAATATGATTAGTCATGGTATCTTAAATTAAAAAACTTTATTACAATGAAGCATAAAGAGCAAGGATGTAATATAAAAAATACAAAAAAAAAGGAGGATTCAATCCTCTATCAGACAATTTGCAATACGGCCACTGAGACGGTTGTGTTCAAAGTGCGTTCTTTTCCATTTCAGGATTATCAAAAAAATAAAACAATTACCAAAAACAGGTTGGCCGCATCTTAAAAAAGGGGAAAGTTTTGTGTACTTAGCATGAGAAATAATTCAACACAGGAGTTGGCCTTCGTTCTTAGTGATAGCTCTGCTGTCACGTACTGGAGAGGGAGAGTGAACTGGCAGCTCATGTTTTTGATGAACACAAACGTTGACTGAATAGTTATGTATCTGCTGTGTCGTTGAAATATAAACCTCACCTTAAACACTGTCTTTGATTAAAACATGACAAAGATAGCACAAGAATGGAATTGCCCAAAACAGTCAAAGTTGAAAATGATCCTTTATTTCAGCGGAGGCAGAAGTGGTTTATGATGAAGTGCGTTGGATTTGAGGGGAAGAAGTGTCTGAAAGTGCTGAATTCATAAGACTGTTGTTTAAAAAAAAAAGTCCATAAAAAACATTTCACTCTTTTCAACCTCCCCACAGAGCACAAACCCTGTGTTCTTTCTTAACAAGGAAATACAAAAGTTGCTTTGCATATTTATTGCTGTTTTTGGTATTTGTATTTTAGTCTATCTCTCTATCCTCAAACTATCAGACGGCGGTGGAGCTAAGGGTCTTCGATGTCCAGGAAATCCCTTTTGGGCGGCGCTGACCCTCTGTACCAGGCACAAGAGTCATCACTCCTCTTAATACAAGCATAGTGTTTGGCCTGCTCTCCGTTGACTGTCTTCTCAATCACCCAGTCCAACCACAGGCACTCGGCCGGGCCGCTGACCGCGCAGGGGATGGAGGTGCAGCGAGTGATCTAAGAAACAGAAGAAGAGAGCGAGATCAGGGATTGTGCTTACTGCGAGCAGTATGTATTTTTAAGCTTCTTTTAGTCTGTGGTCGCTCAGAAGTGGCTAATTCGACTTTGCTGAATGTATCTTTTTAACGTTTCTACCTTGCAATCACAGCCCATTTCATAGCGCTGAGTCAGGCTTTTCTTCTGGGTGGCGCTCAGGGCCTCCCACGGCTCGATGAAGTCACACAATGTGGCATGCATCTTGCCGTCGCTCTCCAGCCGGCCTGTGGAGGAAGGAAAAGACATTAGATGCGATCGGGAGCATAATTTTTGTCCTGTATTTTAAAGCGTGATCTGAGCTCGAGGTCTAACCTGTGATCAGATACTCTTTGCTGTTAGTCTCTAGATCCACTCCGCACACCGCAGAGGTAGGGGCGGTGTAGATGGCGTCGATATCCTGGTTTGGACCTTTGAACATCTGATGAATCAAACAGAAAAGCACATTTAGATTCATAGAGCGCTGTTTGAACTGTAATTCGAGGATGATGGCTTTAAGTTGTGTACCTTGGTCTGTTTGATGTCATACTGGATTCGTGTGATGGGGTTTCCATAGATGTTATTCCCAACCTCAATCTCCTGCCTTCCAACTACCTTCGCCCTGATAACTGCACAGACACAAAAACAAAAACAAACCGTGTTTACACTTTTTGAAACAAACCCTTTAAACACTGTTGTTAGAGTTCAACCCATCTGAGTCTGGGTCTGATAGAAGCCCTTCCTAGGTTTGGCATGCTGGTGTTGGCCAGGATTCACTGCTGTGGCTTGGATCTAAAGAGTTTGCATGTGCCAGGTGCAGGGAAGAAAGCGGCACATGAGTGTTTCATCAGCTGCAATCAGAGGGAGGAATGTGCGCTGCCGGCTCCCAGGCTGCTGGGCCGACGCAGGAGGAAGCTAGTCAGCAATCTTTGAAAAAGCTGAACTAGAATGCCCCCCCCTCTCCTTCTCCTCGCCCCCAGGCCTCTCCGCCGGCCTGCCTCTGTGTCTGCAGTGAGGTGCTGACATGCAAATCAACCTCTCCCCCCTCTTTCTCTTTCCCCCTGTCTCTCTCTCTCTCTCTCCCATTCTGGTCTGTGCTACCAAGTCGCAGCTTCCAGATTCAAGGAGGGGAAAAAACAACAGTTCAAGTGGAAAAGTATGATCAGAGCCATACGGATGAGCTTTTGAGCTCAAATACTGACTACTCGACAAAAAATATGACTCATGCATTTCGAAAACACTGCTCCTGTCATGTGAATCTGAATGATCAAGTCCAGTAAAGCATCGATCGTGTGCCAATCTTATGGATTACTAGTTAGATGCGAGATGCAGCGATAAAAAATAGGTTAACAAGATCATATTGGAAATCTTTGAAGCGGAGGGAAGTAGCGACAGACGTAATTATAACCAGATGTTCTCTCTCTCTCTCTCTCGCTCTCTCACAAGGTGGCAGCTACTGACAGCCTCCGACCATCTCCAGCCTGCCTCCCAAACCAAATAAGATCTGGCCTTTTGATTTTCTTTTTATATGATGAAAGGTATGAAGCTGCAAGCCACATGTGCCCCAATTTGATGACAATACAGTCTTAGAGAACATCTCCTTTTAAGGGTTTAAAGAGTGGACTCAGAAGCAAAAAAAAAAAGGGGGAAAACAGAGGGAAAATAAGAGAGCGTGCACAGATGGTGTATTCTACGTGCAGAGGATCAGAGGAAAAATGGACAGTCGCAGTGCGGAGGTAAAGGAGAAAACTGTCACAAACATCGAGTTGCATGGAAAAGTGGAGGCAGAGAGCACAACGAAAGAGAAGAGAGAGAGAGAATTGAAGTCTAAAGCCAGGAAAACTTGCAAAATCAGGAGCTGTGTTGCACGGATGCAGCCGTGGAATATTACATGCACGATATGAGATGACAAAGACGAGTTTGGACTGAGAAATCCTTCAAACGCTGCGAGTGAGAAGTGCTGAAGACGGATACAGTCCAACTTTTTGGGCTACACAGTGGATTAGTGGTAATCCTGTTCGCCTGAGTGTGCAGAATCCCACACAGAGAACTTCTCCTTTTACCAAACTAAAGTAGGGCAGGTGAAAATATGCAGAGTATAAAAACAAACAAACACTGACATATCTATGGATGTAAACAATTGAAGCACAAGCATTAAAAACTGAAAGATGGGGTTTTCTATCATGCAAATCTATCAGAATGTTTCCATAAACACTATTTATTTAGTAACAAATAATCAATAAAAGCCCAAAATACTCGAGTTTACTCTAGTAATACTTCTAGTTTGGGTTATCAGTATTGACCTGATGTCTATCTGTCAAACCGTGAAGATGTTTACAGGATCGAGCTGACTGAGCGCTTTAAAAACCATATGTTATAGAAAACTGGGGATTTAGAGCAGCGTGTAATTTTCAAGTTACTGAAACAATAAACACATTATTTTGAACACAGTGTTGTGGTTATGGGAGCGCTTTAAAAAACAATGCATGTCATGTAATTGCAGGGCTTTTACACGCATTTCCTCCTTGAGAAGCCACAAAGCGGTCAGATCACGGACCAGAAATGTCAAACTAAGAACTCAGACTCATCCTCCTTTGATCCTATGAGGATAAATGGATTGAAGATATTTAATTATTGAAGATATTTAAAGCTCCTGTGAGGATTTTTTTTGACTTCCTTGAAATACACTGACATTTAAATTAATGCCTTTTTATGATTTCCAAAAAAAGACCAAATGAGACATGAATGTTGCAAGTGTACCATTGGTGCGAGGGGGTAGGTGTCATCTGTTTTTAGAATTTCCAAAGAGATATTTGACCTTAAAAAGTCATCAGGATGAGATTTTATTGGCTGAAGATGCTGTTAGAGCGCGTACAGGACAAAAAGGCAAAATTATTTTGTCCACAGGGGGGCGCCAAACTTGGGATAAAAAGACCCTTACAGCAGCTTTAACGCATATGATTGAGGAGATTTTTTTTCTATTATATTTACTATTTTTTCCTTATTTGTTGCTGACAAAATGAGCACATTATTTATTGGCCTGCATGATCTTTTAATGAAATGCATAGCCGCTGGTGATGCTAGAGTTCGAAGAAGTGTGAACTTTTTCAGTTTACTCTGACTAGCAGCTCTTGTAAGCACAGTTTGAAGTGCATGGCTAAGCTTTTTCAGGTGTTTCAAAATCAATACAATCATAATATTTATAATTACGTAATAATTAATATCCCTTTAATTTGCTTTCTTCTTCAAAAATCAGTGAGAAATGTTAAAGAAGCTGTAAAACACACACAAATGCAGCATGTGACCAACCTGCATCTCTTTGCCCGGGTGGAAATAGTTTTTTCATCCAACTCAGTTTGATTTGACAGGATAAATGAAACTTTGAGGTCAAAGTTATCTGATATTCTGTGTTTATTTAGTGCAAAGAAGAGAAGACAAAAACACATCTGGGTAGACTTGTAAATAAAAGCCTCTCCTCTGACAGCTGCTTCCCATATTAGGATAGGATGTTTTTACGTCTGCGCTTTGACCTATATCTTTCCACCCGGTACAGTAAGAACGTAAGGGGCTGATTCAGTAAGTTTTGACTGTTCTTGACAGTTTCAAATTTTCAGTTGAGACACTGAAACCAAATTTGACCCACTCATGCTCTTGAGTAATTTTCCGTTGGCTCCAGACACTCGACTTAAATAATACTTTCACTTCAGTAAACTGTCTGACAGTAAGTAGGGGTTCCTCAAGGCGATGTCTTACTTGTGCAGTAACAGCATGGAAAACACATCCAAATGATTGTCTGCGCTCACTAATGCTGTGATTTATTCTAATATCTTTTAAACAGTCTAACAGAGAGGAAAATAATCAGTAGTTTGGAGGGTATAGGGCTGGAAACAAAGCAGAGTGATGTTCTGAATAGCAGAGTGCTTGGCTGAGCCGAAAGTGACCATCATTTAGAGTGTGGCATCTCATTTTGCAAAGTCAGCCACCCATTCATTTTCAATGCAGCAGCCAGCAAATTAACACGGCTATAACATCAAATTAACATGCTTTCGCTCAGAATCTACTACAGGAAACTATTTTAACTTTTTAAGGCGCGATATTCTCTTTAAACTGTCACGTTAAGTAGTTTCAGGAGGATTTCTGATGGGAAAAGAAGCACATCAGGGAGCGTTTTAAGCACAAGAAAAGCTGATATTAGGTCAAAATGGTGGTTTATGTTAGTAGCAGGGTCTATCCATGGTGCTGAAGCAGGAAACCTGAGCTATGGGTGGTTAAGGTAATACTAGGACTCGTGAAAATATGGATTAGTGAAAGAGGTCAATTGAGAAGTACTGCAATACTTAAAGTAAGTGGTGTTTCTGCTTCTTAGCCTTGCAAATACACGAAAAACTGCATCTAAAACTGAGTTGAAGTGTCTCTTTTTATGCAGCAAAACAGATAAATTAACCAAATAATGTAAAACATAAAAGAAATAATGAGAAAATTTTGTAATGTTTTAAAAAAAAAGGACAAAGTTACATTTAAACTCAACACCATTTGCTCTTTTCTTTTTGTTTTTGTGTGTTTGTACGGCCTAAACTTCACCATCAAACACTCAAACTATTTTGGCTCATTTTCTATCTCTGTCCGATCGTCTACATCGGCCCTCTGGTCACATTTGCAAAGCAGCAACTTTTAAAGGAAAGCATTAAAAAGGAACTGCTGAAAAATCACATTCCCATACTGTAAACTCCCCAGCAGGATAATGTGGTTTCCTCAGCCCCAGTCGTGGAATCCGATGGTAAAGTGAAATCTTTGAATAAGACAGCGTCTGTGTACATGCCACACACACTGAGCCAGCCTCACAACCGAGAAAAAAGACCCTCAGCAAACCTGCGTTCAAACAGCTACACAGGCCGCTCACTGTTGAGACTCTGGACCTGAAGGTGAGGCCGGCAACAGGCGGTGTTTTGTAATAGGTAAGTAAGAGGGAAAACTGCTCTCATTGACTCCAGTTTCAAATGCCATTCGTAAGTCATTAAAAGAGTAGTCCGTAGCACTATTGCTTCACCATTGAGCTGAGGATGGTACAACTCAGTGGTGTGCTTCAAAAAAGGGGTGGTGCCTGCGTGTCTTTAAAAACAACACAGAAGTGTCGCCTCGCCTGTAGATATAACAACACAGAATGTCTTTTTCAGTGCCATTTTTTTGGACACATTGCTGCCCCTTCCAGTTAATAAAGTGTAAAAAGTGCCTTCTGGGTACTTTTCCAGTCAGTAAAAAGACCCCTCTCTGATCCTCTCTGACTGAGCAGAGCATGATTGAAAACTTGTCATATAAGGTTTGAAGTGTGTTTAGTTAAAGCTCATATTTTGATTTGTGGCAGGCTCTGTTTGTCTTAGATAGTGTCCAAACCTGTGGCAGTTAAATACATCATTTGTCGTGAGCTTGTTTGGTGTAAATCATAAAAACATGGCTGTTTCTTCACCTGCTTGGCAGACACCTACCCCCTCACTCCTTCTCCAGGCATTGAAATTACAATATACGAACTTTTAATCCTTCACCTGATGGTTTTGTTTGCTTTTGGATATCATAAAAAAATGCACAATATAAATTTTTGACCATTTTATAAACATAAAAAACTCCACAGGGTAGCTTTAACTCCGAAATTTGATTAGTTAGATTCAGACTTCTTGTTTTAAAATTATCATGATTAAAATCTTACAAGAATTTAAGTATAGTCCATGAAGTAGCATTTTTTTTAACTATGTATGAATGATTTTGTGTCTTTATAACAAAGATTATTGCATAAATATTTACCAGAATACAGGATATATTTTCAAAGTTGCTTGTGAAGGAACTTTAGACCCCATCTTTTCCTATTTTCACCTCATTTCTTTCATTACATTGTGAGAATTGGAGGTTTCAAAAACTACTTGAGCCTTGCCTTGCTTAAAAACTAACCAGGCCACCTCTACTTTCAGCAGGCCAGAACTAAACCCAATGTGCAGGAAACAGAAAACTTACAAACTTACAAAATGGTCTTCAAAATCATGATCATTAACCACAACTGTCTGTGTGCGGGTGCCTTAAAGCACACAGGAGGTGCCCTTTCCATTCTCTAGCCCCTGGTCCTCAAACAACTTGAGTACGCCCCTGTTATGTCTCTACTTTTTGCTGTTAAATTTACTCAGGAGATTAAGTTAATATCCCCATGCCTGTGTTGTTTTCTTTAAGAACAAACTCCACATATAGTTTATAAACTGCATTTAAAAATTCTGAGCAGAAAAAGTAGGGGCTAAAAAACCTTTGTTGATTATTTTCTTCAACTGTTAACTTTTTATGCTCTTATTTCACTCTAAAAGTAAACCAAACAGATAAAAGTGAAGTGCCATGGTGGTTGCATTTTTGCAGAATCAAGACTGTCAACAGATGATTCGAGAAAAAAAAAAAGGAGGGAGGGGAGTGGTGGAAAGAACAGAGTGAAAGACAGAAATTTCCATCCTCCTCCCCCTGTAACTGTAAACAGAAGAGGAGGACTAGTTTGCACAGTTTTCCACCTCAAAATTCACATTTCTGTCATACAAAGTAACTTTAAGTCTCTCCAACTTCACATAGACAACAAACTACTTGAAATGCAACTCTGCTTTCACTGGTTTTGCTTGTAAAAGTTAGTCTACTCACCAACATCTGCGTTGCAAAACGCCTGCTGAGGGTGCACAGGGGAGCAGCTGCAGGCTTCTGCTATTTCTTTCACCCGCCAGAGAAACAGGATGGCCAGAGTGATCAAACAACTGTTCGTCGTCCAGGTCATCTTGGAAAACTACGATGAAGAAAATTAAAGGGTAAAAAAATGAAGAGGTGAAGTCAGGCACTCCGGCAAACCTACAGGAAATGAACCCAAACTGTCCAAAGCTTCAAGTAAGTGACTGATGCTCCTCTGGTCAGAAACAGAGATGCACAAGAGTTCATTCCAGTAGAAATCTGCACCCAGGTTGCTTTAAATCTGTTTTCCACTATCGTCAGGGATCAGGCGCTTTTTATTATCGCAGGCTCCTCCCCCCGCTGCGCTCTCAGCCAATGAGCGCTGCAGCCCTCCGGAGGTCAGGGGCTCCCGAAGTTTTCACATCCAACCCGCAACCCCGTCACCGTCTGTCACAATTACGCTGCAAGAAGAGGTGAGTGATTGTGTCAAACAACGGGGGTGACGTGAAACTTACAGTATCTGCCAAGTCACCCGTGGGCAACCCACGCAGACATGCAATTTTTCCGTTAACTCTGGACCTTAACTTTTACCCACCCTTCAGTCTCTACCTGCTGCACTTTTCAAAATTTTAACACCGAAACATTAAATCAGAAATAACCTAAATTTAATGAATTTTACATCCTGTTTTCATGAGTGACCTCTCAGTAAGTGTCTTTTTTTTTCAGTTTTTATTGCTAAATTTTGAAGTAGCCGCTCTTAAAGCAATGCCAGAGAGAAGGGAAGTTACAAAGTCTGCTTTGTTCGTACCTACAGTGCAAAAGGAAGGTCACAGGTCATCACAGTCACTATGATTCAACCGGTGGACACCAGGGAAACCCTCGTCAAATAATAAACAAAACTATAACTCATCCTGCAAAACAGGCCCCTTTGTTTCCTAGGTGTAAAAATCAGTATATAGACATAAAATAGTTTTATTAATCTTTCTTAATCTTCTTTTTAGTCAGAAAGAAACTCAAAATGTGATAAAAGAGAAGTTCAACCAGCGGCTGTGAAGGTCAGGTTGAAGACTGACCTTCACCTGATCTCCTCTACTTCCCCCCTGCTGCCGTAGAAACTCTTACTTCACTTACCTTTTACAAAACCTGTGACACCACCAGTTATCTGATTGTCCTAATGTTCAAAACACTGTTGTTTTCTGACCCCTGTTCTTCCTTTTTCCTTAAATGTTTAGGGTGAACTTGTAACCTCAAACTCAAAGTTGCTGCTTTGTTTGTTGTGTAAATATGAAGGTAACATATCTAACAGACACACAAGACACATTATTATTATTAAAGCACCTAAAATGATTATTTCTGATATCTAAAAGCATAAACAACCATCAGCAGTTTGACTCTAAAGTTAGGAGGATAAGATTTTTGATCTGAAGACAAAAGTTTAGAGGACCTGTCGAGTAAAGACTGCTTTGTCCACAGGAGTCACCGAAATTGGTCCTCACAGGAGTGAGATCAATTCAGTATAGATGTCTGTGTGAGGGGTATACTGACAAAGAAAGGCCCAGAGGACCACTACAAAAACTATTTTAAGCAATATTTTCATGGATAATGAAGCCTAAGAAGTTAACCTAGAGATAAGAACGAAACAGGATGATAGAGAATTGTTTTTAGTGCAATTTACAGCTGATTGAAGACACGGGTCAAAACCAACCCGTTAATATAGTGGGTGCTAACACAGGAGAAAGGTTAATAGTTGAAGCGTTGTTTATGAAAAAGCAGTGCCCTCGGGTTTTTAGAAATGAAGCCTGTGCCCAGATTCTTAAAAATCAGAAGCCACATACACACCCATTTAAAAAGCCAATTTCTTTGAGGCAACCTAAACCCACTGAGCATTTTTTTGTCTAAAAGAGGTCTAATAGACGTCTAAATGTAGCCTAGACGACTGGTCTAAAGTCAGGCTACCACAGGTCTAAAATCTGGGCTATATCACTACCCTGTATATTGCTCAATGGCTATCATAATAATTTTGGTTAAGTACTTTGAGATCAGTTATGCAACTCACAGTTGCTTTTTGAAATGAATTGTTATCAAATAATGTGTTAAATTCTAAAAATGGACGGTTGAAATGAGGTCTAAAAAAAATAGATGTCTAATAGCCATCTATTGCTCAGTGGGAACATATCACTAAATTTACAAGTTGATTGAATAAGTGATAAATATGATCATTGTTGTCATATACTGTGTCTAAACTGGTCATGGTCAGTAATGCTGTTTTCTTGCTTATAGACTAGTCAGCTTCAAGGAATTCAAACCTCACACCATAAAAAGTTACACTATTAGGAAACTAGTCCCTCCAGAAAACCTCATAGATAGATAGATAGATAGATAGATAGATAGATAGATAGATAGATAGATAGATAGATAGATAGATAGATAGATAGATAGATAGATAGATAGATAGATAGATAGATAGACAAACTGCATTTTGTTTGTTTGTTTGTTTGTTCATTTGTTTGTTCATTTTTTCACAAGTGAAAATTTGTCTTTAGTCTCATCGTGTACAAAAAAACAGATCAACAGCAACAAGGACAGCAGCAACAGACACATAACAAATACACACAAAACATCTTGACAGCGAAAGAGGGAGGACAACAGTGGCATGTACTGTACATAACAGGCAGATCTAACTTGACGTAGGCCTACGATCATTCAGTGCCCTGATGGCGTTCAGAATGAGCGAGTTTTTGAAGAGGTTACGATTTGCCTTAGGTACTTGATAACGTCTACCTGAACAAGTTTAACTAACTTGGATTGATCCCTTTGATTTTTGAGGCTAGATTCACTATTCTCTACAGCTTACATCTGCCTTTTGTGTTGAGGTTACCAAACCACATTGTCATGTTAAAGGTTAAGATTCCCTCTATGTAGTTCTTCTAGACTGTTTCCATGATGTTCTTACTCACTCCAAAGAACCTGAACTTGCGTAATGTTTGGAGGCGTTGATTACAAGATTTTAAAATGAATTAAAAATTTGGAGGCACTCACAAGCTCAAATGTGAATAAAACTCACTATAGAGGTGAAAATGACGCTTTGAGGCGCAATAATGGGCTGAAACTTCATGTACAGCTGACGAGGTTTAAGTCATAATTCTGCCTTTTTATTTATATAAGCAAACATTTCACATACGTATATGACTTTTATCATAATATATCGAGTGTATAGCAGCTTTAAACACTTCTTTAATGATGGTTCACGTGTGTGGAAATGCGTAGGCGAGTGCTGCTGAGTAATTCGTAGGTCACGCAGCGATATTGTCTCTGGTTTGGTTCCAGTGAAAGTGTTTACACACACACTCTTGGTTCAGTAAAAAAAAACATTGTTTAAGTTGGATGAAATTACCGAGGAAGAATGAACGTGGAGGTGGAGTGAAGAGAACTGACATCATCCTCTTAAAGTTAATAGATTCAATCTGGCAGTGATTTTCCCAGCTACCTAAACCCCTCTACAACCCTGTGAAGGAAACATTATGCTATAGTCAGATTCTTTCGTCATTTCTCATCTCTCAGCCAGAAATAGATGGATCGGTTGGAAACTTCGCCACTACAATACTAACCCTGGGTACTGTGGATCTTAAGAGTTCTGGGTTTGCGGCCTCTCGTGTTGATACTGGCAGAAACTGGAGATCATAGCGAGGGCATGAGGTGTTTGTGATGATTAGCGCTGATGATGAATAATAAAGAGAGACAGAGAGAGAAAGACAGAGAAGGGACTGTATCTGTTGCTACTGCTGCTGCTGCCTCGCTCCCTGACATCATTTTTGGCCACCGACTGTCGGCCTTCTGGCTACCCTGGCAAATATTTCCACTGTTTTTCATAGCTGAGCATTTTTTTGCTTGGTTGCTTTTCCACAGGAGTCTGTAACTTGATGTCTGGGAAGAAGTAAGCACACTGAGAGAGAGAGGGAGAGTGAGTAACTGCGAGGGAGAAACACAACAACAAAATCGTCTTTTTAATCATCAGAGTCCCCTTTGTCTGTTTCCTGAAGGGAAATTTGGACACTCAGTCACGTTATCTTAGCTTCGGATTAAGAATGCCGTCAGATTGATAAGGAAAATTCCCAATTTGTTTGAAATTTTGCAAGCCCGTGTGACTCGTTTTGCAGGGTGGAAGTTACCAGACACAAAGAACGTAACACGGAAAACAACACAGATGTTGGGCGGGGGACCAAAACGAAGACACGTGAAAGGAAGTGACACATCTAAGACCAAATGAGTAGAAGTATCCCTCTGTCTCTTCCCAGAGTTTACCGAAAGCATCTGAGGAATAGCAGACGCCTTCTTCTGGGCAGTGCCTGCCGCCCCCTGTCCAAACAGTCGGCTTCCTTTGCACTGAGATGCCGACTGATGTGGTGGGCTCTGCTCAAATCTCAACCATGTCCCCAGCTCCTGGGCATATTTCAAATGACCTCACAGCATGACCATCCTGAGCTATTTCCCACACAGCTCCTCTCCCTTCACAGTGAGGTTTCACATGTTGGTTCAGATCTGGATTATTGTATCAACATTTGGTTTTAATTTGTTGGGAGAGGGCGGATTTGTCGAAGAAGTGCATTGTAAGCAGCCCCCCTGTGTACATTACCCACTACAAACGCCAAAAAGGGGCTTAGGCATTAGGAAAGACCTGAACCTCTGTGCTCTAAATTACAGACTTGCAAAGGCCAGGAATACTCTCGAGAAGAAGTGCCCGGCAAGACAGAAAAAGAGGGTCTCATTGCGGGAACTGGTGGGAGCTGCGGCACCAACCAACATCCTTTTACTCCCACCTCCTTTGCCCCGTTGCCTTCACACACGCCACATGACCTGACCGTCACGTAACTTTTAGAAAATCCCTCCCTAGCTGCATGCCTCCCCCTCCTCAATCTGTTTTGATGTGACCCAGCCACGGCCCAGGGGTAATTCCCACCTTTTTCCATTCGTCAAAGCCACTATTCACATGTCTTTGGTGACAGTGAATCAGTGTTTGCGGATTCACTTTAGGGACAAGAGGAAAACATCTGCTCAAAAGACAGACAAACCATTAATATGAGGTAACCACCCTTAACAATAGTTAGTCAGAATGACTCTGTCGTGTGGTCCGAGAATCCTTTATTTTTTTTAGATCGCTCCTGCAGAATGACTTCCATTTAAAGTATTTAATGTGTGTTTTCATGGAAACTCACTTTATTCTAACAGGCCTATACTGGTAAACTACGTTAAAATTACTGCTGCAGTCATTTCCTCTGCAGCTCTGCTAGACTATGACAGGAATGTCTGGAGCCGCAATTAAGATGACGAATAATTTAAACAGAAGTTTGATGTTGTTTAAACATCTATTCTTACACATCTATTTCATCTTTAAACAACTGGATATTTCTCCCTGAATTTACTTGAATTTTAATCTTTTTGCCTTTGATTTCCTGACCTTTACCCACTATGTATTTTTTTTATATTTTATCAGTTTATTCAAAATAAATCTGGAAAATGTTTCTAACCTGGAAAAAAGGGTGTTATTTAAGATCAAGTTCCTACCTCGCTTTCTTCCTGTATACTTAATTTTGATAAGTTTGACAACTCCTTGACATTAATTATCGGGTTTGTCTTATTCTGTGTAAAAGATATGACATTTTAGTGTTTAAATAATTTGCTTTTTTAATTCCTCTTATTTAAATTCTACATAATTGTGCTATTTAAGTATACTTTATACGTAACATATGCATGACCTCTGTGGCGAAACAAACAGCATGAATTTTGATTCAAAATTCAACGTTATTAATGTTTTCATTGAGGATGAAACTCTTGCTGTATTAGAAATCGCAGCTCCCCTTCCTCAACATGGCGGTCGTATTGATGAAGCATCTACATATTCTTGTCTGTGGTTTTAGACTTGCAGCTAATATATTATATCATTCATATGGTTTTAAATGTAACGTTAAGCATCACACGATTCAAAAATTTCTATTCAAGCCCTACAGGAACTACCTGTTAAAGCTCCTGTCAGGGTTTTTTTCAATAAACGATATGTTCAACTGTCATATGTCGGCAGGATGAGATATTTGTATTTTTTTACGCTTAAAAGGAACAAAACCTGCAAAGACTGCTTCAGGGGCAAATTGACACTGAGTTCCTCACAGGAGCTTTAAATACCGATATGTTACCTGATTTAAAGGGTTACTCCGCCGTAAAATTAATTTAGGGTCAAACACACTTTAACACTGAGTTAGACACCCCCCCGAGAGATGAATGTTGTAGACTGCTTGCTTCTCTAGTTATACCAACTTTAGTAATGACCGAAGGATAGCAATACACAGCGGTCTGAGGAGCCATAAACAAACCTCAACCAAAACACCACTCTATAGCCACAAATAATGCTCAGAACAACACCTAACTTCATCAACAGTACAGACAGGGTCCTAGTTATAGTACTAGCCACCAAACATCTTTTTAACTTTGCCTGATTTCTTTAGCAAAGAGACTAAACACAACTCCCCTATTCTCTTGAATCGAGACCTCAGACCAGTCCATTATGGACAGCTGCGGGGTGACGCAGCTCAAGGAAGAACATTTTTGATCATTACATCATGGAAATGCTGCGTCTGCAGTGCAAAATGATTGATATGGTGATTAATACTTCAAGGAAATGATGAAGAAATGATCATAAGTAAAGTGCTGTTCTGAGCATTATTTGTGGCTATAGAGTGACGTTTTGGTTGAAGTTTGTTTATGGCTCCTCAGACTGCTGTGTATTGCTATCCTGTGGTCGTTACTAAAGTTGGTATAACTAGAGAAGCAAGCAGTCAGCAACATTCGACACTCTCCAGGGGGTGTCCAACTTGGTGTTACGGTGTGTTTGACCCTAAATTAATTTTAAGCTGGAATATCCCCTTAAAGACAGCCACAAAATTCAGCTTATTTGGCATTACAAGAAATGTTTTAACATCAGTGAAACCAACTATTGTTCTGGTCGGCAGAGAAAATTAAAAACATGAACCTGTGCTTTTGACCAGACGGCTGCTGGAAATTGAGTATGAAAATATCAAACCAGTCGGCAATGCAGCTTTAAAATCCTAATAAATAAAATTTTCCATTTTACTGTTGGGAAATAAAAGCGACTTCGATGACCACACCTAATTCTTGTGAATTGTTTTTTTTTTGTTTTGTTTTTAATTGTGGTTACGAGAAACTTCTTTTCTTTTTTTATGTTGCGCTAAGTGGGAAATTCCAGAGCACTGTTGGAGATAGAGCTGTTGAATGGGATTACTGGATCCATTGTCGATAAAAGCAAACAAACAGAATAAGTCGTGACTTGTGCAGGGGCTGGTTATTTGTCAGGTAGAGTGACACAGCAATAAAAGAGGAGCCAGATATTTCTCACATGAAAACAAGTCTACGGTATGATGAACATCTCTACTTTCTCCTCCCTCATGAGGGTGACACAAGATTACCTGCAGATGAATCATAGCTATTGTACCAAGTAAACCGTTATGTGTTTATGCAACACTTGAGCGTGAGTGCGTGCAGAGGAGTCATATTTAAATATACAGCAATCATGTGACCTTTACAAATAATCAATTATCTGTTGTGATGGCATCATTTGTTACTGATACATGCCCACGCTCTTCTCAGAAAACTCATGAGTCACTGAGTGTTATAGTATGTGTCTGTTAAACCCACCTGCCCGGGCATGTAAGCCTGCATGTTGTCAAAGTGAGACCGTCTATTGTGTAAGAGAAAATGCAGGAAGACTTGAAGACAGTCTGGCGTGTGGGGAGAGTGAAATAGCTCGGGAAGATTCCATGACTCAAGAGGAGAAAGCTTCCATCATTCTTAATCACAAGCATTTTACAAATCAGACTCCTTTCTTTTGCACCTTATCTGATAAAGCTAAATAAAACAGATTGTTTTAAGTTTGTGGATTTTATTCCATGGAAGAGAAGTCTGATGACGAACCATGACTTGTTACATAGAAAAACTGATGAAAGACCTGATAAAACACAACTTTGAGAACAGACTTTCTCAATATGCTTGTTCACCTCTTTGCTCACATATGATTCCTTAAAAGGAGATCTATATAGCATGCTAGCATATAGCATAACTTTGGCAAATAAAGTCTCTTAGCTTCTTTACACCTTAAAGCCTCAATGAGGAGTTTTTAACTAGCTGTAACACTGATTAAAATCAATGTGGATGTCACGTTCAAAGCAATTTGTGAGTAAAAACTTGACAAATGGTGGGTTATACCTATCATACATTTCAGGAGCTTCTCCTTTAAAGGTGGGGTAGGCAGGAATCCTTTAAAGAAGCATCTTTTTTGTGGTGTCTATAAAAAAAGGCTTTTAATATCAGTCAACAGTTATTAGTTATTGATGACATTTGGTAATATAATGATATCGCTGTGTTTTGTTATGTCTGTGTTGTCAACATTTTAAATTTTTAGAGCGGTCCGCTCTTTCTGACTGTGAACGAAGCCATTCTCCGCCTCCCCCAACCTGATTGGTTGTGAGGCAGACACTGCTTCCCCGTATCGTTCACGAGCCCAAACAAAGTTAGCGTGCCACAATATCGGACAGTAGAAACCAACCAGAAAGTACGGAAAATTGTCTGAATCCTCCTTTGGCCACGACTGCCGACACAAGCAAGAAAACGAAGTAAATACCGGAGACTCTGGCGGAATAATGGGTGCTTATAAAGGAGGATGGGGGACGCTTTGGGATCTTACAGACCCTGTAACCTTTCTGCTGGACAGGTAAACTGCTTTAACAAAGTAAGCCAAGTGTCTGTAACAGAAGTGTTTCTTCTGCTGCGTGTTGTAGTGCCGCTAAACTGTCCTCCCTCGGGTCCTGGACTACGTCACTTTATCCTAGTTGTAGAAGTCCTGCAAACATTGTGTTTGCTGGTAGTCTGTTGGCATCTACAGTAGCACCAATGCTTTTTACTTTCACATTGACTGGGCCCCATTTGTAATTATCTGAAGTATTTATCTGCATTATATCTGAATTTAATTGAAACGATACGAGCGAGCAGGAGTGTTTGTCTGTGGGTGGGGCTTCCTGGAGCAGAGAGGGAGGGGAGAGGAGGAGCTGAGGGGAAAACTGGTTGGGAGGGGTCGTGTTTACATTCAAGATTTCTCCCCAAAACTGGCACTTCCTCAGATCCTGCCTACCCCACCTTTAAGGCCACCATGGTTTCTGGAACAGAAGGGGTGAGTAAAGGAGCATTTTAAAGAATCTGACCTCTACATTACACTTAATATGCCCATTTCCTCCCACCTTATTGTCCACCAAACATTGTAACCATGGTGATTGAGTCTTTCAAGCTAGTTTACAATGGACTGATTAACAATTAATGTTCTTGTAAAGGAGAAATTGGGTTATAAAGCAGTAAACTTTGATGCACAAATCTCTATCAACACACAGAAAATTATCTGGGAATCACTTTTATTGATCAGCATTTAATCAAAACAGGTGAGAGTAAATAATACAAAAGAAAGCATAATCACATGATTGGCCTACAGACTTAACATACTACTCAAAAAATGACCATATTTTTATACGGCATATGTGGGCAGAGGATACAGTATATGTTTGTTGTTTGCTACGTCCAGTAATCGTACAGTCTATAGTTAAAACTACATTAATGTCATTGTCATTGTCAATCAATTTCACCTTCTGATCATCCACCAATTAGAATCAAGAAGGGGCGGAACTTCTGAGTGCATCTTTGTCGGCAACCAAATGTGCAAAAACCAAATGCGCTATCCCTGGACAACTCTTGTAACCGTGGAAACAGCAAGCTCCAGTGAGTGGCGTTTTGAAATTGAAGTCCTTGGCGCTGTCAGCGGCTTGCTGGTGGTAGACTTTGAGTAGCTTTTGTGTAACTTAATAATTAATCAACCAATTAATTATTTAGACGCTTAAAAAAAGAGCAGGTTCGAACCCTGCTCTTTGATAGGTTTAAAGATTACATCGCAGTTTGATTGTAAAATTCTCAGTAATTTGCAGACTAATTGATTAGAAGCGGTCTCACGACAAAGCGGTACGAGTACTGGCCATCAGGACAGGGGTAGGTAGTCTGGGTCTCATTGCTCTTCGAGATATAAGCCAGATCCTCCTTGAAGTCCTGAACCTGAAAGACGTACTTGTTTTCGCACACGATTACGAGCCGGTTGTTGAAGACGATGTTGCTTGGCGGGCTGTAGTTATTGCGAAAACGCGCCACCGGGAAGGACTCGCACCTTATACCCCAGTTCGAACAGTCATGTCGATTTGTGAAGATGTTCGCCTGCCAGTTCATATTTTGGCCCTTGAGCATCAGGCTGTAGTGGAAAGATGTGGTGAAGGATCCAGCGAGTTGACCGTACGGACTGGGAGTGGGACGGTAGCGATAGTCATATTCATAGCCATAGCGATTTCTTCTGTCTGAAGATTTATAGCGTGTTTGGACTTGATTTGATGGAGATAAACCAATGCTCCATGCATCAGAGGTGTAGATCCTGGGTTTGTAATCGTCCCCTTGTAGAGTGAACTTTGGATTAGACTGGAGCTTTCTCAGTGGGAGAGAAATAAATTGAAATGCTCTCAATGTCTTTTCACGATACACATTCGTAAATGTGCTGTAGAGAGTAGAGTTGATCTCCAGATCGTACAGGTTCTCAACAGGGATCATCGGAAAGCGTACGCGGTTCAGCAAGTCCAGCTGGGCCTCCAAACTGGTTGAGTTGCTGTTCTCTTCGATCCAATTTTCAACAGTCTGTAGCAGGAAATATTCATCTTTTACCACCAGGTCTGAGCGGGATAGAATAGCCCCAAGGAGCTGCACAGGGAGGGTGGTCCAAACAGGGGAGGCGGTCAGATTTTCGTAGTTCCAGGCCAGATACTGAATACAGTTCTCCTGAAGGACCAAGTCCCCGGTTTCCTCTGCATATTCGTACAGGGACAGCTGGGTTTGAAACGAGGCATCTTCTGGGAGGATTCTGGAGAACAGCCGGCCTGTGTCCTCCATCAGCTGTTTCATCCCAAACTTTGAGGCCATCCAGTGGAGGCACTGGGCAGAAGTGAAGGTCACGTCGATTTTGCGAGTGTAAATATACCTATTAAAAAAAAAAAAATAACGCAATTATGATTATTTAAATACGTTTTCCACATTTTAATTGTTTTTAAAAAAACAAATAGGCTAAAGTAATTCAAGTTTACCTGATTAAGGAGGTGAAATGTGGCTGGCATGAATGACTCATACTGACTGTGATACTTGGGCTGTCATCTGAAGCGTTGAAAAGTGGAAACTGTGAAAGGATCAATCTGTGCGCACAAATATCCGTCTCAACCATCTCAAGGGTCCCATCCTCGTTTTTGTTTCCAGTAGCACTCTGAGCTAAGATGTGAAAATCACAGCCCTTCCTGCTGTCAAAGATTTGGCCGAGCTCATCGGACATGCTGATGCTGTGATCGAGCTCGTGTACGGTATCATCAACGGTCGTATTCATGCCTGGAATCACAACATTTTTCAGACTTTTAATCTTGGCACACAGGTGTCAAAATCTGTTCAGTTTAAGAACACCTCCGTCAGACCACGTACCGTATGTTTCACAAACAACACCAACATCCTCTTTGTGCGAACAGTCGGTCAGTCCCCAGGCTTTGAAAGAACAAGATGACAGATAATTCTCGGTGCCTTTGCAGTCAAGATCATCCAGCCAAATGGGTCCAGGAGCTACAAGAGATAAAACGAGCAGAAATAAATGTTGATTCTGTCGATTTCAGTTCAACCATGACTCTTTATTACACCGTATGTTCAGTTTTAAATGTGTTGAAGCTGAAAATGATACAAACCAAACTGTAAGGCTCTAGTCTGCATTTCTGGATCAATCTTAAAGGGATATTATGACGTAAAATTAATTTAGGGTCCAACACACCATAACACTGAGTTAGAAACCCCCTCAAGAGAATTTCTCTAGCAAAGAGACTGAACACAACTCGCCTACTCTCTTCCAGCAGCCGCTTGTTTGTAGCGAGACCTCGGGCCAGTCCATTACGGACTGCTGCAGGGGGACGCAGCTCAAGGAAGAACATTAATGATCATTACTTTATCATTTCCTTGAAGTAATAATCACCATATTAATCATTTCGCATTGTAGACACGGTAGTTCTTCTGCCTTAGCGTCTCATTTCTATGAAGTAATGATCATAAATGTTCTTCCTTGAGCTGTGTCACCCCGCAGTTGTCCATAATATACTTGCCTGAAGTCTTGCTACAAACAAGCTGCTGGAAGAGAGTAGGTGAGTTGTGTTTAGTCTCTTTGCTAAAGAAATTAGGCAAAGTTAAAAAGATGTATGATGGCTAGTAATATAACTGGGACCCTATATGTACTGTTGATGAAGTTAGGTGCTGTTCTGAACATTATTTGTGGCTATAGAGTGGTGTTTTGGTTGAGGTTTGTTTATGGCTCCTCAGACCACTGTGTTTTGCTATTGTGCGGTCGTTTCTAAAGTTGGTTTAACTAAAAAAGCAAGCGGTCGGCAACATTCATCTCTAGAGGGGGTTTCTAACTTGGTGTATTGGTGTGTTTGACCCTAAATTAATTTTACACCGGAATATCCCTTTAAGCCCATGCAGTGACTTCCACTACAGAGTCTGCCTAAACCTGTAGATCACAGTCATCCAGTCTTATCCCTTTCAAACCGAGGTGTCTCTCTTAATTATAAAAACTACTTTAGATGATGAAATTTCTAAACTTTTAATCACTAATTTTGTGATTTTTCCTTTTCAAAATATGCAGTTTAAATGAAACCTGATTTTATGACCATTTACACAACGTCCCAACATTTTTTGGAACAAGCACATGAACTCTTACACTCTTAAATAATGTAGTTTTGTCTAAATGTATATTAGTTATCCTTTTGGATAACTCTGTAAATGGCATTAAGTAGAAAAACGCATTTATCAGACACTTCTGCTGTGGCTGAATTTGTTGTACCGGGTTCATTCAAACACAACCTCTCAGTGGGTAAAACTATTTCACTGCCCCCTGGTGGAGGAGCAGTGAAACTGGAGGGCACCTTGTCCGTAGTCCTTCCCAGTGACAACAGATTTGGCTCCAGGAAATTCAAGCTGACGACACACCACCTGGGCCTCGGCCATGTCCCAGCCGTCGTCACACACTGTTCCCCACTTCCCATTGTGATAGACTTCAACACGGCCCTCTGAATCCCTCCCAGAGCCAAACAGCCTCACATCGCCGTCCTGCAGCCCAGGGGTCCTCTCTGTATGCAAACACGAGGCCGTGACACAGAGAGGTCACATAAATGTTTAGATAAACTCGAGCCTGTGCAGGATAAATCAATGCACAGATTATGAGTAAAAAAACAGTAGGTATTTTTCAAGGTTTTAACAGGTTTGACTTGTTTTACTTACTGAACAGGTTCAGTTTGAATGCACTCCCAGACACAGAGAGAAGTAGCAAAAGCCACAGCATGCACAAGTTTCGATGTGGGAGCATTTTCAGACACCAGGGTTAAAAACCTGATATAAAGACAAAGAAGCAGAAATAAAAGACACATCTTCTTTTTGATGGACAGTGCTTTAAATTAGTGTGATAAAACCCAAGAGACAAGAGAGTCAAACTTGTTTTTTCAGCAAATCTACAAGCGTTTGAAGATGTTTCCTGATAGTTTCTTGCATGAAAATGTGCTATCTGTGCTAAAAATTCAATTAAAGCACATTACCTTCTCTGGCTGCTGTCCTTCAAGGTGCAACTCCTGGCAGTAAAGTTGGTAAAGAAATTTTGACTCCTTATGAAGTCTCGACAAAAACAGGGAGGGCTCAATGCAAGGTTACCTCCCCGCTCCGGCTGCTTTCCCTAAGTTTCATTTCACGTTAAAAGGCAATAAACCAGGAAGTTGCGCAACGGCGTTTGGGACATGTTTGAGGACAATGTCTGGTTTTGTTTCGACCTTTTTTGTGTAAAGTTCATATACAGTCTATGGGGTAAAGTTCAAATCAAGCAGCAAAGACTCAACAAATAAGAATCAAGGTTTTACTCAGGCATCCCAAAAACATACAACCAGACCGATTCACAAAAGCGTCCTTCAATTAATGTCGAGTTTAAGGAAGAATAAAAACAGAGCATCAGTTATTTCACTTCAGGATGTGATTGTTGAACATGAAGGGGAGAAAACTTGAGCCTGTCGAGAGTGTACAGTACGGTGATGAAAGTGTATGCTTCAGGAGGAAAGTAGTCACAGTCTGCTAAATCATTTTTGTACATTCATTTTGAAGGAAAGGCTACAGTGCTGTTTAGAGTCACATTCGGCCTAGGAAGGAGATGATCCACCACAAGATATTGCCGGCGTTGTTTGTTCCTCAAAAGCCCAGACAGGACCTTCTTCCTTCTGTCTCAGTTCATACTTCTCCTTTACGCTGAAGACGATCATTTCGAGTTGCGGTTACGTCTCAAGGAGGAAGCAGCGAGTACAGTAACTTCAACAGTGACTGCTTTGTAAACAAAACGGAACAACAGTGCGTTTGCCTCAAGAGTGTTTCTATCAATCTATATGAACTCCAAACCCTCGTATTTAACGTCCCCGATCTTGGTTTCCGCTAAAAGGATGCGTCCGTCTAGTGTGAACGCCATGATGTATGTGGCGATCTTTCCGGCGTCTTCCTCCGACTTGAGAGCCAGGACGATCTGGTCGTCTGTGTTGGGCACAAACTTAAACGAGGAGAAACCATGAGTGGGGTTAAGTTCGCCCACCCGGCTCACGATGATGTCTGTGAAGTCCGGCGAGCAGCTGAGGGCGAGGTTCGTGCCCCGGCGCTCGTCTGCCGTCTCCTCGTAGCGCTCTTTGCTGGCACGGCGAGGGAGGAAGAACCATCGCTGCAGGGTGTCGCTCCAGGCGGCGGATTCATGAATAAAATAACCTGCAAGGATTCGGGACATTAAACAAAGTCGTAAAAGAAAAAAATCGAGGTTTCAACAGCGAGGCTGGATTTCTGTCCTCACCTGGAGGTTCAATTCCTGCCGCAGCCTTCATAGACTTGTACCTAGGAACCCAGTTCTCGTGTTTTACATCCCCTCTGTGGCCCACCACTTTCACCCACTCAGGATTGTTGTTGACAAACACGCCTTCTGTGGTGGTCCACTCTTTGCCGAGACCGCCCACGTATAGGTGCTTGTCCTTCACAGCCATCCACTCGGCTTTGAACCCTGTCAGGAGAGAGTACGAGGAAATGTCAGAGTCCTGCGTCGGAAATGTCATCATGCTGACTCCTGACGGTCAAACGCAGCATTTTTCTGAATACTTCATGTGGAAAATTGAAGCTCGGCTGACACCTGCCCCCTTCCACTGGTTTCAGGCATTACAAATTACAGAATAAGAAATGGTCGGTCTTGTCCCTGATGGTTTTGTCTGATTTTGTTTATCATAAAAAGGCATCAATGTGAATTTCAGCCAATTTCATAAACACCAAAAACTCCTCATAGGAGCTTCAAATACAGTTTGTTTAAAAAATAGTGATATCTAAGACAGTATACTGAAGTTAACTTACTTATTAGTAAAGTTTATGTCAGAATAATGTGTATAAATGTATATAGAAGTTATCATTTTTACTCATATTCTTATGTAAGAGTTTACTACAAGTATGAACTGTTTTAACCTCTTGTTACACATCATATAAGAGTGTTTTCTAACTTCTCTCTCCAATAGATTTATTACACAGCACATGAGTTTTTCTTAACTTCTCTGTGACCTTGTTTCTCCTATTAGCAGGTGTGTGTGTGATGTAACCTCCACTGTGAATCGTGGGAAGTAATGAGGAGGATCCGCTCCTATCAGAAGGAGCTCGTTTAATGTCAACAATGTCGCCTTGACCCTCACATATTTTCTGTTGTTCATTATTTTGTTTTATGAGAGGGCTTACGTTGCTGCACATAGTTTTCCCCCATCCTTTAGTAACATTGTGTAACCAGGGACAACCCTAAATAAAAGGGACTGGACAGAAATACCTTCAGAATGGTTTTGAGATTGTAACTGAAACTATCTCTGCCCATTCTCCTCGAGGAAGAAATCTAAACCATCGTCTTTCTCTTCTTTATGTGTTTTCAGTCATTTGGGCAGGTTTAGACCCAACAGTTTATAAAGTAAAGTATCACTCTGCTTTTGTCTTAAGTGGTATTGGACGAGGTTCGTATAATACAATACAATACAAGAACTTTATTGAACCCAAAAGGTAAATTGATTTGTCTGGGATCTTATCTCATCTACTACTTATAGAAGAATTAAAAAGTCTGATGTGTGTACGAAAGCTAAATCAATCAATCAATCAATCAATCAATCAATCTGATCCTTGTAAGTGTGTTGGTCACAGAGGCTCGAAGCTAGGCTACCAGCTTCAACACATGGGGTCACCTCCAAACTCAAATCGAATCATCAAGATCCAAATATTTTATTTCATTTCATACTTCAATCTGAACAGAAACTCTGATCCTCTCATCAGACTCTTTTACTTTTCCAGTTGAGCTACAGGCTCAACTTACCCCAGAACTACTACTATGACTTTATTAGTCCTTTGAGCTAAAATGGTGGACTTTTATGGTTTTTGACCTCATATTTTAGCTCATAGATACCACAATTGATGTATACAACTAATTTAAAAATTATCTTCTTTGGTCTGAACACAATTCTAATAAAACTTTCGACAGACTAAATTCACTTTGAAGAGTGAAAAACATTTTTCTTTGTAAATAAATGTCTAACCCCATCACCCAAGTGTTTCTAACCTTCACAGACTCCATGAATTGATGCCAATCTCCTAAATATTTGGTCACATGATCAATTTCTTTTACCATTTCCAAGCAACAGGGGGTGGCTCAACTTACCCCACTCTCCCCTACTTTACTTCTGCCAGAGTAGGATTGTAAAAAGCTAAGACATAAACAGGACTGAAGGCCATCTAATATTTAAAACCTCTTCTAAGTAAAAATCAGACATTTTTAGGAACCCTGTTGATACCTCGGATTTCCCCCTCTGAGGAAAACTAAGTTCATATATCAACTCGACCCACCTTTGGCGACACTGCCGTCTCCGTCAGTTAAGATGACCCAGGGCACAGCTTTGTCCCCATCGATATGGTAGACGACACCCGTCCTGTCGTCGACGCTGTACAGCTTCCCGTTGAACACCACCAGCTCCGACAGCTCCATACCTCTGCCTTTCTCTGATAGGTGGCTCTCCAGCACCACCCTGTCAGCATCCCACTCAACCGCTACCTTGTCCCCGCTTTGGGACACCAGCAGGTGCCCCCGCCGCATGTAGCTAAACCACGTCTGTTTCTTGTCGCTGAGAGAGTTCGTGTCCAGGTCGGCGATGACCCCGATGCGGTAGCGGATGCCGTGCGGCGTGTGCTCGGGCGAGCTAAGGGGGTAGGTGTCATTGTAACGGGACGCATGCTCCTCAGCGTCGCCGCGATTCACTTTCCCGTTGTGAGAGACGTAGGAGCGCGGGTGCATGCCCGAGCTCAAGTGCATCAGCAGGAGGAGTAACGCCAGCGAGACCGCCACCACCAGGATGGGCTTCCATTTTAGGCGGAAACGAGGGTCTGTGGTGTTGGCCATGGAAGCCAACACGGGGAGGCCTCCGACAGAAATTCGCAGATTATTCATCGGCTCATTCTGCTCCGGTCGAGAAAAGCCTGGGGCAGCAGGCATGGAGGACGGAGGCCTGGTTTGACCTGTAAGACAGAAAATAAAGGGACATTCTGTAAATATCTGCATTTAAACAACTAACCTCTGTGTTTAAACTACAGTAGTTTAGGGGTCTGTTACAGAGCAGATTCTGAAAGGGGTTATTAACATGTTTTAAAATCATTTTAAAGCTCCTGTTTGGCGCCCCCTGTGGACAAAGGAGAACATCTTCAATCTCAACTAGGTTTTTCCTGCACTTTGCTAACAAAACAGCACTTGTGTGTAAATACTACGCCCTTGCAGCTGTCACAGGCGTTAAAAATTACTCTATGATAACTGTTGTTTCTGTCGAGGATGTCCTTATTTACATTTCTATGCCATAAAGAGACACCATTGTTGATTTCTTCCTATTTCATAACCGGTCAAAAAGCTCCTCATGAAACAGAAAAATGCTTTTTTTTTCTTAGTCTTGTTTTCTACCATTTTCTTTTTCCGTTTTGTTTACTTTCACAAGCCTGATCCAGAGGAAACCACCATGGAGTTTAAGTAGGTAAGAAAATATGTTGTTACACCTGCTTTGTCTTGAGCTGTTCTGAAACACTACACAAAGGTTTGGCCTCAAGTCTAGATTTACCCGTTAGCTTACTTAAGAAGACCTTAGTGGTAAACCTGAATGGGAAACCTTAATTACTCTTACAGGCCAAAATGTCAATCTGTTTCTACTCACATACTCTTTAAAAGTTGATCCGACTCCTCACTCTCGTTGGCAGATTGATCGTCCATTCAGCGAATCCTCCAAATATAATCTAATCTAATCTGAGGTTACAGCTCACACAGGTGAGTGTATGCCACCTCAGCCTGCTCAAGCAGGATGTGACCCGGTTTGAGAATGGATGACTATCAGGTAGTTACTGTCCGGCTTTGTCAACGTATTGACTGGGAGGAGCTAAATCAGAGGTGACAATGAGACAGGTGGCTGTGAGCAGGTAAATCAGGAAATACAAAACCAGCCGGAGAACTGAGCGCATACCACTGTCACGAGATATGCTCCACTTACGTAACACCAATGCTGCAGAGATTATTAATGTTCCTGGCTGTTTGATCCACTGACTGTACACCACGCCTTCCTGCTCAAGACGCCAAACGCCTCAGTGGACGCTGGTTTATTACACTAAGTATGAACAGAGGGAATCTGGCCTGAGGAGGAGGAGGAGGAGGAAGAAGACTAGGACTGACGTCACACCTTAACTCGGAGGCAAAGATCCCTCAGGTCCTCACAGGAACTCATTCTTGTGTTGATCTAAGACAGAGTCTCGTTGTTTTAGAGACACCGCAGACATTATTTATCAACCAAATATTAATTTATGACAACAAATCTTATCCTGCTCACTCTTGACAGTCAAGTATATAATTTATTTTCTACATTTTACATGTAAATCGTAAAAACAGGGCTGTTTCAGCTGCCAGGCTTTTACTTATCATCACACCGGTTTCTGACAGTAAAAATAAGTTATAAAAATCATCAGGCTTGTCTCCGCTGGTCTTGTCTGACATTATTTATCATTAAAAGGCATCAATATGAATTTCAGTGTATTTCATAAACATAAAAAACTCCTTACAGAAGCTTTAAAAATCCATTAAAAACATCTCACTAACTCAGATTTTTGTGTTTATTAGTTCTTACAAAATTCTTGTTTTTTTATCAAACACTGGAGCTACTCCTGTCGGTCTGCTGGTCCTCATCTTCACTTATAATCCAATAAAAATGAAACTCAATCATCTTTAAAAATTAAAACTTCACTTCTCTCAAAAAACTGGTGGGATTTAAAACTTAAACTAACAGCTAGACCGCAGAGGGGTCTTTGGAAGCTCTGGCATTCAGACCAGTGGATCCCAACCTTTCTCCACTGGACCTCCACGGAAAAAAAACGATGCAATACTGTCAAAAAAACACCAATTTAAATACTCACAATAACTCATAAAGAGTAGGTTACACAGCCAAAACAGAGAAGTTACCAAAAGTGTGATGAGCCTAGAAATACTACAGAGACAAGTCTAGATGTTTTCTGCAGATATTCACATTTAACAGCTGAAATACGGACACCACAAACAGGAAAAACTGTGATTTTGTTCTGGTTTCGCTCTATCACCTAAAGTGACCTGAACTGGCTGATGTGTTTTCTACACCAGCAGGGTTACCCTCGCCAGACTCTTCAAGAGAGTAAAAACTGTGCAATCCACTCCCAGCCACATTCCAGGAGGGGGGGACCTCTAAACTCGGCCTCAGGAGCTCCACACTCTGTGGGCTAAAGCTGGCTGAGTTTCTCTGAGAGGGGAGCTCAAAGACCCTTTTATAGGAGGGCCCCGGGCCAAACAGCAGTCCGTTATTGCAGCAACATTAGGGTCGTAATGATGAAATCTACTCCCATTGAGATTGCACCAACTTCTGCTCTGAATAATAAACTAAAACGTGTTTTTTTTTTCCTCATTCCAATACATGTTAGCATGAAATAACTGCACAGGCTTACCCCTTCGTCTCCTCCTGCCAGAATTCTGACTTTGTGTCATCAGTTTTAGCGCTCTGTCCTCAAAGCCGACCTGCACAATCGCTCCCGAGCTCTTTATGTCCTTTCTGACCGCACATTAGTTGCAGTGTAACCATGACTAGGTGCTGCTACAATGAACTCTAACTAGACTTGGAAGATTATCATTCAGTCCAAAGGGTCAAACCTTGCAGGAGGCCATTCATGGAGTTCTCATTCATTAGGGCAACCTTTGAACGGGCAGGTACAACAGGTGAAGGGAGCTTTTATAACCCGCACAATAACTCAGAGAAAAGCGGCAAATGCTGCAAGCTGGGTGGATGTTAAAGACAAACATGCGGTCAGTTCATTAGTGGGCATACTGGGGGGTGTTTCTGTGATGTAATCCGAGCGCTGTAACGGGAGCGAGGCCAAAGATCAGCCTGATTAAAACAACAGCAGAGGCGCTGCAACTAAAACAGGGAGGCTACTGTACAGGAAGCAAAACACGAGTTCTGATAATAGAAACTGATGTGACTCTTCTGAGGCTTCGAGTTCTGAGACAGGCCTCCAAAACTAGGGGCGGGAGAGGAAATTGATTCACATAAGTATCGCGAATTTTTGTTTCACAATTTTTAAATCTATTTTCATGTTTAAAAATCGAATCAGCATCCAAAAAATCGTCAAATAATCGAATCGGGAGAAAAGCATATCATCCCAGCCCTATCTGAAACTGCTCCTCAGATGTTTTGAAATGGTCGACATTCAGAAAGGAAAACAACGGAAGTTAACGATCAAAAAAAAAAAAACAAACTGAAGCCTGCTGCAAATAAAAAAAAGAAACAGTGCAGATTTTTAAAAAAAAAAAAAAGCCACAACAGAAGTTAATAACGCAAAAAAAAAAAAAGTGGTGATGCAAAAAAAAAAAAAAAAAGTTACTTACTGCGAAAATAAAAAAAGCCACATTGGAAGTGAGCTACCGGGAATCAATAATGATGATGCATCGGTGTTTTACGATCTAGGCACAGAAGACAACGGTGATATGATGAGCAAAAAATTAAGTGGAAAAGTTGTTTAATTTCACTTCATGTACTTTTTAATGTGTATTTGGTTCGGCCATGTAGCGCCTGAGTCGATATGAAGTTGAACTGGAGGATGCTGGTGTAGTTTTAGCTTCAGTTCAACTTCATATCACTCAGGCTTTTATTTGCATCCTTTTATTTTGACAGTAAGTAACTCATTTTTTTCCATCATCACTTTTTTTCGTCTACACCATTTCTTTTTTATTTGCAGAGGGCTTTGGTTTCTTTTTTTTGTGCATTGGTAACTTCCGTAATGGCTTTTTATTATAATTTTTTTTTTTTGCATTCTTTTTAAAAAAATTTTTATTTGCAGCAGTGGCGGTTCTCGGCCACCATACACCATAAACTAATCCAATTACAAAGATTCTTTATAAAATGAGTTCAGGGTAGCATCTGAGCTATGTTAACTTTGGAAACATTTTCAGCGATTAACTTATCCTAACATGTCTGACAATACATGAACAAGATAAGTGGTACATCCCCTGCTTTAAGGCTGATAAGGTGCCCTATGTCACCATAAAGGATGACATCTAAGGAGAAGGATTTCAAAGGAAAAGACAGTGAGTTTGAGGCCCATAAATACTTCTCATGTTGCTGTAAGGCAGTTTCCCAACCCCTTGCAGGTCAAAGGGCACCAAACAGATGTGCATTAGCTGATTTTAGTGGGTGTATTCAATAAAAAGATGGTGTGCAGTTTGTGCACGAACACCAGGGATGTGCTGTACTTCTCAAACTTGCAGACAACATTAGATTAGCTCTGGAATAACCCCACATTCTTACCTGCAGCTGTTTAATTCATTGTACACTTCAGTTCAGAGCTTCACCTGCTCTATAACCACTTTTTAAATCAACATTTTTTTGTTTGTTTGAGGAAATATTGAAGTTTAAAGTCTCCTGCACACTCATAAATGACCCTTGCATTGAGTGTGAGGTCGTGATCCTCGGGTCCTCTCTTGCCAGCAGCGCACAGGTTAACCCGGATGCCATCACAAACGTGTTCGACTTCCTCTCGTCTTTCGCGTTTTTTCGCTTCGTACTCACCGCAGAAGTTAAATATTCAGCTCTCGGTCCGCAGCTGGTTGGGGCGCAGATGACATTGTTGTGTCGCTTTACTCTTCGGCTCTTTTCTTTCCTCCTCCTCCTCCGTTCACCGTTGACCACAGAGCGGATCATTACTTCCTGTATGTACTGATGACGACAGCGACGTGACGTGTAGCGGCGCCCTGTGGATGAGAGAGCGTTCGTCAAATGGTGCCTTTAAGTACGGTCGGACATTTTAGTTTGAGGATACGACACGTAATTTGCCGCATCCTCTGATAGAATTTTATAAACAAGTGGACTTGTGTGCGGGTTTATACGGTGGACGAGAACCGCCACTGCTGCAAATAAAATAAAAAAATGCAAAAAAAAAAAAGTCACAACGGAAGTTACTGATGCAAAAAAAAAAGAAAAAGAAAAAAGAACCCGAAGTCCACGACAGATAAAAAAGAAACAGTGCAGATAAAAAAAAAGCCTCAATGGAAGTTATCAACGCAAAAAAAAGTGGCGATGGAAAAAAATATTTACTGCGAAAATAAAAGGATGTATTTTTAAAAAAAGCCTCAATGGAAGTTAACGACACAAAAAAGTGGCAATGGAAAAAAAAATATTTACTGCAATAAAAGGATGCAAAAAAAACAAAAAAAACAATGAAAGTTAACAGCGCAAGAAAAGTTGCAATTGCAAAAATTATATATTTACTGCAAAGATAAAAGGATGCAAAAAAAAGCCACAACAGAAGTTAACAATGTAAAAAAAAAAAAAAAAAAGTGGTGATGGAATAAAAAAATATTTACTGCGAAAATAAAAGGATAAAAGCCACCGTAGATTTGAAAGTAAATTTTTAATTCAAGAACAATGTTCAATGTACCTTAACTTAGCTCATTTGATAAAACATTTAAAAGTGTATAAAATGTTGTTTTTTCCCCAAGAAAATATTCTAAAAGATTTTAAAGTTTGAGGATTTTTATATAAATGCAACCCTAATCCAAAATAGGTTTGAATTTTTTTTGTTGTTGTTTTTTTAAATTGGTGGTTTGTAAATTACACTAAGGGATTCAACTTTATTTTTCTCAACTTCGAATTCAACTTTATTTTTATGGCACTTTTCAGACAAAAAATGTAATTCAAAGTGCCTCACAGAGGCTAAAAACAATCAACAACAATAAATTTTGAAATTCAACACCAGTAGCATTACTCTTAAACTGTAAACCCACACTGTCTCTCACAGATCAACAAACTCAGCTTTATTATTTGCTAAGATAACCTAATTATTTTGAAGATGTTTGCTGTCTGTCCTGACTTTTTGGAAGACACAGCGGGGATAGATTTTGAGATAAGCATTTATTATATACCAAAAAAATTCTCAGTTTCACCATTTGTAGTCTTGTCTTTGGACTTTTTAAAATCCAATTTAAATCTATATTTATCAACATTTTACACAGCATCCCACCTTTTCTGAAATAAAGCTTGAATATGCAAATTCTTTACCTTCTTTCCTGATCACAGCGCTGTCTTCAAAGATAGCAAGTTCCTCTACAATTACCATCTTCAAATATTTGCTTATAGAGCACCGCCCTGCTCCAAATCCGGCTGTGTCTTTAAAAGAGGATGCAAACCGTACGCTGACTCAGAGGTTCAAAACGAAAAAAACAAAAGAAACTTCTTTTATTTGGCAAATCCTGTGTGATACAGAATACTGTACAAGGCATTTAAATGTGTAAAGCCACTGTGTAAAACTGTAACACGTGTAAAAGGTACAACAGTGAGTGAAAGGTGAGAAAAAAGTGAGCAGAAAAAGTGAAGAAATGGGGTTTGATTGTCAGATTAATAAATAAAACTATACCCCGATATCACAAAAATTCCTGATATAAACCCTTGGCTGAACTGGATACTCCCAATAAAAACAAAAACCATCAACTGCACTCATTAAAGGCACATTACACTACTTCAGAGGTAGCTGGTGCAAGCAATGGTTTGGCTACCTACCTTAAAACAAAACTAGCAGGTTTGATTAGAAAACAAAATTAACTATCTTAGATCAGATATTTGTGGAAAAAAAACTATCCTACTAAAATTAACTATTTTTCAGTGCATAAAAGCTTTTTTTTTTAAAAGTGGTTGATTATTAAAGATTAAGCAAACTTGTTGCATTACAGTAGTTTCAGAGGGATCAATTCCAACGCACCCACTGGGGAAATAAAAATGGGTTTGTTTTGCTCTCAGTGAAGATGAACTGTATCAATCTGAGAGTCGTGAAAACATATCTGTATGTTCTGAACAGTAACATATAAACATTCAGTATCCCAATAAAGCAATTTAAAGCAAAGTGAATTCAAAACATCAAACTGCACTCACACGCTGAACAAAAACGAGAAACTAAAATAACAAGTTTGTTTGGTGCACAGACAAAATTGGCACACAATCCTTTCTCTTACCAGGAAGTCGTCCGAACACACAATTTAACTTTCCGCCTGCTGTGTTTAAGCAACACACCCCTCTAACAACTTCTGACATTGAAATGAACTTTAAAAAAAACACATCAATGCACCCAAAGCGCGTTCTGCAGGAGGAAATAAGAGTGCAGAGAGCAGTCCGAGTTGCAAATAAAACCATTGGCATACATCTTTTAAAAAAAAAACAAAAAAAAGCTCCCCAAGTGTTTTCATCTTAGTCCATTAATAAGCTGGAGGCTGGTACTCCCCTGGCTGCTCCTGGTTGTGGGAGAAAGGCGACTGCTGGTAGCCTGGAGGGCCGCTGCTGCTGCTGGCGTACGGACCAGGAGGGAATGGAGAGGTGTGGTCGTGCGCAGGGTCTCTGTAGTCCTGGTCAAAGTCACTGACGCCTTGGCGATACCGTCCAAGGGCAAAGTAGGACAGCAGAGCCTGCAGAGAGAAAAAACAGAGCATGTGAGGCTGTAAGGTGACGCACAGGGCAAAGTTAAGTATCATAAACGGGTTTTGTTAGTCAAATTGTCAAAGCGGCGAGAGTCTCACCCAGGTGATAATTGAGAAGAAGGAGAAGGTAAGGACGGCCCGTGCAGCATCGCCTTGGACAGCAGTGTTGGTGGTTTTGGACCACTGGTTGGCCAGGACACAGAAGCAGATGAACCAGAGGAAAGTCCAGACCGCTGTCCCACGATTCAGATGATCAAAAGAGGAAAAACAAATAATCAGGGTTAAAATATGCAGCTGAAGTGCAGTTCCTGTTTCTCTGTCTGTCTTAAACAAACCTACCTGAGAAGCCCAAATCTGCTGTGACGATATATCTTCTCTCTTTGGCATTGCTGATCTGTGGGAAGTAGGCATCCAGCACAAGGAAGACAACACAAGCCAAGAAGGCCAAGACTCCGATTCCTACCCCATAGCTGCAGGCGCTGTCATTATCATTAAACATGCACTCAGGGTTCTGCTTGGTTGGCGAGTTGACGTAGCCCTCTGCGGTGATGGTTGCAAAAACCACGATGGAGAACAACTACAAAGAGGGCACACAAAGGGTTAATGTCAAGGGGGGAGGAAGGAGGTGAAAAAATGCATGTTTCAAGTCAAGAGGCAGCGTGGGGGCCACATGATTCTGATCACATGATCCACATCACAAGAAGCTTTCACTATAAGGAGACAACTAATCTGCGTTAAATCATATCAATATGAAACCGATAAAAAAAAAGGGAAATTCTGCAAGAATGTCCTGAACACCTGATCGAGTTTAACACTGTGAGTGAGGTGTGAAAACACGCAACATCTGACGCTACCTGAGCAGATTTTAACACAAAACTAGACAACAGTGGCATATCAGTCAGTCACGATCTGGTAGATTAGAGATCTGAGACTGTGGATAGGTTGCTTTTTAGTGGATAAAATCAAGTAAAAAGAACCAACTTTGTAGAAACCAACTTTCTGCTCAGCCTTATATTGCTTGGACATATAGTATTATTGTATTATATGAATATGAAACCAATAAAAAAGGGGAATTCTGCAAAAATGATCTGAAACCAGGCAATCATTCAGCCATTATCTGGTAGATTAAAGATTTGAGACTATAGATAGGTTGTTTTTTGGTGGATTAAGACAAGTAAAAAGATGTTTCCAAGCATTTTTATAACCAACTTTGTAGAAACCAGAGTAGAAACCAACTTTCTGTTCTGTATTATTGACTTTTTTTTAGTGTGTAATGGTCTCTGTCCCTCCCTCAGAGCCTCAGGTGTTCAGAAAGTGACAAAACCTCTGATAAGGTGTGTATAAGTTGTTTAGAGAGGTTAAAAATTGTTCTTATCTCTATCATTTTCACTTTCAAAGTAATTGTGCAGAGTACTGGAGCTCAAACAAAACTTACAGTTAAATAACAGTCACTACTTCACGTACATATATATTTTTTATCTATTATACGCTATTCAACTGGTACAATATTTGTTTTATTATTACTATTCTTGCATATAACTGCTAAAAAGCTGTTCTGTAAAAGGACATTTTAACATGAGAATGCCTTTAACAATACAGTTTTAAGATAAAATGTCAATATGTGAGGCTGAACTTTCCCTAATGCACATTAGAAGCAGCAGAGAAGCAGCCGTTTACACTGTGACACAGCACTGAGCATGCAGCACAGCTTTAGCTTCAGAAATAACGTCTTTTATGTCACCTTTAAAAGATTTTACCGCACATTTAAAGTTAGCTCTCGCTATCTTTAAGCTGTTATCTGCTTGTAAACCTCACAAACTCACAAACTGCCCGCATAGATAAACGTTACGCTGTGACAGCTGCTAGCTTTTGGTGCTAACTGACGAACGTTATCATTTCCGTGACTCTCTCTCTCTCTCACTCACCCAGCATAGGCAGCGCAGCACGGTCTGCGGCTGTTTCACGAAGTTCTCTAAGTCGAAAGCTCCACCGGCTAACGAGGCCCCGTACGCGCTGCTCTGCATTTTTTCACCCGAAAGTGTGAACCGGACAGTTCAAGAAAAAAAGGGAGACCAGCTGTATGTAGGACAGTCCTCCTGTCAACAGTTGACGCGGTTTCGTTTTTGTCTCAAAACTTCCTGAAAACTTTTTCTAAGACCGCCCCAACCGCTCTCATGCGTCCACGCGCTCCTCCGTAGAACGCCAGCGTCGAGTTCGGTAAGTATGCGTGCGTTCAGGTCACGTCGAAAAATCGGAAAATCGAGTTTTCACGGTATAATTTCGCATGAAGACGCCTCCAGTACAACTCAACGACTGTTTGAGATTTTGTTTTCAGTTTTTCTGGTTTGACGATTTCAATCCGTCTTGCAAATGAACTTTTTAAACTTAATTTTCCACTTAAATAACTGAGAGGGTTAGTTCTACCAGGTCTTATAAAGTTACCAAGTTTATTTTTAATAGGAAAACAGTAGGGGGAGAGTGGGGTAAGTTGAGCCAAAGGGTAAATTCGGCATGCTATATTATCAAGACAGTTCTGTTAACACTCATTCTGTTAGTTTGCAGGGATGTGAAACATCTTGAAATATATGCAGAAACACTAGTTAGAGACAAAACTATGATTGACTTGATGTAGTGATCTGAAATATGAAAAATGGCTCATCTTACCCCACTCTCCCCTAAATCTTCTGACTAAATTCTGTTTTGACATTCGGACTGAACTGCCTCATATAAATATATCACATATTTTTTACAAGGCGTAGTTTGTACTGGGTGTCTTTACGTTTGTAATTAGTTTGCAAAGATTTATCACAATCTCAGCTTTTGTGGAGGCTCTAAAAAACACAACAGCGACACTGCATCATGGAAAACTCCGAGCATGTAAAGAGGACGTGAAGGCATGGAAAGTACCGTGACATCTGATGTGTGTGGTTTTTTGGCCAGAATTTTGATTAGTCGTTAAAAAGAAAACTGTCTCAGTTTTGAAATAACTCAGTTTTGAAATAACTTCCTCCTAAATTCATTTGTTTAATTTCCCTAACATTAGTTTCTTGGTAGTATGATTTACTTCGGCTAATATTGCACAACATTTTCTATATTTAAAGTAGACCAGGCTGGGATCAGGTTCTTGTGTTTTAATATATTTACCCATGGGGTTTCTGTTTGGAACAAAACAGGTAGATTTTTTTCTGTAAATGACTAAAATAATAAGCAGAGGTCAGTCATACAAAGACACCTTCAGTTTTTCTACCTTGCTCAGCTGAAGTTTGTCTGATTTGAAGAATTGTTGCAGTTTTGCTTTTTGGCCACTAGGAAGAGACAAATACATTAGAATCTGAGCTCACACAGGCCGATCTCAACAAATAGCTTCAAGAAAAGGCCAAAATGCCACTACTCCTATCATTAAAAGCAAACATAAGGTTACATGCCTTTATAGACCCACTACAAAAATTAAACATGGTCAAACTGATGCTTTACGGAGATGCATGGCTATTAATTGCAAATGAGGCACAGCTGTGTCGGGCCAAGAGAGAGTGAGAGAAAGATAGAGGAAGTGTCAATGCACTGTGACAAAAATTCAAGATCAGACTGAGACAATTTAAAACACAGGCTGCTGCTCTGTGACCCACAATGGGATGCTAAATAGGCGGTAAACTAAACCCAGATCAACAATAGCCATGGCGCACAGTGAGAGCTTCAGAGTCAACATGTCACAGGAAGAAGACTTAGACTATGAGTGAGTATCTTTCTTCATTTGTGATATTTTCTGTGCTAGTTTTTACTCTGATGAACTGAGTGATTATTTAGTGTTAAGTAAGCAGCTCAGATCACAATGTAAATTTCACACATGATGAGTTTGATCCAGTTTTCTGTGCCTCTGTATCTCCAATTTTGAGCAATACTGCTTTGAAACGCTTCCTACAAAGTTGAGGTTTCTTTATTAAAAAGGAGAAACTATTTCAGTCTTAATAGAAGAAGTATCTTAAAGTGAAAGAAGTGAAAGATTGAAGATTCATCGTGCCCCATATGCTGGTGCTGAACACCTCGTTGTTTTTGTCCTTTAGGAACATGGAAGTGGATGAACTAGGTCAGGACCCAGCAGCCAGCAGTGAGGGATGTCCTGAAACCATCCAGATGGATATTTTAAGAAAAGGTGCAAACACAGAAAGTCCCTCTTTTACTTATTTTATCTCAGTACAGCTGAGCAGAGAAACTTTCACATGTTTGTTTCAGCCTCTTGGTCGACCTCGAGCAGCGACACAGAGAGTGGGACACTTGACATGGAGCAGATGACATTGAGAAGAAACTGTTGGTCGGCCGCCACTCTGAAAGTCCTCTCCTCGATGCCCAGTCGTACCACCGGTTAGGTCTAAACCAAGTCTTTTGTTTTAATAATGTTGACTGTTAACCATAGCTTCAAAGAAAGATCCATGTCCACACAGGGCCGCATACTGCTGCAGTTATTTCACAGTGTAACAGACGGCAAACCACCTTCCAGGAACCCTCTCAACCCTTTAGACCAAACCAGGATGGCTTTGCGCCGGGAGATATGGAGGAAATAAACACAGAAGGTAGACAGAAACATGTTAATCTGTCTACTTTTCTAGTAGTTTTTATTTTTAAAAACCTAATTTTTGATTTGTTTTGGTTCACAGAAAGCAAAATCGAGCAGTTGGCGTCCAATCTCAAAGGCGTCTCAGTAAGTGAGGGTATGCGCAAACTGCGAGCTATGCCGCTTAGCCTGCTGGATAAGAAGAAAGTCAGGTAGGCGGCGGCGTCATTGAAGGATTTGTGATTAGTTTGTCATCTTCAAATTTTTCATGGTCACTTTAGGTTGCATTATTTTGGAAGAACGTTCTCATTTGATACTCTGACCCAGATTCATGTGCATTTGAAAACACTCAAAGGCCTTGAACTTGAACTATTTTTAAGGCGTCTGTCTCGTATCATTCCTTAGACAACTTGCTTTTCGTGGCGTAGCTGAGAGTTCACTCATCAGCAGAAATATCCCGTGTTACAGCCGCCTGAGGGTTTACATGTCCAGGGTGAGTACACATTAAAATAAACCCATATTTCTCATTGTGTTTCAATCTAACACTCGTATCATTCTCCCCTCAGACTTGGCGCAACTGCATGTTTAACTGCCTCCCCGTCCTCGCCTCCCTCAAACTGTGGCATTCACCCATGAAGACACTGAGCGGCCGTTTTGGTACCGGGGTGCTCTCCTACTTTCTGTTTCTGCGGACCCTCCTGCTCTTCAACCTCCTCCTCTTCGTCATTAACGGCCTATTCCTGGTCTTCCCCCAAGCGGTCCACCCTCCTCCTCCTCTTACTGACTCTGATGCCGACGATTTCAGCGCTCTTGAGCTCCTTTCAGGCACGGTATGATGGCTTTGTGTTAAATCAGAGAAGGACATTCAATGGTAGTGGGAATTGGATATGTTTCTCAGCTTTGCAGCCAGCCATTGTGAGCAATCGCCAACAGTTGGTGCTTAAAAGGATTTCCCTTTTCTGTGAACTGCCTTTGTTTACAACTCAAACGGCAATTTAGGAAGCCAAGCTGGAGTTAAAGTGGACTGCAGTTTTAGAACGATATCTGTATGAGAGATGGATGAAAAGCTAAATAGTTCTGTTGGTATTGAGGAGTGCACTAAAGCTTATGTTTTCTTGCATTTAGTTGATGCACTAAAATGCTAAAAGACAGGAAAGAGATTGTTGTATTTTTATTGTCCACCTGATGAGCACCAAAGCTCTTTGACTCTCATCATCTCTTGTACTGATCTCTTCTTAAAAAGGCATAATTTTCAGTGACTTCAACGAGTTGTCCCTGTGCGTTTTATAAACATCCCTCTGTGGCTCCTTTTATAAACATCGTTTTATAAACAGGTCTATACTGATTCTCACATAAACATGAAAAAACCTCACTGGAGCTTTAAAAAACAACAAAATGCAGCAATCTAAAACAATTAGGTTAAAAATAGACTGAACAAACTGGTGAGGAAGGTTAGCTGTACACTGGGCTGCCCTTTGGTCTTTATAAGCATTGCGTCTGCCTACACCCTTTCGGTCATATTATACCAAAATAAACTCATTCATTTATCACAATGGCAAATACCTACATTATTTTTCTCAGATATGATAACCGTTTTTTTGTCATTATTGCTACTGTGAAAGGATGATGTGAATATTTCTGATTAGGGTTAGTAAACACCGATGGCGCTGCTGTTGCGAATGTGGTGTGAATGTGAATTTCAGTGGCGCTCTCCCGAAGCACTTACCCATCTGTTCTCCCTCACAGGGTTACCTCTCTCAGAGCTTGATGTTTTATGGCTACTACACCAATGACTACGTCCACACCTGTCGAGCAGCTGGCCTGAGCCGCAGCTCCACTGATGTATCCTATCATCTGCCGATCTGTGAAAAGGATGAGCTTCAGATAGTGCCGTACAGCATACCCGCAGCCTACTTCTTCACCATCCCCATCGCCTTCTTCATTATCTGCATCTTCCTGGTGTACAGGTGGGTCAACGAGTGGATTACTTATTGCATCATTTTTACCCAGTTAGCTTGATCTTTCTCATTGTTTTCCTGCAGTGTGTCCAAGTCCTTTGGGAGAAGTTTTCAAGTCCTCAAGTCCAACGGGAATCTGGCTGTGAAGGTTTTCTGCTCCTGGGATTTTAAAGTCAGCAAGGAGATTTCTGTAATGCTGCAGTCTGAGAAAATCAGCACTCAGCTCAAAGTATGCAATCATTTCAATCAATCAATCAATCTTTATTTATTAGGATTTTTTTCTGTCTTTCTTTCTTTTTTCTTTGTATTTGTTTCTCTTTTTCTTTCTTTCTGTCTTTTTTCTTTTTCTTACTTACTCTCTTTTTCTTTTTTCTTTTTCGTTTTTCTTTCTGCCTTTATTTCTCCTTTTTCTTTCTTTCCTTCTTTCTTTCTTTTTTTATACTTTCTTTTTTCTTTACTTTCTTTCTTTCTTTTTTCTTTCTTTCTTTTCTTTATTTTATCTTTCTTTCTGTCTTGATTCTCTTTTTCTTTCTTTCTTTCTTTCTTTCTTTTTTAATACTTTCTTTATTATTTACTTCTTTCTTTCTTTCTGTCTTTCTTTCTTTCTTTTTCTCTTTTTTCCCTGTTTTTTTTCTTTCCTTCTGTCTCTCTATCTATTATTTATTTTTCTATCTCAAACTTGAAGAACAAAAACACAAACAAAAACATGGAGCAAAATGATACATATGTACATCACAATACAGTGCTGGTCTAGACCAGACTCTATTGACAAAGACCTAATGTAAAGATGGGATAAGATTGAGCCCCTGCTTGTAGGATCAGACCTTCTCTTATCTGTCTTTAACCATATGAGTGGAGCGCTTTGCAGCTTTAATCAGATTACACTGGAGAAGAAAAAGTTCATTTTAACAGGCAGAAACCTCGAGCAGAAGCAGACTCATGTAAGACAGTCATCTGCTGCTACAAAATAAAGTTTGGATGAGTTTTGGGGCCAGGAGTAATCGTTCTCACAAATCAAAAAAGTGTAGAAAAATTCAACAATTCAGATTCTGATGAATAAAATACAAATATGAACAAAGTGGCTGCAAACTCCATGACCTTCAATGAAAGTCGTTTGCATAGTCATTTTTTATCACACTATCTCAGTTTGTGAACGTTGGCTCACACAGGAAGTTTTAGCAGAAGCGTTTCACACCCTCATAGTGTACAAAAGCCTTTAAGTGTTGTATTCTTAAAATATCTGCTCTAAAATTATCAATAACACAGTAGCCTGCAGCTTCAACACGTCGTAGAGATTAATGGATTTTGGCTCAATGAACTGACAAACTTTTCTACACAGGAGCTGCTGTCTGAGATGATCAGTGGAGAGAATGAAAAGAGCTGTACGCAGCGGCTCTGCTGCCTCATAGTGCATCTGGTAGCGTGGACTTTATGTCTGGCCAGCATCACCCTGGGAACCACAGGAGTCCATTTCCTATCTGAGGTATAAAAACACCTTCTGTGCAGCCAGACATGACAGATGTTACCCATCAGAGCAGCTGTAGGGGTATTTTTCCGAAGACTGTACCACAGAAAATGACGATGAAAAAGATGCCCTTTCCTCTGCAGCTTATCTACTTCTCCTTTTTGTTTCCTGACAGGCCTGTCATACGTCTCGCACTGTTGATTTTACAGAATCATTATGCATGACAGTCACACACAGAAGTTTATTTAAGGCCCATGTAGGAAGAGCTAAACTGTTTAGGTCATGGCTTTGTAGGGATCTTGCAGCTGCTCCTGATACTCCCATATTTGTCCTGCAGAACTACATTAAGCACAGCAATTTCCAAGAAACAGAGCTGCTGCTCCTGTCTGCTGTGGTGTCGGGCGTAAACCTGCTGCTCCCCGGTCTCTTTAACCTGTGTGCCTGGATAGAAAAACACGACTCACCCAGCATTAGAGTTTATGTCTCCATCTTCAGGTGAGTGGGAGAACTGTGACGGCATCAAACCGGAAATCTATCCATTTATTTAACAAGATAAGATTAGGATAACTGAAAGGGAGGCATGGCAAGGCTTTCAATGTGTCAATCAAGACAAGGTAAGATAGAACTTTATTGTGTTTCCACAGAAATCTGATCTGCACAGCAAACTCAACACATCAGTCTTTATTTGTATGATGCCAGTTCATTTCTTCACAGAAGGAGCAGGCCTAGAACATACTATTGTTACACTATTTACAAAGACCCAACATTAAAGGTGGGGGAGAAAACTGGTTTGGAGGGGTAGTGTTTACATTCAAGATTTCTCCCAAAAACTGTCACTTCCTCAGATCCTGCCTACCCCACCTTTAGTACACACCAGACATGAGCAAACACTGGGCAACAGTGGTGAGGAAAAACGCACCATACTTATAACAGGCAGAAACTCTGAAATACAGAGATGGATAAAGACATAAAAGAACAAAAACAAGCAAGTGTTAATGTGAAATACAACCCCTTAAAGGACGAGGCGAGACCCACACAGAGCATTATCCTGCTTTTTACCCAGTTATCAACCAAGACAGCATGAAGTCACCTCAGTTATGATAGTTTTTCATGTTTTTATGGAAACAGAATTATCAGCCTGTCAATGGGCTGAATTATCATAAAAGCTCCAGTGAGGAACTTTCAGTCTGTGTAATTTTGGTGCCCCCTTGTGGTGGAAGCAGTCTTTGCCTTTGCATGCTCGAGTGGTATCCCTTGCAATAAAATCTACTCCTGACTCCTGGTCAAAAAGTGAATATTAAATGAAGCTTTGCCTTTGTGGACAGCTTCATTTTATTTCATTTAACCTTTAATTAACCAGGTAAGACTGTAGCACTTATACTAACTATATGATATGATGTTTGCACTTCCAGTGGCCGATCAGAGAAAAGCTTATCTTCTTTTAAAGTGGTTGTTTAAGTGCCGACACTCATGCTTTATCACCCATGAAGGTGCTCCCAAACAGATAATCAGCTCATTGTTTTCTCAGGAACCTGCTGCTGAAGGTCAGTATTGTTGCAGTGCTCTGTTACCGCTGGCTGGGTAGAATTGCTGTAAAACCAGAAAGTCGTGGTTTACAGGTAAAACCAGGATCCTTTATAATTGAGCGTCTCATAATTACACCTTTGGCCCAACAATGAACTCTGCTTTGTTTTCAACCTAAACTGTTGATTTGTGGTCCGGTTGTGATCATTGGGGGTGTCTCTGTCGTCCACAGTGTTGGGAGAGCTTCGTGGGGCAAGAGCTTTATCGCTTACTCCTCATGGACTTTGTCTTCAATGTGATTTACACCTTCTTGGGAGAATTCCTGTGGAGGCAAGTTGGTGCTTTACCCCCACTCCATGTACCTTTTAAAACCCACTGACCATTTGTAATACCAAAACCACACATCTTCTCTCTGTAGGCTCTTTTCCAAACGGGTGCTTAGAAAGAACAGGAAGCCGGTGTTTGACATCGCTCGAAACGTCCTAGAGCTCATATACGGACAAACTCTGACTTGGTGATTACACGTAATTCAGTACTTTAAAATGATCACCCATTTTAAATAGAGACAAAATCAATATACATGTTTTTTTTGCAGGATCGGGGTGCTTTTTGCTCCGCTTCTTCCAGCAGTCCAGATCATAAAGCTGTTTGTGCTGTTTTACATGAAAAAGGTCGGTCCATCAGAAGGTGCTGTTCCCACGTCCTAAAGTGTGTGTACTCAGATTTTCATGATAACTTCGACATTCCTTGTCCTCTTTCTTCCTCAGAGCAGCCTGCTTCTTAACTGTCAGGCCTCCAGGAAGCCCTGGAGGGCCAGCCAGATGACAACTCTGTTCATCTCTCTTTTGTGCTTCCCCTCATTTCTGGGAGCTGCCGTGTCTGTGACTTATGCAATCTGGACGTGAGTGCGACAAACAATGTCCCCCTCCACGTCTCTCTTAATGACCATGATGCTCAGACGCAGTTTCGACACTGAAAGGCGTTTGCAAATTCCTTAACATGAGACACACAGAGCTCTCTAGAGGTGACGCTTTGAACAGAGCGAAAGTCAAGAGTAACCAAAACTGACCAAAACGCCAGTGTTTTAAATTCAGAACATGATCGGCTGTGAGGCTACCTTTTTAAGGCCTCATGCTCACTGCTTGTAACACTTCATAACCTTTTCTATAAGCTGTTATGAACACTTGTAAAAGAAAAGCTTTAAAGGTGCATTTATAAATGTTTTTTGTATATTTTCTATAAAAAGATGATTAGGGCAAATTCCTTTGTCTGCTCTCCTCAGGACCAAACCTTCGTCAAATTGCGGCCCTTTCAGGAACCTCACCACCATGTTCGAGTCAGGCCAGCTGTGGGCCAAGGAGCTGAAGGGCTCACACCCCATCCTGTCCTGGCTCAGCTGGGCCTACAACTCTCTGCTGGAGAATCCACTGATCTTGTTCCTCGCCACTGGAGTCTTTCTGTGAGTTAAACCGACTTGTTTAACTTTTCATTACAATGAACATGTTAGGAATAATATTCTTACTTTTTAGACCTGTGGTGTTTTCTCCTTTTATCAGGATGGTGATTTACTTTCAAGTCCAAGTTGTTGATGGCCAGAAGAGAATCATAAATCAGCTGGAGAAGCAGATTGAAAATGTAAGTGTAGCCAACTATTTTTTATAAATAAGGTGAGAGATTTGCATTTTTTTGTTGCAAATTTTATTGGACAATTCAGACTTAGACTACAGAACATAATAACTGAAAGGGCAATCCTTACTATAGATGCTTAAAGAGTTTTATTCTGCTTATAAAACAGACTGAGGCTACAGTAGCTGCAGCGCTCCGACAAGCCATTTAAAGGATTTTAAGTGCGCCTTTTATAGTGCGAAAAATAAGGTACACAAAAGCAAACAAGACCACCGGTAACAAGCTCAATGATTTGGATGTTGTAATTTTGAATGTCAGCTTAGTGTCTGAAGATACTATCTTGTTTTTATAACTTCAACATTAAATATTTATGATGAGTGATACATTTGACTGTCAAAAGTCTGCAGAATTATATTTGTCCACAGGGGGCGCCAAAATTGACCCAAACCTTAAGTTCCTGTCAGGAGCTTTAGACCTGTGATCTTTTCAGCTGCACTTCAGAAAACGTGTTTTGTATCTTCTCTTTTAGGAGGGTAAGGACAAAAAGTTCCTCATCACCCAGTTGCAAGGCCTCTCTGACCAGAGCAGTCCAGTCCCCCCTCACAGATAAGGCGAGGAATTAAACAGCGCCTCACTTTGTGGTTGGGACATTTTTCACGATTTGCTTTATTTTCATGAACTTCTTTCTGACCTGTACAGACAAGCTTGGAAACACCGTCTTCCTTTTAAAAGTGTTTCCTCCTTCCCCCTGCAGTCTGTGGCTGAACAACATTCACAACATACTGGAACGATCTGGAGATATTATCTCTTCTGTGATGAGCAGCTTCTCTTTGATTCTCGGCACTCAGATGTCAGCCTGTATCAGAAACGTCACTTAAAGGAGCAGAAACACAAATAGATGAAGCTGATAAGTGTGTTATTTTAGGTGTTGTTAGTATGTGAGTCATTGTGAAATACATCAACAATTTGAAGAGACAAATGAGATTTGAATGCATGTTACTGTTTGTATTTATTCATGCACAGAGCTCCTGTGCTATGATGTAAACCTTTTAGAGGAGATATGTTGATATGATATATGAAATATGGTATGTTTTTTTATAAAAAGACAGAATAAAATATTACTGTTGGAAAGTCTTTGGTTTTGCAAGAACAAACTGTGTATTTTGTTTGCAAATTCAAGAAGCAGAAACTGATCTGTTCTCTGGAAATGCAGTTTCCTGTATCTGATTGGCACAAAACCAACATGCACTTCTCCTGGTCCTTCATCAGAATGAAATATGAGACAATGATAGGCATGTTTAAGTGTGCAGCACATTCAGCCAAAAGGCAATTTAATGGTTTTTACACATGACTTTATTAAGAGGTTAGAGAAAATACATTAAAAGAAGACATAAGAAGTGAAAACAAAGAGTAAAAGTTGACGACAGCAGTTGAAATGTAGTATACAGCAGTTTTAGAATATAAAAATAAAGTTATGTAAATGTTATATAATCGTATAAATATCAACAATGAAATAACATTATGGATTTAATTTGGGCATTTTTTCCTGCTTATATATGTCTGTATCATGTTGTGTTAATACAGATTAACTTTATTCATAATCCAAGGCTGGAGCTGCCAATCTTACCTAAAGAAATAACCTTGAATTTGAAGTTGTGCCAAAAAAAGCGGTTTGCGGTAAATTTTCGTTTTAAAAAAGTAAGTCTAGATTTTTAGCGCAACATGCAAAAATAAAGGGAGTTGTTTGGCACCAAAAAGGTTGTCAAAAGAGCATTTTAACAGGAAATATGTTAAAGGAACATTTATCTTCCTCATGGAAAATGATTGATTGATGATTAATAAGCAAACTGGGAAAAAAAAGATGAAATCAAGACAGAAGGCAGCTTTTCATTACATGAATCAGTCTTAAATTGTATTGAATCTAGTCTGATTATGATAAAAATAATGCATCAGATTTTTATAGTGCTTTAGTCTAATCTAATCTAATATCACAACCGATTAAATATTGACTTATTAGACAGCAACACCAGACTGACCTCGTTTCATTCTGTCCTGTCAATGTCTCTCTTCAGAAGACCTTATTTTTAACCAAGAATCCGCTGATGGCCTATTTGGGTTTTAACATTTCTCTCCCTGGCTGCTGAACAAGTTGGGGGACATTTTGACCAGTTACAGACTTGTTCCTTGAAACTCTATGAGAAAAACACTAGTAGGAGGAGATTATCTTGTTGTGACACAACAGGACAGTATTTGAACCCACAGCACAGAGGGATGCTCTGCACTCTGAGACAGTCTGCTTTACTCGTTCGGTTTCTCAAGCGGCTCTGAAAATACCTCGGGTAAGTAGCAGTTTATTTATTTTCATGCTTTATCTTACCACAGAGAATATTTTTTCAAAACATCAATCAAGTTTTGGTTTCTCTTTTGTTCATTAAAAACAAATCAATTCCTCTTCTCCCCAGACATCATGGAAGTGAAAACGGCCCCTAAAAAAAGAGTTTACATCAGTATGCCAAATAAATACTTTGCTGCTCTTGCACAAAAATACGACCTGGCAAGTTAATTTCTGAAATTTGTATGGAGCTTCACTGATTTTTATCATATTTCTGACTGAAGCTTCCTTATGACATGATGCAAATTCATTTACCAGGACCACGGGCTGGTTATAAAAGACCTGAACCCCTATGTGAATGAGGGATATGTCAGAGCTTACTTCAGAGAATGGGGCACTGTAACAGCTTGTAAGGTAAGAGCTAAAAAAATGCTTCAATTGTGAAAATAAATCTGTATAAATAAAGACAAAAAACTTTAAGTTTTTTCTCAAATCTTGACCCTAGATAAGGAAAAGCCAAAGCTCAGGGGAAACTAAGGCGGTGGCATATGTGAGGTTTTCCGAAGAGGATGAGGCAAACAGAGCAGAGTGGGCTGGTCCTCACTACATTGGAGGGGATGTGGAAGTGAGACGAGTCGTAAGTCCAAGGGTGAGTCTGTATTCGGCTGGAGCAGTATGATTTTAAAAGTGTGACATTTCTGTCTGTGTGAGTGTAACAAGACTGTGTTTCAGATGGAGGAGGACGCAAAGGAGGAGGTCGCTGCTGTCATCTCCAATAAGCCTCGCCCTCGGCGTTCAATGGGTTTGGGCTACATACTGGAAGATGCTCAGTGGTTAGATGAAGCAGCAGAAGAAGAATAAGCAGTCTCAGTGATTGGGTTTACATCATTTTAAATCACAACTGTATGTATATGAGAATTACACAACGGACCACAATTTGTTGCAGTCAGGAGGAAACTAAGACTGAAAACAAGAGTATAAATGACTGAGCAGTAAAGATTTTAATATCCTATTCTATATGAATATGCAGATGATCAGGCATACTTATTGAGTTTTATTATGCTGAGCTAGGTCTTGTGAAAATGACTTGTTTCCTTTAGATTGGTATTTATTTTTATTTGCAAATGAAAACTCAAGAGACTTCGTTGTATATACCAAATTAAATAAAACAAATACAAAAGTGCGATGGGTTGTTTTTAATCATGCTGATTTTTATTTTATTTTATAATGATATAGATATTTTTTTATTTAAAGAGTGCAAATAAAATAAATAGTTTTTGTTCAATTTTTACACAAACAGAATTGCTGGAAAAAATACAAATATAATATATACAATAATAATATATATATGCCACTTTAAGGTATCAGAGCTCTATTAAATAATAGCCCTATCATCAACATAGGCATGTAGACTCAAAAAAAGGTTTCAAGAAACTTAAACTTAAGTAAGAATAAGATCTACCACAAAAAGTATATGCTAGACCCCCTCAGATGCAAAAAGTATCTTCCAAAACCCTCTGAAATATATTTTCAGGTGACAGAAAAATCCCAGAGCAGCTCCGAGGATAATAAATATTTCTCTAGCTATGATGTCACATCCATGTGGGCGGGGCTATAACGTCATTTCAGAAGTAACCAATCCTCACACAGGGCGCCAAGTTTTTAGCCTATAAAAACAGCCTAGAACTTATAATAACAAAAATAGCCTCAAAAACATGGCGGAGAGGGAAGCAGACATCGGATTCAAAAAGGTAAGATTTACGATTTATCTCCTCTTTCAGTGAATATGTACTCCAAGTTACAGCCACTCTGTTGAAATAGAACATACATTTGTTGATTTGATTCACTCAAATAAAGCGTTCGCACTAACAGAGCATTCGTGTACCGGTCATGATATTCGTGTACGTTGAGAAAAGTTAGAATTTCATATAAGTTGAGAATGGCGACTATGTATGTATGCCGAATCGAAGAGCGATGCTTTGTCATGCCTGCTGTGTGTCAATAAGTGAGTAAAAAGCTGAATAAAAGCTTTTGTTGCCAGTACAATAAAAATTGAATGTTTTCCAATGGCTGTATGGTATGAAAACACACACGAACACGAATCCAACTGCAGCGTGTGCCAAAGTAAATGCGCTGTTTGGGAAAACATGTGAAGAGTTATGTCCTTGTCTACTCAGTACTCACACTCCGCTTACATTATCTCTCTTCTCCTCATTTACAGGAATTGGTCAAAAAACTGCTGTCAAGTTCCTTCCGGGATGACGACACTAAAAGTGAGCAGAACAAGTCAAGCTTTTATTAAATGACTATCCCAGAATTTACAAGTGTTCTTTTATTTATTTCTACACGTAATCTCAACATATCTTACTCATTTTACAGTAGGTGAAAATGCTGCACGGCTCATGGCAGAGATGCTCAAAATATTTGTTCAAGGTATGGAGTCCTCTTTGCCTCAGATGGATACAGATTGTGTTGTAATGAAACTTTGTGTGATAAATGTGTCTTCTCAATTCCAGAGGCTGCTGAGCGATCACAGAAACAAGCTGATTCCGAGGGCTGTGACCAAGTAGACATCGAGCACTTTGAAAAGATCCTACCTCAGCTGGTGGGTGGCTTACCTGAACTATAATGCATGATCTTGGATGTAGCTTCACCAATCGCTGAATATTCCTTTTAACACAAGTGAAATTAGTTTTCCTGTGCCTCAGGGCTTTACAGCATTCTCAAGTTTGTATTTTTGTTTCACAAACGTTAAATTCTTATACTGACCTTAGTGTTTCATGTCCTTTTTCAATGCAGCTGCTGGACTTCTAGCACAGAGATGCCACTAGAGGGAGCCAGAGTGTTGCCTTCAGTCCTCCTCAGACCCTGTATGTACAAGTTCAGTCCTTCTAATGTTTATGTTTTTTGTATTACTACATTTTCATTGTCACTTAAACGTGCTGTAAAATAAAGATGCTCATGTGGTAATTGGAGTTGTTTGATTTTTAAGTGGAAAACAGCAGTGCTGTCCGCACGCCTCCTGTGCCACCGCCAACAAGGCCCACCTGTGCTCCTCTGTGCAACAACAGGTGCTTCCAGCATGCTCCATGGCGCTCTTCATCAAAGCCTCCTGGAGCAGTTGGAAGCAATTAGAGTAATAAGGGGAGCAGCCAGTCCCTTAGATGATGACAAGTGCCAGGAAAAAAGGAGTACCCCCTCCGGCCACTTTGAAGTTCCCTTTTGCTGTCCTGCGATGTTTAGTTAGAGGTGGGGGGAAGGGCAAAGGGGACCTCTGGCACAGGGGGAAAGTTGAATGGGAGTGTGCGTGCACGAATGTGTGCATGTGTTAGCCAAACACGGCCGGAGACCACACGCATAGATATTCTGTTTGAAAGGAAACATAACAAAACACATTGGAACATGGTCCAAGAAGAGCAGGGTGTAATTCTGAAGGTAAATAAACAAAAGAGGCGAGTAGTAGAGGTGCTTTCTCTCCTTTCATCACAGCAGAGGGGGAAGTTGGGTCTGTGAGGGAGAGGGTAATGTGGGGTTTTCTAACCCTAGTGCCTCTGATGGTTTTCCACCGGTCGTCTTTTTCACCAACGTGTCTTCACTGTGAGTCAGCATAGCTGTACAACACCTCACTCTATTTATTTGTGTGGCTCGAGGGTGACTCACTACGCTCACAAATGTTGCTTTAAATACAGCTGGAAGCAACTTAGGATGGAGTCAAGAGTCCAAGCTCAGATAGGTGCACAAGGACGCAGCACCTGGAATTTGACCCAGCACCTTTTTAAGTAGGGCCCAGACTGGATTTGTGTTTCCCAGGAGTCGTTTGCACAGCAGGCCTTCAGGAGAAGGTACATTTGGTTGAGTGATGTTTAGTTTAATGATGCCATGAGGACAATTTGCACAAGAAATCTTTTGTTTTGAGGGAATCAATTTGCTCAGTGATTACAATCATTCATGGCGGCAGTTTTTGCCGTTTTGAGGTCCCTTCATGAAAAAGTACAAACACTTTCTTCTCATCGTGCCCAGAACAAATTTGTATTGAGAAAGGTTTTGGAAATAGAAGAAATAATACCAGTCTTTGTTTACTAGGATTAAAAAGTATCATCTCCAAATGTCAGTCTCTTCAAATGTAATAAAAGCAGTTATTCAGTTTGAGATCTCACAGACTGTGGTTTTTCTCCAATATGAGTTGTTGGAAGAACTCCGTACTGGCAGAGTAATACACTACCGTACAACTTTTCTCCTTATGCATCTTAGTGGAACAAATTACATCTGAAGGCAGTATTATTAAACATACGAAAGCAGTTAGGACAAGAATGGGGAGGGGCATTGAAAAGAGTAATGAGTTAAAGCTTTTCTTGATCATACATTAAAGGCAGGGAGTGTCGACAGCCGGGCCAGACGCTTTGGAGAAGCTCTCGAGTGAGAAGCTTTTCCCAGGAGACAGAGATTGATCCGTCTGCAGCCTTCTGGCTGCTCTTTGGACAGCGCTTCACGTGGGATCAGGCCCTCAGTGCTTGCAGCCTGGTTGGAGCCAATATCAATATGGATTTTGGACGATTTTATGATTACTTTAAGTGACTGTTTGTAGATTATATTAGCCCTCTTTTTTTATCAGTGGGACACTTGAGTTGGGGCAGAGCTTGCACTTTCTTCGACAGTATGCATCCTTGGTTAGTTTATTCATAAATCATTATATAATACATTTATTTTAGGGGTAAATGCTGCTTATCAGTTCTATGAATTGATGTCCTTCGAAAGCTTCTTTTACATCTTTACACAAAGTGCTGCAGCTCTGCACAAGTTTGTATGGTTGCACTTATAATATTTGTGGTTGAGGATGATATTAGTCTGTTAATATTTGTCCTAAGAGTCCACATGAGGATATGTTAGGATTATGTCTGATTTTTGTCCTTAATTCCCCACTCCTCTGTGGTTGTTTTTTTTTTTTTTCTGTTTTCTACACAGATTCCCCCCATCTCTCCAACTTTCTGTCAACTCAAAACTCCTTTCTTCTCAAGCCCAAACATGGGTTCTGTCTAAGGCAGGTGATGATAATAAATCCATTACCCTGTCTGCTGGCCTTTTTGAGGCGACTGCTTGAAAACCCAGAGTATGTGCTTCATCATATTTAAAGAGCACATGAAGAACACACCTAAACCATGAATGTGCGCATAAACACATTTGCTGTATCAAACAGATCATTTTTAAGTTTTTGGACATCATCTGTTGTCATGCAGGCACTTAATTCCTGCAAAGAAAAGAGGATGACAGGAAATCTTAATCCTCAAAGAAGCCCCAGGTATAATTTCCCGTAAGTGTCATGTTTACCTCTGTCATTTCGGTTACACACGTCGGTGAGTGCCTCCATGATAAATATGTGATGGCATGCATCTCCTCTCAGATGTTTGTGTGCATGTATGTGCTTGCATGCATGTGTTTGATCGGGGGCTGTGTCGCATTAGTGCTCAGGAGACAGGAGGCCCTTGTGGCCCCCTCATGGGCACGGAGCTGTCTAACCATAGAGGAATGCTGCAGGATACCCAGAGCGAGTGCATTCCTCTAAGATGCTCCACACGCAACTCACACACATGAAAAGTTACAAACATTTACAGCCTTGTCTAAAAAACACAAACAAAACACTGTTGTCGGCATTTGGTGCCCATGCGTTTCACAGAGAGCTTGCGTGAGTGAGTGAAGAGAATGCAAATACAGCGGCAGCATCCCTGTTGACTGTATACACTGCTGTGACATGCGGGTTGCCTGGAGGCCCCTTGGCTCTTTGAGGGGCCTGGGGTCCTCAGGCTAAGCTTTGTTAAGGAGCCACGGGGCCCACGCCGGGGATGATTAGAACATACCTGGCAGTTTGAGCCACTTGGGCGCTCCGCTGGGATCACTCCTAACTGATTGTGGCGCTTGGCTGTTAGTCTGCGGCTGAAGATGGTCTGCTGCTGTGCTCCGTGTATCGGCCGGGGCTTTGGTAGCCGCAGGGGGCGGAAAGGATTCTTCCGGAACCAGTGAGGTGGATGATAAGGTCAAGGACCTTGGCATGCAGCTGAAGAGGGAAAAGGGTGCAAGAGAGATGTACAATTAGGCCCGCAGCTGGGTTATTTCTGGAGCTCTGTACTACTACCTTGACTGCATTACCCTCCTCTTCCACCCAAAGTCCCCTCCACTCCCCATCTCCACCTCCCTCCTCTGTGTGGTGGCCTACATGGTCAGAGAATAGGCAATAACAACAGAGTAATCCCCTTACATAACAAGGCAACGAAACAAGACGGTTCAATTAATTTCTCGTCTAAAAATAAAGTCGCAGTTTGTTCCAGATGACGTCAAAACAGCATGTGCATGTGTGTGGGGAGGTGGACTCGTACCTTAACTGAGCCGCCGAGACTTGACTGGAGCAGAGGTCAGCGGAGCGCTCTATTTTTAGGTCAGATCAAAAGCAATGATATAAAAATACTCCAGCGTGGACCCTCACAAGATCTGTCAGTGGGGCTTAGAGAGGCTGTGAACCTGAAGGTCACATGCTCGGGATGATGAAAGGCCTGATGTTTGATGATATTTAAAAAGGAGCAAGTAATGACCAAAATCTCTTTAGCTGGTGGCAGGTGGCACAGTGTGAGCTTGGCCTTTGTTAGACTTGTTAAAGGACTTCATCGGCGGGCTTGTGAAGCTCTCTGCCGCCGGCTAATATTCAATGCGTGCAGAAAAATGGCGAACGGGGCGAACTGCTCCCTAATTTTGGTATTAGGTTGTTTGTTTTCTTACGCAGACAAATCCAAGAGAGCAAACGTAAACAAAAGTTCACCTTCAAACATTTCTGTTCAAAGTCTCCTCCGGCGTGTTGACTGTCCTCGCAGTGGTCAGGGGCACCGGAACTCTAAATTAGCCCTGGTGAGTAAACAGGACAGCTTTCATGTGGACAAGGGTTCATGTCAGATTGCAGGAGAGGTCAGGATGTAAGGGTCAGAGGTCAGGAGGCAGTGTTGGTCCTTGTCTTTAACAGCTTCCTGTCTGCTGTGTTGTGCAAACCTGAACGGTAATCCCTTGTGATACAGGTTCAAAGCGGAGAGATTGCCTCACTCTGTGGTACAGGTATGGGACTCTTGACTCCACTTGAACTGGGTCACATAGCATCTATTGATGTATTCATACTTGAGGTTTGGCTCTGATCTGGGGGTGAAAGAGGCATGGCTCTATGATTGGCAGTGGTAGGACTTGGCGATGTGGGAAAAAGTTCATCACGATATAAAAAATGAAATGAGGTCTTTTTGTTGTTAGGCGTTGTGCTAGAGAAAGCGGACTGAATGGTTGGCTGTCTTGGCTTCACAGGCACCATGAGCTCCTTGCTCCACTCGAGGTTTGTAACCTTTTGCATTGTGTGTGCTCTGCTGAGTGGCACTGCTTCGGGTGGTGAAAATGATTTGAGGTATTCTCCGACTTTGCAAGACCATGTACTCAACATAATTTGCAGTGCAAATTCCTCTGCTTCATGTCTGACCTCAAAAAACCAAAATACCTCCACACCACCGATATTATTGTGCCAGTGTTGTCGACAATGTCATCATCTGTTGAGCCTTCATCTGCATTTCTGCCGGGGGTAGCACTCATTTTCTTTCTTTCTTTCTCACCGACAGTGCTGTCGGCTTCACCTGTTAAAGTACTATGGTTGTGTGTAGCTGCAGCCTGCTACTTCGCAGTTGTTTGCTACTTGATTCTAATTCAGCACATCCCACTGCGCAATGCGATGTCGAAATGACATCTATTTAATGTATTTTTTTGATGATGAGGTACAAATGTGGACGTCATTTCAACGTCTGAAAGAAGTCCAATAATGACGTCTAAATCTTGGATCTATTTTGCGCGTTGTGCTGACGTCTAGACTTGGTCTTCAGATGACGTCCAAATTCTAAACGCCAGAGCGACGTCTAAAAAAGGTCCAATTTGGACGTCGAAATTTCTAACCTGTTTTG